TTTGCTGCAGTATTTCAGGGATCTCCTCACAGTATTAGGTCTCAGTTTTGAGCTCTATCTTAATAATTTTGTACAAGAAACCGGGTAATACTCCTTATCCTGGTAAACTAATGAAAGTTAAAGGCCTACACATGGCTATACTCTTTAACTCCGATACGCTTATACATATTTAAGGTTAGATATATTAACTTTCATGATCTCGATCCTAGAAATATTGAAGTTGTGAGCAGCTGACAAAGCCAAACAATTTCATATTATTCTGCCTAAATCTTTATCCCTGAAATATTTAGAAATAATTAAATCTATGATTAGTTGTATGCCGTATAAACAAAAGTAACAAATAATTGAAAAGTGATGGTTATAAGAGACAACATTATAAAAGAGCAACAGAAAATAAATAACTAAACAAACGTATACAACAGCTTCAAACTGTTTCAAAGATATCGGAAACACTGTCGTTTTGTACAAAGCATTTTCCTTACCGAAAACAAAGGTTTAAAAGTACCTCTTTCACAAAACCGATGAGTTTAGTAATTTACGTGATTGACATGGCAGTTATATATATATAAAATCAAGAGCGCCTTGAAAGTTATGGAAAATTACTAGATTATAAAGTTATCAAACATTATATAAATCTGCAGTTTGGAGTTGCGGAGATTGTTAAATTTTAATGAAATCACCCATAAAGCATTGCGGGCTGGTTTATGATAGACAATAACACCGTTGGATATCAGCTGAGTGGTCTGAAGGTTAAGTGTTCGCGAGGCCGAAGGTCCTGCATTCGAACCCAGATTTGAGGATCGCGAGTGAGCGCTGTTGAGGAGTCTTATACTACTGTGAAACGGCGTTCGGTGCATCCAGGTTTTCAATCATGATCTAACATTGAACGGTTCATGATTCCAATGAAATTATCTAAACATTATGTTTTAGTAGGCATTGACCATTTAACTGAATACTCAACAAAACTATGTTTGACAGTCGTTTTATCATTTAGCAACAGATATACACAACTCTGCAATTTAAAGTACCCAGATCAATAAAAAGTAGATTAGATGTTTGAAATTCTTCTGTTGTTTAACACAGACTCAATGTAATACTCAAGTGCTAAGGATATAATTTCAAACAGAGAAAATGAGGATTAAAACAGAATGTAGAGTTGTGTTACACCAGCCACTAATATTATCTCAACTACGATATTCAAACGCAAGAAATCTAGATATCCAAGTATTACAAAGATGAAGAACAAATCCCTGAAAGCAGTTTCTGGAAAACTCCGCCTGTAGCTCCTCCAGGGGCTACTGCCGGTCCCAAGCCCGGGTAAAGGAGGAGGGTTGGGCATGGGGTTAGCGACCCCATCCCGTAGAAAATCAACTCGCTAAAAAAACGCTAACCAGAAAAAATCATTCAAACCTTTCAAACTCTGCCCTGGGAGTAGAAGGAAAAATGACGTCTCATGATGAAAGCCGAGTTCATTCGGAAGTCATGAGGCCGATGCACCTTCTTACAACCAGAGCGACAATTTTTATAGGTACATGGAATGTCCGGACAATGTGGGAGACCGGCAGAGTCTTCCAAATTTCTGCGGAAATGAGGAAATACAACCTGGAAGTGCTTGGAATCAGTGAAACACATTGGACGCAGGTTGGACAACAACGACTGTCTTCAGGGGAACTTCTGTCACACTCCGGTCATGAAGAAGAAAATGCCCCACATACACAAGGAGTGGCACTGAAGCTGTCTAGAAAAGCACAAAATGCACTTATAGGATGGGAATCTCATGGACCAAGGATCATCAAAGCCTCCTTCAGAACAAAGAGAGAGGGCATTACAATGAACATCATCCAATGCTATGCGCCGACCAACGACTACGATGAAGACGCTAAAAACCAATTCTACGATAGGCTGCAGTCAATCTTCGAGAAGTGCCCAACCAAGGACCTGACCATTCTAATGGGAGATTTCAATGCCAAGGTTGGAAAGGACAACACTGGATACGAAGACGTCATGGGACAATATGCACTGGGAGGAAGGAACGAAAACGGTGAGAGATTTGCAAACCTATGTGCCTTCAATAAACTGGTCATAGGTGGCACCATATTCCCACACAAAAACATACACAAAGCCACTTGGATTTCACCGGATCACACTACACAAAATCAAATCGACCATATCTGCATCAACAAAAAGTTCATGAGGACGATGGAGGATGTGAGAACCAGAAGAGGAGCTGATATAGCATCCGATCACCAATTGCTGGTCGCCAAGATGAAACTAAAACTCAAGAAGCACTGGACAATGGCGCGGACAACATCACAAAAGTTTAACACGGCCTTTCTTCGAGATGCTGACAAACTCAACGAATTTAACATAGCCCTCAGCAACAGGTTCGAGGCCTTTCATGACCAACTCAATGGAGAGGGAACCACCATAGAGAGCAGCTGGAAAGGTATCAAGGAGGCAATCGTTTCAACATGTCAAGAGGTTCTGGGCCAAAAGATGCACCATCACAAGGAATGGATCACTGTTGGTACACTGGATAAAATTGAAGCAAGGAGAAACAAGAAGGTAGCAATCAATATCAGCCGAACAAGAGCAGAAAAAGCCAAGGCACAAGCCGAATACACAGAGGCAAACAAGCAAGTGAAGAGGAGCATCAGGACCGACAAACGTAAATATGTGGAAGATTTAGCGATGACAGCGGAAAAGGCTGCAAGAGAGGGAAACATGAGACAACTGTATGATACAACAAAGAAACTTGCTGGAAATTACCGTAAGCCAGAAAGACCAGTGAAGAGCAAGGAAGGCAAAGTAATCACCGACATTGAAGAACAACGAAACAGGTGGGTAGAACACTTCAAGGAACTCTTGAATCGACCAGCTCCACTGAACCCACCCAACATCGAAGCAGCACCCACAGACCTCCCAATCGATATTGGCCCACCAACAATTGAAGAGATCAGCATGGCCATTAGACAAATCAAGAGTGGCAAAGCAGCGGGACCAGACAACATCCCGGCAGAGGCACTGAAAGCAAATGTAACAGCAACTGCCAAGATACTCCACATCCTCTTCGGTAAGATTTGGGACGAAGAACATGTACCAACAGACTGGAAAGAAGGACTTCTCATCAAGATACCAAAGAAAGGCGATCTGAGCAAGTGCGACAACTACAGGGGCATCACTCTCCTCTCAATACCAGGAAAAGTCTTCAACCGAGTATTGTTAAACAGGATGAAGGATTCCGTGGACACCCGACTTCGAGATCAACAGGGTGGATTTCGTAAGGATAGACCGTGCACAGATCAAATCGCAACTCTACGTATCATTGTGGAACAATCAATCGAATGGAATTCATCACTCTTCATCAACTTCATCGACTACGAGAAAGCATTTGATAGCGTGGACAGGACGACACTATGGAGGCTTCTTCGAAACTACGGCGTGCCTGAGAAAATAGTAAATATCATACGGAACTCCTATGATGGACTAAACTGCAAAATCGTCCACGGAGGACAACTTACCGACTCGTTTCAAGTGAAGACCGGTGTTAGGCAAGGTTGCTTACTCTCACCCTTTCTCTTTCTCCTGGTGATCGACTGGATTATGAAGACGTCAACATCTGGAGGAATGCACGGGATACAGTGGACAGGCAGGATGCAGCTTGACGATATAGACTTCGCGGATGATCTGGCTCTTCTATCACAAACGCAACAACAAATGCAGGAGAAAACGACCAGTGTAGCAGCAGCCTCAGCAGCAGTAGGTCTCAATATAAACAAAGGGAAAAGCAAGACTCTCCGATACAATAAAATATGCACCAATCCAATTACACTTGACGGAGAAGCTTTGGAGGATGTGGAAATCTTTACATATCTGGGCAGCATCATTGATGAACACGGTGGATCAGATGCAGATGTGAGGGCGCGGATCGGCAAAGCAAGAGCAGCATACCTACAGCTGAAAAACATCTGGAGCTCAAAACAATTGTCAACCAACACCAAGGTTAGAATTTTCAATACAAATGTCAAGACAGTTCTTCTGTATGGGGCAGAGACGTGGAGAACTACGAAAGCCATTATCCAGAAGATACAAGTGTTTATTAACAGTTGTCTACGCAAGATACTTCGGATCCGATGGCCAGACACTATCAGCAACAAGTTACTGTGGGAGACAACAAACCAGATTCCAGCGGAGGAAGAAATCAGGAAGAAGCGCTGGAAGTGGATTGGGCACACTTTGAGGAAATCACCCAATTGTGTCACAAGACAAGCCCTCACATGGAATCCTGAAGGTCGAAGGAGAAGAGGAAGACCAAAGAACACATTACGCCGAGAAATAGAGACAGACATGAGAAGAATGAACAAGAACTGGAAAGAACTAGAAAAGAAGGCCCAGGACAGAGTGGGTTGGAGAAAGCTGGTCGGCGGCCTATGCTCCATTGGGAGTAACAGGCGAAAGTAAGTAAGTTTCTGGAACCTAATTATTTGATCAAACTAGTTTATCAAACGGATAAGGCCTACCATGCATCCTTAGATATAGTATAACTTCGTGGGGTCCGATTATTTTCTCACTGTACGATGACGTGGTAATACAGAGTGTTCTATATTATAATTAAATTAATTATTGGATTTGGAACGAAAAGTTACGAAACAAAGCTTTAGATAAAATTTCCCCAGCAGAGATTTACGGCTTGTGAATAAGAATTCCACAATATAAATGTTTATATCCTGATCAAGCTTTCCCAAACACTATCTCTTAAGAAATAGTCATGGAAAGCGTGAAACAGTTGGAGACTACAAAATGATACGAAGATTAGTGGTAGAATCGTCAGAAATGAACGACCACAAAAAGCGTTCTCTTCAAGGTATACAAACACAAAATATATATTGGTAATTAAATCTCTTGGTATCCAGGACAGCTTCTATCCATAAAGACACTTAAACGGAAATGATTAGGCAGTTTAAAGATCCCCATAGGATACTCAAAAATGAAGAATATTTGAGCGAACAATTGTTTTCAATAACTTCATCACCATGCTCTACAGTTATAAGTTCATCATTATGATGTTTTCCAAAGGCCAAAATGAGGCACATATTATTTAATTGGACAATGCTATATGTTAAAAATGCTGAACATTTGCATCTGTTACGACACATATACTTCAAAATGGTGTTATTTGTCAATTAGAAAAGTCATTTAATAAAGGTCGAAATGATTTGGAGTGAAGTGTCTAATCACAATCAGTATAATAGTAATATAGCGAAAATGAAAACGCAAAAAGTCGTGTGAATAAAATTCATAGCAGGAGAATTTCATTTTGTCAATTAAGATAATAATGATAAATAGTAGTAGTAATAATAATGGGTATAATAATGAATATAATACGTAATAAAAGGAATGTTATCAAGAAAATTACGATAAACGAACTGGGAATGATGGATGTGAAGATTAAGATAGAGGTGATCAAAAAAGGAGGGAGAGGTTTATGATATATAGTTTAGGTAACCGATAATCCAGTCGTAAGCCAAGGTAAACAGAGAGGCTGGATATGCCTTTACTGGATACATAAGTTTGGTTTTCTGGAGTTGATCCAGATGGCTTCGGCTATGTAGAGTAATTGTAATCTAGCTTCTTGAGGTAGATTTTTCAGAACTTGATATAAAACAGATAAAGTTTCCTCTGTTTTGATATGATGTTCACTATCTACCAAGTGAGGAAGGATGGTGCTGTTAATCGATCTAGTGACTCCTCTTTCCAAGCATGCTGGTACATGTTCATGAATACGCAAGGATAAAGCCTTCTGAGTACGGCCTATGTAACTAGCTCCACAGGAGTAGTTGAATCGGTATACACACATAGAAGAGCCCATCTTCGGTAACCTATCCTTAATTAGTTGTGTGAGTACTGCTTTAGTTGAGAAAATTATATGTAGCTTGATGGTGTGAAACGTCCTTTCAACAGTTTTTTCAGTCGACGTGTTGGAATATCACCCGCTATGTCCCCTTCAAAGTCCAGTTTCAGACACAGGGATCGTGTCCTCACTGAGTCACAATTCCTTCCTTTTTCGTTAATATTTTTTACTAGGTATTTTTTTAACGAAATTATATGGATAGCCATTATTTCATAATGTGTTCTTTAGTATATCTATTTCGCTATCGACGCTGTCCTCAGAACATAATAGCTTGACTCTGTGGCTGAGACATTTAACCAAATTTATTTTATATTAAAGAGGTGTGAAGCTTTGGAAATAGGTATACTGACCCGTCCATGTATTCTTTCTAAATACATTTCGTTCTATGGGACAGACTCTCCTTCTAGAAAGTAGGACGTTAAGGAAAGCTATACTATTGTTTTTCTCTTCCTCACTGGTGAATTAAATGGCTTGGTGGACGTTATTGGAAAAGTCCAACATCTCTTGTTTGTCGAAATTTTCGTCACATACGATTAGTGTGCCATCTGTGTAAGTAAAATGAAAGAATTTCTGTTGAAATGTACTATGAATATCTACTTTAAGTTTGACAATGAATTTTACAGACAAGTAGATGGAGTAGCAATAGGATCACTCTTAGGCCCGATCGTTGCCGATATTTTTCTGGCCAAACTAGAAAATGGACCGTCAAAAGACATACTAAGCTAGATTATTACTGTCGATGCAAACGTTCACCATTTTTAACGTATAATATTGTCAAGTTAATTAATAACTGCCTCATTTTGGCCTTTGGAAAAGTTTAAATTAACTATAGGTTATTATTATTATTGTTATCATTATACAAGATCCGGATAGGAGCAATATAAATGCTAATTTTGAAATAAGAAATTACTTGGAGTGGGTATAAAAAAGAATCCTATTTATGAGACATGGAGAACAGCGTCGAAAAATAAGTCTCTAAAGCTTTTCTGAGCCTGTTTAAGTAAATGGGATTTCCATTCATGATTTTCAAGATATGAAATAAGACGTTTACATTCGCTGAGGCTAAAATGTAATCTGTTTGAATTATTTGTACTAGTGATGGGAGGAAGACAGTTAACAGATTTCGGGACACTTATAATTCGTATTTTCAAGCTACACAGAGGAAATCTACCCTGATTTACATGTTCAAAAGCATGACGAACACAAAAATGACCGAAATCTTTTGCCCAAGAAGCTGGTGACCTGTAGATATTTTCTCTGCTTGACGGATGTTTTCTCTTCTGACCATGTTGATTAGCTTCTATTTCCAACGATGGAACTGATGTAAAAATACGTTGACAGATGCTGCATGATACAGAAAGAACACAGAAGACATCTAAACAATTCTTATTGTTTGAAATTGGCATAAATGGTGAATTGCAACGAGATGAAGTAATCCAATGATTCGTAATTTTATCTAATGTATGGAAATATTGTCGGCAATCAGGACATACTAGTGGTTCTTGAATTTTTAAAACCCTTACAATCAACACCTTCCCGTAAGTAAAAAGAAATTGGTTTTTAGCATGTTGTAAACAGTGGTGATATGCACACATAATCTGGAAAAAAACGAAAGCAATCACATTAGAACATGGTTAAACAGTTGATCAACTAATGTAAAAAAATAAATAAAAAATAACTAGACAGTAGTCAAACTAATGTAACTCCAGAGTATAACATTTTCCTTAGAAATGATTGTCGACACTGAATAAAATTTTTTAGTTGGGTAATCAGCTTCACGGAAATAAATTCACTTAAGATAACCGACTTATATACTAAATTGATGAGAATAAACCAATAAGGAATTCACAGTTGCTAGTGAGTTACAACAATATTTATAATTTTGTTTTCATTTGACTAATCACTTATAATTCTTGAGTCTTCGCATCTGTATAACTTAATTTAATTCAACCAAAAATGTACTTTACTGTCTTAGAAATAAAACTTCTCAAATTTCCTCAAAGACCTCTTTGTTTCATACGATGTAGTTTAAGAGTGAACACACAAACAATGTGGCACTTGCGTTTTATCATTTTACAATCAAATAAATATGATTAATCCATTCATGAATGAATAAGTCAATTAGCAGCCCTATAGTGTTGCTCTAATCAATATATAATGGACCAACAGTAAACAAACATAATCCAGTTCTTCCATATGATGTTTTAGAAACTTTAATACTCGTTTTAAGTGCTGATTGAAATATAATTTGGTTGAATATATATCTTTGATAATAAAGATTCGAATAGTAGCACAAAGTATTTAATCAGAAACTACATGGACATTGTGTCAATTATTTGAATTACATACAGTTTACGTGGACTTAGTTGAAAAACTAACAATCATTAGTAGAGGGATCTAAATTAGATGCTGACTACTTGGGTGAAAACAATAAAATTACTTACACAACATACGTCCTATATATTAAGTCGAAAATTAAGAACGTTTATATAGTTCATAGTGAGTAAAAGATTCATTAATATAGCGAATAAAGATGATTAACCCATCGCCTTCATGTGACAGAATTTATTTTTAACACAATAAATTTACTTAGAACATAGAGTGATAACCTAAGACTAAAGGCACAACATTGACTCTATGATGACGAACCGTAATGAAATCTAACTCCTCAATTAATTTTTCATATAATACTTAGGTTAACACCATTGAGCAATTGTGGTAAGAAAATCCAAATCCAAAATATTCTGGAAGGATTAAATCCATGTATTACTTTACGCAGACAGATGAAAAGTAAGAAAAGGCCTTTAAGCAGACTACTCAAGAGTATGGACCACATATATATGTGAAAATAAAACTTATAAAATATAGGTAAAATTACAAGTGAACAGTTGACAACGTCAAATAACGAAAATATATATCGAGTAAGTTATAAGATGCTTGACCAGAAAAGAATTTGTCTCAACGAAAGTTTGAAAAATTTATCGTAGGCATCATAAGGAGTTTATACAATTCATAACAAGCCCAAGTTGATAATAATAGAACGTTGTTTCACGAATCCGTATGTCACGTTAGCTGGGTAGAACTAGTGACTATTTTGTGACTCACTACGATGGTCTCAGATATCCGCTCTATGAAGATATACCGGGAGTTACTTCATGATTTTTATTGTTTATTTAAAAATAAAAGCATTGTGCAGTGAGAAATACTTTAATTAGTTACATAGGATGAAATAACAACGTTAGGAACAAGTAAAAGGAGACTCATTATATTAGCATAAATATGGGCAACCAATTCGTTTTCTTATTCGCATTTTATCTCTATCCTTGACAGGAACTGGTGACAGATCGTTTAGTCAGACTGTCTTATTCTTTCAACAACTACGCTGTGTAAGGTGGTCCTTAAACAATATGTGTGAAAAATATATAATGTAAGAGAATTGCACTTCTACACAAAAACTAACGGACTAATATCAATAAATAGAAACAAGGTCAATGGAAAGCAGTGACAGTAACCGGAATGTTTCTCAAAGTAAGAAGAGTGTTAGCGGGATATAGATTGGATTAAAGCATGTTCTGTGCACCATTGTGTTGGAGCACGCTGACTGGATAAGAATTGGTCAATCAGCGCTAGTCGATACTCGGAGAACACGCTAGAATCTTCTCATATAAAAACTATAAATATACTAACATCTCTTATTGTGTTTTTTACTTCCATCTACACTTGTTATTCGGAATATAATTACTTCCTGTTCAACCGTGTTCTGATTTAGGGACTTGTCGAGTGAATTGGTGTCCAAGAATACTCAACAATAGTTATAGCTGGATTGTAATAAGAGGACACATAAAAAAGAGACTTTGCTTAAGATTTTCACGACAACTCGTAAGTGCGGTTATAACTTTGAAACAAATTAAACGTTAGTAGGTCATCTCCAAGTACTGCGTCATATGAGAGTAAGTATTTACCATTTGTGAAAAAATGAGACGACTTATCCAAAGAAATTACCTTATCCAAGAATGGTAAACTACAAGTAGGACAGCATACTACTGTATCACCGACACGCCAACCATAGGTTCTATCTGAACTACTAGAGATGACACGCGGCTTTTGTAGCTCACTCGACATGTTATTGCAATCATTTGTATAATAGCAAGGTGAATATTTACTGCATGTCAAATGATTTGTTTGTTGCAAATGTACCTGAGCATCATTCTCTGTCTTACCAATGTAATCACAATAATCACAAATAAAATAGCACGCTGATATGCACTGATATTGATTAGCTAATTGTATAGAGTCATCAAATAAAGAAGCCTTATCAGTGAGCAGCATACAAACACGCCTGAATTCTTTATCAGATATATTATCGACTTCAATTTCAATCTTTTGACGTTTAAGTGACTGTTCTACAACTTGAGACTTCACTTGGGTTGTGTTTATATTTTTTGTAGTACGAAGAAACGGAAATACTTCCGATGCATTATCATGAAATGGATATTCTAGAAAATTTCTCATAGTTACATTTGGTGGATATTTGTAATGATCACTTTTGATTGACTTGGCTACAGAATGGCTTGACATTGATACATTCCACTGGTGAATAAACTCAGCACGTGCTCTCATTAAATCAGCTACAGGATAGACAGATATACTTGGTGACTCGAGGGCTGAAAGCATTCTGTATTTCCCACCTGCATCTGAATATTTCAGAAACAACACCAAAATAATTAACGTAACTTGGAAACCAAATACATAACATGTACTTTTTATTCGTCAAACTGATTCTATTTTCTCGAATCATAGTCTATGTTTAATATTTTCTGCTACTATGGGACTTGTCTTGATAATTTCATCTTGCCCTGTTGATACGGTTTACCAACTTGAACTTGCGCACAAGTATGTTAGGTTCCGTACTTTGTATGACTGAGTATAAACTTTTGTAAACATAATTAAGTCCCTATTTTATAAATAATGTTACTAGGCTGCCAAGAGGCTTATTAAACGGAATTTGAAACTACAATCAAATAGCTGAAAGTTGAAGGCTTTGACAACTATGATACCCCTAACTTTCTGTTAAATGGTAAAATAAAGGACTTTCAAAAGTCAAAAAGTAAACTGTCATTATTTATGAGACTAAATAGACGAACTTTATTAACCACATGAACCGAAATGTTCTTGCTACATCTGAAAAGATTACGATACTACCTAAACCGGAAATTGAAATTAGAGTCAGCAACACAATAACAGGACAAGCTAAATTATTCATTACGTCACAGTCCTGGTAACTAGAAGGAGAACTACAGATTTAGATGAGGGGAAAGTATATTCCGCAAACAGTCGTTTGACTCAAACGACAAGCTATCATTCTTGGATTTATTAGTCACCAGAACCAACACAGGTAAACTGGAGACTCAAGTATACATACAGGAAGCCAACCCACACTGATCAAACTCTCAACTAAAATAGCAACAACACAAGAGTTCACAAAATCAACTGTGTACAAACCTTGTTCAAGAGGGTGAGGACACACTGCAACACAATTACAGCACGAAAAAATGAGGAAAAATACTTGAAGACCATCCTTCAAAAGAACGGCTACCCAATCAACTTCATCAAAAAATAACAGCCGCACCCATCATCAGAAACAAAGTCAAGTACAGAAATCAACAAAAGGATCACCTTACCATACATAAAAAGTATATCAGAAGCGATAACGAGACTGCTGAAAACCTTCGGAATAGGTGTTGCGCACAAACCAACAAAATCCCTCCATTCAATCCTATGCAAACCAAAGGATGAAATGACAAAAGACAAACCAAACATCATCTGCAAAATAAATTGTGCCAACTGTGAAAAACACTACATCGGACAAAGCGGATACCCTCTTCATCTTCATCTGCATGAACATCAATCAGCAGTCAAACGCCATGACATGTCATCACTTATATCAATGCACGTGGACAACTGCGGACACATTCTACTGGAAAAAATGAGGGGATTTTGGAAAGAGGCAATTCCAAAAACACCAGTCTCGACCTTTGTTGCCACCTTGATGTGGCGGTCACCCTCTAAGGTCATTAAGACCACTTCTAACCCAATTCTCTTTTCACGTACCTCTAGAAGAACCCTTCCACGGTGTGGGCGACCGGGAAGTGAAAACTGCCCTCATACCTCTAACAGCACTCAAGACCACAGTATTCATAAGCAATCTCCTTCTTCAATTCCTACTATTCCTTCTACCTCAACCTTCAACACTACACTTCCTCTGTTGGTTTCGGACAAGCTGTGAACCACATGTGGGGAAATTTGAACACTTCATTTCTATCCGAAGTTTGTGCTGATGATGTCCTTCAGAAGAACGATAAAAGCTCCACGACCAGACCATCCAGCTCAGAGAACAAAACTCCATCAAAAAAAAACTGATCCCTGAGCAGTGACTAGTGCCGTGGTTGTCTAAAATTTTATTGTTGATCAAACTAGTTCACTAGTTCAAGTGACCAAACATTGACTTCATTATATTGAAAAGTTAGGTGTCTGGAGGTAGTTAATACGAAATCCTGGAAATAGGCTCCGTGCTACTTAACACTTGTCAGCAAGGCATATTCTCGAAGGAACTGATGCTCCCTACTGGGATTGAACCAGCACCGCCTTTGACTTTTACGATTTTATATTTTCCATGCTTTTAAATCTGTCTGATGACTTATGCTAGAGTACAAAACTTGTCAATCTGATCAATTTCTGAATATAAATATGATCGCACAAATTTTGAATATGAAATTTTCGAAGAAAGTTTCATCCTTACACATACTTGTTGTTTCTTGAAGACCATTATGAATTTCACCTTATTATTTAATAAAACAGAAAAAAGATCGATGAAATTGTTGCCAACATTAAGGATTTATTTCCAGAGTAAAAATCTGAATGATTTATCTCATTTTTAAACGAAATTCCAAACAGGATATTTTCACGCTCAAAAATAAACTTAAATGGCTTTATAAAGGCACAAATAATGGACAATGAAGGACTTAAAGTTATATATTTTTTTTCCGGGCTTGGAAATGAACTAAATGTAAGAGAAAGTTTAATTAAACAAAAAACGAATAAGTTTTGGATGCTTACGAAAAATGAACCCATGAAACTGGAAAACGATGGGGTGAGAATTGTTTAGGTGAAATATTTCTACGAACTTTTTGATATGTTTGAAAACAACAAGAGAAGCTTATTTAAACATATCAGCCTAACTTTTGGTTAGGTCTTCCGACTATATTGAGATTAAAGATATGGCTAAAATAAAATGAAGTAGAAGTTGAATTAGATTCGTGTTTCTCTCTGTTAAAAAACAGTTCGGATTGCCAAAAACCTGGGAAGCGAACTAAACAGTAATCTATTCACTAATCTTTAGTTTTTTCAAATATGCTTTACAGATTATTTCTCAGGTAATTTTGAATGGACATTTAAATTTATACACATCTGTTGATCTTAATACAGTTTTAATGATTTTGCAGTAAATGCTAGTGTAAATACTTTCAATATTATGTTGATTTTAATCAAATAGCTTACAGGAAAGCAAACCAGTAACAGAAACTTAACATGGAAAAAAAGACTGAGAATTAAAAACTTCCATGGTGAATTTGTGGTAATAATTATAATAAAATACATCTTAGACCTTCCCCATCCGTTTGTTCCAGTCACAGTAAACTCAAAGAACGAAAATCAAAATTCTAGATTTATGGTACGCGGTTATTTTGATTGGTCTACAAAAGTAACAGATTGTTGTAAATAATTTTCTGAGTATTTTTTAAATTGTCGTTGAAAATAAGAGTCAATGCAACATGAATGATAATTATCAGTCCTACATCGTCTTCTAAACCAATAATAATTTGAAAAATTCAATCATTAACTATTTAATCCTTAAAGATATATATATATATATATATATATATATATATATAGAGAGAGAGAGAGAGAGAGAGAGAGAAATGTAATATTTAAGAGAAAGAGAACTTACGAAGGGAATGATTATTTGAAGATCTGCTGTGCTTCATTACTAAAACAATAGTCCTGAAAAGTGAATAAAACGTGGTGGAAAACTTGAAGAAAGACAACACATTATTTCCAGTATTATTTTAGTGGAAAAGGTTAAAAATGTGAAAAAACAAATTACATTTCAAGTGTATTTAGCGGACGTCCTTCTAAAATAGGGCAATATTTCCAAAAGAAAAATTGTTTTAGCTATCCCGAAATGTTGTAAGTAATCAATCTAAACCCAGACAAAACGCGTATACTATGTTATTGTAACAAAAATCCGCAAAACTTATTATTAGTAAATAAATTATTGTCTTTAAATTGTGCTCCACAACGACTCCGTAATATGATCTACAGAAGACTGAACATAACCTAACATGGGCACAACATATCGACATTGAGTTAGAGACACTGAGACATCTTTTATTTAAATTGGCTTATGTAAACTCAGTAGTTACACAACTTCAGTTAAACCCACTGCTATTTAAAGATAATAAACAAGTTATTCGGTGATATTCTGTAGGTTAGTATGAGGTCTATATCGCTGATATAAACGTAATTATCAAGATGTGGAATACTAATTCAGCTGCTGCGAGCAGTGCCACGAGTAAGGTCGGGAACTGACTTAAGGATGTTGTTAAAACTTAAAGGATATAAAAAAGCTGTTGTGGTATCACATATGCTAGCATCATTGTTAAGCTTAATACTCGTTTCTGTTAGTTAACGTTTTACAGCAACTGTAAAATTATGCTGTGAATATGTAGTTAGGATGACAGATCACACAGAAACATATTTGTACGCTAACATTTCTCTTTAACTATATATCACCAAAACATTTGTTTGACCGTTCAATTCCAGACTTGTTCAAACGTCTTCTGTGGTATATCTTTCGCTTATCAAAGATAATTTTGACACCTGAAGTACATCACGCAAGCAACCAGGGTCGTTGAACTGAACTGTTGAATCAACATTGACTAAAGCGTCATGCAAAAGACTATCGATTTTGACGAAAAACCAATTACTACAAATGATATGGTAACTTCTGCATAGTATTCAGAGCGTGAAATGCTAAGTGTAGTTAAACCTCCTTCTTACTAGTTGCCACATCTTTGCCAAGGTCCTTTTAATATGATATACATTACGTTAGAATAGTTCTTTCGCTTTTATTGAGATATGGAAGCTTCAATTCAAAGTTTAGTCCATCTCCTCATTCTCATGTAATTTTCATCGTTGCATAAGATCTAGTATAGTGTTAGTTGCATTTCTGGACCGTATATCAAACCGTACTATGAATTACAACACTATCAAACTGAATATTGCTCCTAAATGCAATTGCTAGATAAATCGCATCCTAACTATTCAAGTAGTCTATTGCCATCAGTGCATCCGGAAATCAATGTAGATAGATTATTTTGTGAACAGTTGCCACGTGATCAATTATTGAATAAATGTCACATCTATAAACTCACGATAATTTCACCACAAAATATTGCAACATCAGAATGAACAGCATATTTTTACAGGATCTTTAAAGATGTAAAACATGAAAATAATACTGTCCGGACAACATGATTTCATTTAAGCCCTTGTCATATGATGAGGCTAGGATGGAGTTCGAAAACAACGGGGATTTATTTTTTGAAAATTGTGGTGATATATGGTTACTGGATAAACTTTGAATGTTTTTTATTAAGAACTTTATCTTAGTATTAAAATAAAGTCAGTTTTGTAAATGTAAGTAATGGTCAAATCCATGTTGGTCAGTAGTATTCATCTTTTCGAAACCTGTAACTTTTAGTCAGTGCTTACAGAAATAGTGAAAAGAAGAGGTTGTATTCACTGATTACAACATTTGTTGGATCTTTACTGTGCTTATAAAGTACTCTGATATTGCGTGAAACAAAAACGAATTTCAGAACATTTCCTAGGAGGAAGAAAGTTATTATTTTCGTCATTCTAGACTTAGGCAGTGAGATTAAACTTATGAATATGTTATCAATACAACAAAAGACCATTAATAGAAAAAACTACTGGTATATGATCTATTTGACTGAAACTTCATAACGGTGACAATAGGTTACGTGAAAACATTAGGTATATTATTATTGAATTTATCAGTTAATTTAATCTGCATTAGCGTATTTGACATCTGTCAGGCAACGGGAAATAGGGCTTTAACATTCCTCGGGAAATTTCACTTGCCATTAGTCATTCGTTATTTCTTGTAGTGATTTTGGGTATCCGTGTTATTTGGTTTACTTTTATTAAGATGAATACCATCCAAAAAAAATTGCCACCTAGTTGAGACTTATGATTACGTTTTATAACTACATTTATCATCAAGAATCTGACTTCCCTTTCATGAAAAAAGGGTTTCTAAATAGATGGACAATTCTTAAACAGTGATAAATTGAAAGAAAACGATATAAAAGCACAGTGATTAAGGTGAGAACAAAAACCAATCGTACCTACAGGAAAATTTACAGTAGGTTCATTTGTATCCAAAAGTGAAAAACTAATAACAAGTTATTTCAGCATTGTTTTGAGACAGATGAAATAATTAAAAAGCCCAAAAAGTCAAAAAAAAGTAGAAACAGAACACTCCAATTACGTCTAAAACTGATATACCAAAAAAAAACAAAAACAGTGGCCTGATGAATAATAAGTTTTTTTTGCAAACTACGTTGATAAGGATTAGAGAAATTATCTCGAGCATTCTACCACCTCCGAAGACGTTGTTGTTAAAAATTGATCATAGAGCTACGAAGAGTGAATTTCAATAAAAACATTTGATAAGAAGCACAATTAACTTGGAAGAAATTTCAAGACACGCACACCTGTACTCAGAACCATAAAAGAACCTGTTAGGTGTTAGTAGTGTCCAATTTCCTGTCTTAAAACTTGAGCGTTCTCTAAACATCTGAGCATTTAGTTACAGTGCACTAAAACCAGACTGAACTATACTGTGCACAGATATTTAAAAAATGATAATATAAAGTAGGACTAAGGCAAAAAATTGGATGCAGTAGTTATTGATTCTCTATACAAATTTCAAACGTTTAGAATACCCCCTCCTGTCAAGCAAATATCTGCAATAATACTGTAAAACCTTAGGTAGGGAAATTTGATCACATCAAAGAATACGAACAAAAGACTGTCATGAATGCTAATTATTAAATCTAAATAAAATAGAATATCAGACAGGAATAACTAAAGTATTATCTAAATGTAATCATGAAGCATTCAATGAGTCCAATTGGTTGAAAGGACACGAATCACATATCCAAACATGAAAAACCTGAGTTTTGAGAATATATGCCTAAATATATGAAAGCATACTTAAAAAGTGCTTAGCTAGATTACAAAATCCAGAACAACACTTTAACGACCAGTAAGTTTGGGAACCTGATGTGGGGAATAAAGCAACTATAAATCGACAGTGAACACTAGGCTACCATTACCAAATAAATGGATAATACTAGGAGAACAAACATTTGAAGTAAAAGAATATTAAGACACCACCCTACAGAAGCAGAAAGTATTGGTAGGTAAGGCGGCAACCTGTCTAGTTACTTCCGTTTCTTAAATTCACACAGTTCGACTTGACGGGCCTACCAACTCTTTCCTTAACCAAACCATCAGTGGAACCTTGGTTACACTAGTTACCAAAGCAATCTACTGAAAGTGCTAACAGTACGAAAAAACGAAATCATACGTGACCTTGTGGATTTTGATGGAAAACTTTGTGGGGCCTTTGCATAGAAGTATCTTTTCTGTAGGACCCCTCAAACGAGTCCAACCTAAATTTCTAGTGTACCGTGTGCCCCGAAGAGGTTACATAGATAAGGAATTGTACGCACTTTCCCACAATGTCGGGGCAGGTAAATGGTTCAAATGGTTGAGGACGGAATAGAAGAAGCTTTCGCTTAACGGGATTCCGTGTCTGGTAGCAGTGGATCACCAATACCACAAAGCAAAAACCTAGGTATATGAACGATAATGGAGGAAAAAAAGAATTTGGTAAATCATAATAATATGTTATCCTTAGTCCTTAAGAATAAGCCAAGTTTTCTCTTAAAGGACTCCTGGGAGGTCGCTTGGACTAGCTCAGTCGGCAGCGAATTCCAGCACTTGACAACTCTTACGGAGTAGAAGTTGTGTCTGCAGTCTGTTCTGCTATGTAGGGTCTCCAATTTCTGGGTGCTACCTCTCAGGTTAGTGTTATGACTAAGCTTAAGAAGTTGTTTAAGGGGATGACCAGAAGTATTAAGGATACTATAAGTCATAAGAAGGTTACCTCTAAGACGCCTATACTCTAACGGGTAAAGGTTAAGTGATTTGAGGCGCTCTTCATAAGGTTTGAATTTGAGACCCCGAACTGATTTCGTGGCTCGACGTTGTATACGTTCCAGAGTGACCTTATCCTTTTGGAGGGAGGGAGGAAATACTATGTTTCCGTACTCTAAGTGGGGACGAATAAAACTGTTGAAGATTATATGGAAGGTTCTACCGTCAAACTGGCCAAAAATGCGCTTCAATGTTACCAGTGCAAGGTTTGCTTGAGAGGCGTTTTTGTCACAGTTCGCATACGATTTCAGGTCGTAGGGTACCAACACTCCTAAATCTTTTTCAACTTGGGAAACTTCTAGAGGTGAGTTACCTAAGTTATAACTATAGTCTGCAACATGTCTCAGATGGACTACCTTGCACTTTGAAGTGTTGAAGGTAAGTCCGTTGTCGTCTGCCCAACTTTGAAGTCGAGTCAGATCCTCCTGAAGAACTAGTATATCATTATGATTACGTATCTCTCTCCAATTTATTTTATTTAAACACATAAATATTGGTACAAGGAAGCACCAGATATATGTGCGCCTCACAAATCTCATTCGATTTGTGTGAGGGCTGTGATACTGCTCAGGTGCCCAGACTGAAGCAGGTGGTTTTCTTAGGGGGTCACACCCGGAGCCTTTGACCTGAATGTCTGATCCACAAGGCAGTGAAGCATCGTGAGGAGATGCAGTCCCATGGTAGCCGGTGACCAACAATATGTTCATACGCCATTCGTTCCATCAGGATACTGGAGCCCATGTGCACCATTGGTTTGGAATCAGGGTTTTCCAACTCCCCTAGATGGATCCTCCACATCCACCGACCCGGTTAAAGCGCCGGATATTCGCTTTTCGTCCTCTCACTTTCGTAAACAACACCCCCGCCACGAGAAGGCAGTGAGTAGGACTTCCCTGGCAGAGGCTATATATTCGCTAGCCATATGAGAGCATTTCGAGAGGGAGAGGTGACTCTCCTCACTCTCGGCCGTACCAGGGCATTTGGGGGCATCTCTCTCCAAAGTTTCACATCATCAGCAAAAAGCAATAAGTCAGATGAAACTTGTTGAGGAAGATCGTTAATATAAATCAAGAAGAGAAGAGGTCCTAGTATTGAACCCTGGGGGACCCCACTAGGACATTCCATAGCCTGAGAGAGAGTGAAGTTAAACCTGACCTTAAAGTGTCGGTTTTCTAAATATGAAGAGAGCCAATCAATTAAAGGGGGTTTTATACCCAATCGTCCAAGCTTCTTGATAAGACATGCATGGTTGACCCAATCAAAAGCTTTTGAGAAGTCCAAGTAGATGACGTCAACCTTACCCCTTGCTATCAATGATGGTTGTCCATCTATCCACCGCAGTCAGCAGGTTGGTCATACAAGAATGACCTTTTCTGAAACCATGCTGTTGAGGCGAGAAGAACTTTGAGGATGATAAGTGTTCTAGAATGCCGTCGAATACTAGGGATTCCATAATTTTTGAAGGTATGGAGAGAAGGGCCACTGGTCCGTAGCTTGAGGGTTCACTACGCTTAGCAGCTCATTAAACAGACTATCCTCCAGACTCACGGTGAGTTTTTTTCTTTATATACCTTTCAAAAATTATTTCAATCTTTGTGAGGGCCCCACACAAATGTACTTCCAAATAGCATGGGAATGTGACCTAATGGAATTATTTTTATCTCTCCAGAACTCCGAGATGCAGCTAACACTGAAGTATTTCAGACTACAAAGAATGACCCACATCGCTTCTTAAAAAATCAATACCGAAACAAGAACGTTGACGTCTGACCTACAGCCTAGTTTTAAAGCCGCCCAAGGTCACCAGTACGGCGTCAACTTGAATGGCTATGACCTCTAACCTCACTCAATGAAAACAACGATATTTCAGAGATCTGGGTCGTCTGAAGAGGATGCCATACTGCGGTATTTTGTAAAATCCTTTATGAATAGGATACACTATTATATTTTCAACTACAGTATCAGAAAACAAAATAGCCTGAGCAATTTAATGAGACTGAGGATACCACGGATATTCTAGTTTGGCAACTAGCAACCAGTAGTATCTTCTATAATCGATCGTTCCCAGTCAAATAGAAACCAGAAGTCAGATGAGAAGAGACAGGAAAGATATATTTGATTTGTTACCAATATATCGAGAGACTTCGTTCTTAACTGGCTATTGTAACGTAGGAGCTGTGTCCCACGCCGTATTGCAACGTGATCTGGTGCGGATGCATGACCGAAAGCTTTCCACTAAACAAGTCCACTTAAACAACGTGGTCAGCATCCAATGTCGAACACTTAATGAGCTATTGATTTTGGGGATTTATTTACAGCTACAGATCACTCCCCCCCCCTAGTGAGGTAGTGATGCCCCTAAGACGTGACCAGCCAGAGGTTTAAACCCAACGAGTTTGTCGTTGGTAAACACTCTTCTGATATCTTGCTTCGTTTAGCAGCGTCTGGTCGTCTTTCCTTAAACTATGGGACCAAAATGTACAACATAGCAATAAAGAAATATAGTACAATGAAAATTTCGGTTCCTTGCGAAACTTCGTCGTTCTTTTCCAGCCGTCCTGGAAAAGAGAAAAAATAAAACGTGTGAGTGCATGTCGAAAATACACTCGTACTTGCGTAAGGACACAAGATGAGCGGGAAAAAATAAACTAATACACTTACAAACAGCGTAAAAGCGATCGGAAAAAAATGTTTTTTTATATATATAAAAATATAAATACACTCAAAAAAATAAAAATGTTTTGTTTTTTTATATAAATAAAAAATGAGCATATTGAAAAAAAGTTTTATAATAAACAATGAAGGGGTAAATCAAGATAAATCCTGTGTCCTACGTGCAATATTCGTTAAGATGTTCTGGAAATCTCACTCGTCTTCCAGAACGCGTTGTTTTAGGTTTATCTGTCGACGTTGACGAAGTATCAAGTTGTGTGTCGGTTGTCGTGTAGGGTACTACGAGTGTAGTAGCTGTGTCGTTTGCTTGTACCGAAGGAAAATCGACGTAGCTAAGGTTTCCTTCTAAGTACGCTGCTTTGAGTCGATCGATACTGATGCTATCTTTCGTACTGTTCTTATCTACTGCATAGTACTTACGTTCGCGTTGAAGAACTTTAAAGGGTCCTTCGTATGCTGATTCGAGGGGTCGTCGATGTGAGTCTCGACGAACGAAGACGTGTGTACTATGTCGTAATTCGGGTTGAACGAAAACATCAGTTGATTGAGGTCGAGTGTGAGCAGGTTTAACTGAACGCATAGCGTTTGTAAGCCTACTCGTGTAAGAGTTTAGATCCATGTTCAATGAAGAAGCTGAAGGATCTACGAATTCTCCTGGGAGTCGGAGTATCGTTCCGTAAACGAGTTGAGATGCCGTGTATCCAATGTCAGCTTTCACTGCATTGCGGATACCTAGCAAGACGAGTGGAAGAGCGTCTGTCCACTGTGAAACGTTTGAAGCTGATAATGAAGCTTTTAATTGTCGACGAAAACGTTCTACCAACCTGTTTACTTGTGGGTGGTAGGCGGTTGCTCGGAAGCGCGCGATTCCTAATAGTGAGGTCAGACAACGGAATAGTTCAGATTCGAACTGGCGTCCGCGGACTGTAGTGATTGTTGAGGGGCAGCCGAAATTTGCTACCCATCTTTCGACGAAAGCGCGGGCCACGGTTTCAGAAGTAATGTCCTTAATCGGTACTGCTTCTGGCCATCGAGTAAAACGTTCTACGCATGTTAGGAGATATGAGTATCCGTTTGAGTCGGGTAAGGGTCCTACCAAATCTAGATGGACGTGGTCGAAACGAGCGTCAGGAGTTTTGAAAGAGCCTAAGGGACATTTGTTATGTCTTATGACCTTAGATTTCTGACAGCTTACACAGGAGCATGCCCACTCCCTCACGTCTTTATTCATACCAGGCCAGCAAAACCGTTCGGCTATAAGTTTGACTGTTGCACGAGCACCTGGATGAGAAAGATTGTGCAACGTATTGAAGACGTTGCGTTGATAATGTTTTGGTACTATTGGACGATCTCTACCTGTAGATGTGTCGCAAAGTAAGGTTTCCTTACCTGTTCCCATCTGCTTAATACTTAGTTTAAGAGTTGTCGAGGATAACTCATGCTGAAGATCAATGTCTTTTTTTGAAGCTGAGCGAGTTTAAGAAGGTCGACTCCTTGGAAACTGTTCAAGGAACTTATTCGAGGCAAGGCGTCTGCGACTACATTGTTAGCTCCAGAAATGTGTTGTATGTCTGAAGTAAACTGCGAAATGTAGTCCAGTTGTCGAGACTCTCGCGGTGAGTACTTGTCTGAAGATGAACTTAAGGAGAAGGTAAGAGGTTTATATTCGGCAAAAAGCGTGAATTCTCTTCCTTCGATGGAATGTTGGAAATGCCGTACAGCACAATACATAGCTAGGAGTTCCCTACCGAACGTGCTGTACCTAGTTTCCGCGTCTAGCAACCGTCTCGAGAAAAACCCTAAATTTTGCCACGAGTTGTTAACCCATTGTTGTAAGACTCCTCCGATTGTTGAGTTGGATGCGTCTGCGGCGATACTAATGGGCGCTTGAGTGTCCTGACGAGCAAGCAGGGTTGCCTGAGCGATGTGTTCCTTAACTGTGAAGAATGCTTTACGGGCTATGTCGTCTAAACTAATTGATTTCGCATTTCCACGAAGCTGATCGGTTAACGGTTTCATAGGGGATGCGCATTTAGGTATGAACCGTCTGTAGAAACTTACAAGTCCGTTAAAAGTTCGTAACTGCTTGATAGTGGTCGGTTATGGGTAATCCAGAATGGCCGCCACTTTGCTTCTAAGGGGTCGGATGCCTTGGGCATCAATAGTGCATCCTAAGAAGTCTAAGGAGTTAGTTCCGATTTGGCATTTCTGAATGTTTACAGTAATGCCATGCCTTTGGAGTCGATCGAAAACAATGTCCAGATGCTTGAGATGCGATTCTCTGTCCAGACTTGCTATTAGACAGTCATCAACATACGCATGTACGAAGTTGAGACCTCGGAGGACACCGTTTATAAATCTTTGGAAGGTTTGGGCCGCGTTTCTTAAACCAAAAGGCATTCGCAAGAATTCGTAAAGACCAAAAGGAGTGATTATGGAGGTTTTAGGAATGTCGTCAGGTGCCATCGGGATTTGGTTATAAGCTTTAACCAAGTCGATTTTCGAAAAGACAGTTGTACCTTTCAAGGTAGCTGTCAAATCGTGAATATGAGGCAGCGGGTAACGATCGGGAATGGTTTTAGCATTCAGACGCCGATAATCACCAGTTGACCGCCAATCGTTGCTGTCCTTTTTAGGGACCATGTGCAATGAGGATGACCATGGACTATTTGATGGTCGAATTATCCCTAGGTCCATCATGTGGTCGAATTCGTTTTTAGCTAACCTAAGTTTTTCGGGAGCGAGTCGACGGGCTTTCGAAAATACAGGTGGTCCTGTAGTCGAGATGTGATGTGTAACATTGCTGGTTACACAAGGCAATTTCGATTGCGATTGGTATATCCCGGGGTATTTGTCGAGTACTGATTGGTACAAGGGGTCTATGATGTGCTTAATCGTGACTGGGGATAACCTGCAACCAGAACAAGGAGTGACGCAAACGGATAACTTAGTGTTTCCGTCTATTAACTTTCGGGAGCGTGTGTCGATGAGTAGATTGTGGTATTGTAACAGGTCTATACCAATGATTGGCATAGAGACATCTGCAACAACGAAAATCCAGTGTATGGGTTTGCGTAAACCCACGTTAAGGTAGACGCACCTTTTACCGTAAGTAGCGATCGGCTTTCCGTTTGCCGCCTGTAAACTGAAAACAGACTCGCGAAGTCTGTCGTTGGGATTTGCTGGAAGAACACTAACTTCTGCGCCAGTGTCGACGAGGTAGCGAACTTTCGTAGTCACATCCGTGACGTATAACAGACGGCTGTGTTCGCCGGCTACGGTTGCCGTTAACGCGTGCCGGCTGGGAAGTTTCCCGAAATCTTATTCGTGTCATTCGATTTTGAGGTCGGATAATTGCAGGGTTTCCTGCAATTTCTGGAAGATTTACCGTACTGGTTATGATATCAGCACCAGTCAAGATTGTCTGTCTCTCGTGGTCGACAGCCAGATCGCTTACGTGAAAAGCTTTTACGCTGGGTTTTTGACCGACTACGGTCATTACGAACTCTAAGATATCTTGTAAGCGTGTGACATAGTTCGGTTATGTCAGACGGGGTCAATTGAGGTTTTTCTTTGACGGAAAAGACCTCGGCGCTAGTGGATTTGGTAATTCCTAGGATTCGGTCGGCAGATGCAGCCAGCTCATCTATGGCGTTGTTTTGAAATGAAACAAGCACTGCCTGCACCTGATGAGGAAGATTAGACAAGAAAAGTTGTCTGAATAGGCCATCATCGAAAGTTCGTTGGCCGATAACTTCTCTCATTCCTAGCAACATGTCTGTCGCAGAACCCTGTTGCAAGTCGATGTTATGGAAGAGTTGGTCTAACCGTTGTCGGTCGGTTAGGTCTTCACGTTTTGGAATCGAACATTTGAGAGTTTCGTGAGGTTCGGGAACATAACCAGTAAACATACTAGGTGTTACGTACCTGTTAAACTCACGCGGTAACGCCTTAACCACCGCGAGGAATCGTGTGCGAACCATCTTGGAACCATCTCCGATTGCGAGAATAGGGTAAATATCATATACCTCGATCTCTCAAAAGCTTTGTGTAGGGTTAGTCAAACATATTTCATCCGTAAGTTTAAGCTGATAGGCATTAAGTCAATATCGACGGATTGGTTTAAAAACAATCTAAATAATCGATCTTTTAAAGTCTGAAAAGACTTCATATTTCCTCAAGCTACAGGATTCACCGGTGGGGTTCACCAAAGTTAACTACAAATAACTTATCTCTTTCAAACTTATGAAAATGACGTTCCTTGAAAACTACATTAGGTTAGAAAATCTAATTTTTCTACTCATTGGGATATTACAAGTATAGTATTTATTTATAACAATCTACTTACTGCCCAATTTATTCAAAATTATGAAATGAAAACTTGATAGTGGTACCTGCAATAGTTATAGTTTGAGATGTATGTTCAGATAAAGTATATGATGAGATGATGTGATCTGTAAACATAGACAGCAAATATATTAGAGTTTTGTTGTCATGACAGCAGGTAATTGAGAAGAATAAGCGTGTCTATGCAGCAGTGTATATGTGAGTGATAATAAGAGTGTTGTTTTGAACGATTATTTTACAATCAATCATAGTATTTGTACCAATTATACGAATTAATGATAAGAATGCATATAGTAACAAAAACAGATTGCAAAATGTCTGTTCTAATTATTTCCACAATTATTTCTGTGATAAAAACGCCTTTAGAAAGAACCTTACACTGGTAAGTTCAAAGAGTACTTCTGGCTAATTCGACAATAGAGCTAATTATTATTGGTTTTATCCGGACTCACAAAGATTATGTAAATATAACACTTACCCCTTCACTCAAAAAGGTTGAGTGCTCTGGAATGCATACAAGAGCTTTATTTTGGCGACCTATACCATCGAAAATACTCATGGACATCTCCCAGAATACCTACTCTTTGCAGGTAGTTAATTCCTGGAATTCGCTTCCAAGTGAAGTGGTTCAAAAGACGTTTCAGGAGTCGGTGTATGTGAAACCTGATAAATTTTTAAAGACCAAATGCAGTAATAATATTAATTTACCAACACTTCTGTTCACCTTGCTAAATACGCTCAGGTTTCTGTATGTAGGAGTCTGAGATCCCTTGTTGCTGAAGCGGAAGACCTCAGGGTGAAAGCTTCTACTATACCGTTTGCAAACATAAGGTTTGAACCATGTTAGCGAACCCAAATTTGTGATCTGTGAAGCACAGAATTGTTAAAAATGATCATCTTTCATGACGATGTATTTTGAAAGCGTCTGAAAATTCTTTATTATTGTACTACACATAAGAAAGAACAGATATTGTAGTACAAGAGATCGTGTGACAGTTTCCATGGTTAAAATCATTGATGTGTGAAACTCTTTGCCAGATGCAACAGTAAGAAGATATGCTGAAGAGGCTTCCAAAAAAATATTTGAGATTCAATCTTGTTCCTTAGGTGGAAAAGGTATTTAGTTTTAAAACTACTCGAAGTCTTTTATTAATCAACTAATTTTTGTAGTTTCAGAAGAGATAGCTATCTCTTTACATCTTTGATAAAGCTATCTAATCACCGAAGCACATAGCTATGAAGGAAAATAATTCACTGACCATCCTAACCAGAGTTGAGATTAGATGGATTGCATGTTCAATAAATACACATTTCTGTGGACGATGCTCAGACAAAACTGAACGTTACAACGTACTGAGGGTGTTGTGTGACTCTTACTTCGTTTTATCCCGCTACTGATACACACTCTTCCTGAAACTTCGTAAGCTTTATAAATTATTATTCCTTAAAAAGTTCTTCTCACAGGAAAGTTCCTCAATTCCTTGAATTCGGGATCTCATCCAGACCAATTTTTGGCTACCACTTACCTGCTGTTCCATTCCCACCCTTTCTTAAAGCAAACTATTTGACGGTAAGAAAAACTATAAAACGAGCATAGCAGCTTGAATCATGGGCTTGTTCCACTTAGCAAACTGCCTAGCGTTGGCTACGGGTCCTCATTTGCTGGTATACAAGTCTACTGGAATGTAGGTTAAATTCCATTCATCATACTACCTTTTAGACCAGATAACGATGCATTTTGGCCCTGTTTCAAAATTGCATGCGTGTACGCACTTACACAGATCTTGAAGTTTTTTCTGATCACTTTAGCTCCTCATAACTATTTGTCTAAGGGAGATTCTATGACATTTGTATGCTTGCTTGTGTCTATTCTAATAATTGCTTCAGGATGTTTTCGGTATAGTACTAGAGATAATAGTAATCACTATGATTGTACGTGGATCACTTTGCAGAAGTGAGTTCAATGTAGTAGCATCCAGTGTAGGCTGGTCAATCGCTTCATTAGTAACCACAAGGTGAGTTTTTCAAATCCTTACTTAGTTCCATCAGATATGTCCCAATTTGGGTTGGTACGCGTGGACTAGAATTCGACTGGAAATACTTGTGTTTGAGTTACGAAGCAAACTTGGATTTGGTAAGAATGCGTATAAATTCGTTCGATTCTTTTAGATTGATACATTTGTGATGTTTTACTCTGTTTGGCTATTATCACGTCGCTCAGGCCCTACGTGGAGCACTCTACTGGGCCTTCTCACCGTTATTGCGGGGCCAGCTAGAAGCATATTTTATGCGTAAGTTCACTCTTAACCTTAGTGTACATCTTTGCAGTCACATGTTGATGTGATTTAAAAACTTGTTTCCATGTGGAATGACTAACTAGTTTGTTATTTGGCAGTCGCTTACCGGCCAAAAACAATATGAACTGAGTCTCAAAGAATGCCACTTACTGAATACCAGTCAGCTTCTTGTCCGACAACTGACTCACTTCCATTTATTCTTATGTCAGTCTATTTTTCTTTCAAACACTTAAATACCTTAAGCTGCAATTATATAATCAGAACAGCACATGTAAGCGAACAATTGTATTCAGTTAGATCATCATCAGGCTTTACTCTAATATACATGGATATTTACACGAAAATGTTAAACCAATCAAGGCAATTTGAGTCAATAATCACAATGAATGAGAATACGTCACCGAACATAATAGTTAGAAGTACAAGTTGGCTGTAGGAAGACAGGTGAGCAAATAGTAGTAAGAATACTAAATTACGATAACGAAAGTCTTATCGATAGTTAAACATTGGAAATATGAGGTCAAACGTGGGTAAATAGACTTAGAATAGTCATCACTAAACATTAGAATCATTAAGTAATAAGAAGTATGTAAATAATGAGATAGTGAAAAATACAAACAGTAAGGGGCAGAAAATTACGAACAAATAACGGATGTCAAAATAATGCTAATAAGAAAATTAAAAACAATTATGTGGCTAGCAACACCTTGAAAGATGGGTTTACGAAAGTAATCTTGCGTTTACTAGCGATGTCTACTCAAACGAAGGAAAAGTTACCTGAGTTTATTTATTTATTTAAACATATATATTGGTACAAAAGGGCACCAGATACATATGCGCCACACAAAATAATGAAAGTAGGAAGAGAAGGGATGAAAAGATAAAGCGGACTGAAATGTACAACCAGAAGACTCTTTCAGTTACGAAAGTTAGAACCATTCTTTATGTAGAAAGTAAAAGAAGGTTGCAGCAGGATCGCCACTGGCTTCTATTCTAAGCCATATCTGATAACGTCTCTAGCCACTGTGTTGCACCATCTCTCGGACCCCAGCCAGGGTGTCGCGAAAAACCAACAGAAGCTAGCCCTTTGCAGCTTTCTTTCATGCCACGACACCATGTCATACACTGACCTCCTCTCCGATTTTTCCAACCAGTCCCAGAGTCGGCAAATAATGCACGACGTGGAAGTCTCTGGGACGACATTCGTAAAACATGTCCAAGCCACTGAAGTCGATGTTCTAAGATGGTGACACCAATTGAGTTATCGTCTCTGCACCCGAACACTTGATGCCGAACCTCTGCATTATTAACATGGTGTTGCCACTGTATGTCAGCTATCCTTCGGAGACAACGATGATCGAACACAGAGACGTCTCACATCCTCAACTCGGAGAGGCCAGGTTTCACAAGCATAGGGCAAAACTGCTCTCACCGACGCGTTGTAAATCCGACCTTTTACAGCCAGACTAACATCACGAAGGCGCCAAAGATGGCCCAGATTGGAATAAGCCGCTCTGGCTTTCCTTATACGTGCATCAATCTCAACACTCACGCCACCACCAGCACTTATGTAGCTACCTAGATACATGAACTTCTCAACTACTTCAATCTGCTCACCATCCAGGGTGATTACTGGATGAGAATCCTGCCAGTCTTGTAGGAGTACTTTGCACTTGGAGGGTGCAAAGCACATGCCGTACCTGCGGACACTGATTGCCAACTGATTAAGTGCTGATTGCATGCCTTGGGCATTATCGCACAGTAAGACAATATCATCCGCATACTCAAGGTCGAGAAGTCGTTCTCCAGGCAACATATCCACACCGCCATTACTTACATCCATCAGAGCTGTTTCCAGGATGTCGTCGATGGCAAAGTTGAAGAGAAATGGTGAGATCGGGCAACCCTGCCTATCCCCACTGCTCGAATGGAACAAGGGAGAAAGGTGGTTGTATGCCCTCACTGTCTGAGGTGTTCGTATACAGGGCCTTTAAGATGTTAATGAACTTCTCAGGCACACCCTTCTTCAAAAGACAATCCCAGAGAACAGTCCTGTCCAACGAATCGAAGGCAGCCCTGATATCAAGAAACACTACGATTGTTGGCCTGCGATAAGTATGACGGTGTTCTAACATTTGGCGGAGGGTGAAGATGTGATCAATGCATCTGTTGGGGATGTCAAATCCCCAGAACTTACTTGGTAAATGGCTTGATCTTGTAATTTTATTTTGAAAATTTGAATTTAGCTGTTTTCGCGCCAAAAGCGCTCTTTTTACCTTCACGTCATTTTCCCACTTGTAAACTATCTTAAACGCTATTGGTCCGTTGTCTCTTTGTGTGTGCTATTTACTAATAATGCTCAAGGACAATTTGTTGCTGTATAAATGCGCTTGACTTTTCCCCTTATTGGATTGCTTGTACTCGGCTGCTTACGGAATACATATATATTCCCCTACTTGCCTTGGACTTCTTCATCTAGTTAGCGGGGCCTGGGACAACAGATTAGAGTAGCTTATCGTGTCATTGGCTTTCGTTCGTTACCGCGGAATCGATTTAGTTTCAGGCATAACAGCATCCTCGACCAGAACGAAAACTAGCCTGCTCCTCGCGAGTCGATCGTTCTCGGGTTTTAAACAACCTACGAAGAATGACAAGCCAATAGTTTGGACGCAATCGGAAGTAGACTTATCCCCTGATAGTTGTTACAGGAACAACGTGATCCCTTTTTAAAGACAGGGACGACTATTGACTCATTCCATGATGTTGGAACACTTTCTTGCTCCCAAACCTTTGCAAACAACACCGTCAGTTCCTTAGCCAGAAAGTCACCACCATCTTTAAAAAGAGTTGGAGGTAAGTCATCTGGGCCCGGTGATTTGTAGCGCTTCAGGTGTTGGAGTTCCTTGCGGACTTCCGCCTCGTTTGGTGGACCAGTCGTCACCGGCCATGGGGGGCAGGACAAACTGGTTGATGTTGCCGGAGCAGCAGGCCAGTTGAACTGCCCTTCGAAAAACTCCGCCCATCGTCCAAGACGTCGAGAGATGTTAGTGATTGGCATCCCATCATCCTCGTAGATTGTTTCACTCACACCAGACTTCTTGCTGCCAGTGGCTCGGATGAGTTGGAAGAGCTTCCGGCAGTTACCAGATGCAGCTGCTGCTTCCATCTCATTAGCACGCTCCGACCACCAGGCTTCTCGGTCCTTACGCAAGCTTTGCCCAATTTCATTACGTAACAGCCTTCGTTTGTGGTCAAACTCACGGTCACCCGGAGTAGACCGACGGGCTTCCATCAGTTGTAAGGAGCCAGAAGAAACCCAGTGCTTGTAAGCGGGACGTTTCGCGAAGCAGCAAGCGGCTTTACTCGCCATTTTCATGGCGTCGTGAAGATGCCAGCAATGTTCATCTATACTTTTCGGTGGGGTGTTAGCTAGCCTAGAGGCTAGCTCCGCTCGATACTTACTTGCATCAGAAGTTGCAGCCAGTTTACTAACATCGATCCGTTGATGGTGGTCAATCCTTTGGCCACTGAAAAGTAAGGTGAGATTGGCGCAGACCAGGGCATGATCAGACTCCAGATAGGTACTCCAAAAGGAGCGGCAGTCTTGTACACAACCACGCCAGCGGTAGCTGATCGCGATGTGATCAATCTGAGTCCAGGCTTGAGATGCAGAGGGAGGACGCCAGGTGGCACACCGGCGATGACTGTGCCGGAAGTTAGTGCTAGCCAGAAACAGGTCGTGGTCTGTGAACAGTTGCAGTAGACGGTCCCCGTTATCTGTCCTGCGATCAACAAGTCCCCATCGGCCACCCAAACGACTCTCTTCTGTGCCTAAACGCCCGACCTGAGCATTCAAGTCTCCAGCTAATACTACAATATCTGTCGAATGCGCTTTCTGGAGAAGGACTGTTAACTGGTGGTAAAACTCATCCGTGATTGCATCCGGGCTGCAATCTGTCGAGGCATAGGCGGAGATGACGAAAAGACACCGTTTCTCACGCCGGTTTCTTCTCAGTTTGATGGAACTTTTTAATTTAACGGCACATAACCGACTGTTAATGGGGATCCAATCGATTAGTGCTGCCTCTGCCCTAGCTCTTAGTGCAACACCAACGCCTGCAAGACCAGACGAAAATGCCACAGGGTTCCCGGATAAGCGCACGTGAAACAAGCTTTTGAAGCGACAGATGGAGAGCGAATTTGTAGTACTTCACTAGAGTCTTGAATACGGGTCTCGGATAGACAGCAAACATCAACATTAAGACTTTCTAAAGACATAGCCGACCCCATCTGTTGTCCGATCTGCATTAGTGTGCGAACGTTGAAGGAAGCCAGCTTGAACGGCGTACTTGGTTTCAGAAAGACTGCTTCAGTATTCATAATCGGTGGAAGCATTCACTTTCAACCAGACAGTGACTGGAGATCGTTTAGATAGGACAGAGTTTCCACCATGGGCGAGCTACTGCATAAGTTGAAAAGGAAGGATACACAATTTGGGAATAAAGGGAGTGAAAAAGCGACGTAGTTAATAATAGTAATAATAATAATAGTGTAAATTGTCTTGCTTCTAATATGAGCGAGAATAGTATCGTCAATAGAATTCATTTCATTTATTTGGGCTGTGATACTGCCCAGGTGCCCGAACCGAAGCAGGTGGTTTTCCTAGGGGGCCACACCCCGAGCCTTCAACATAAAGGTCTGATCCACAAGGCAGTGGAGCATCGTGAGGAGATGCAGTCCCATGGTAGCCGGTGACCAACAGCAGGTTCATTCGCCATTCGTTCCATCAGGATACTGGAGCTCATGTGCACCATTGATTTGGAATCAGGGTTCTCCAAATCCCCTAGGTGGACCCTCCGTGTCCACCAACCCGGTTAAAGCTCCGGACATTTGCTCTTCGTCCTCTCACTTTCGTAAACAACACCCCCGCCACGAGAAGGCAGTGAGTAGGACTTCCATGGCAGAGGCTATATATTCGCGTGGCTATGTGAGAGCATTTCGAGAGGGAGAGCGGACTCTTCCCACTCTCGGCCGTACCAGGGCATTTGGGGGCAATAACGGAGCGAAAGTTCAGCTGCTCCTGTGGAGATAGCTTTATAGGGCGTACTACTAGGCATCTTAACCAACGAATAAGTGAATATCTAATAGCATGGGAGAACCCCGAATGCCCTGGTACGGCCGAGAGTGGGGAGAGTCCGCTCTCCCTCTCGAAACGCTCTCACATGGCCACGCGAATATATAGCCTCTGCCATGGAAGTCCTACTCACTGCCTTCTCGTGGCACCGGTGTTGTTTACGAAATTGAGGACGAAGAGCAAATGCCCGGCGCATTAACCGGGTTGGTGGACACGGAGGGTCCACCTAGGGGATTTGGAGAACCCTGATTCCAAACCAATGGTGCACATGGGCTCCAGTACCCTGAGGGAACAAATGGCGTCTGAATCAATCGTTGATCACCGGCTACCATGGGACTGCATCTCCTCACGATGCTCCACTGCCTTGTGGATCAGACCTTTATGTTGAAGGCTCGGGGTGTGGTCCCCTAAGAAAACCACCTGCTTCAGTTCGGGCACCTGGGCAGTATCACAGCCCTCAAGAAAATCGAATGAGATTTGTATGCCGCATATGTATCTGGGGCTTCCTTGTACCAATATTTATGTGTCTAAATAAAATAATGGTTGGGAGGGGCCAGATTAAAACAATACGCATTTCTATCTTGGCACATCTAGTTAATAGTGGTCATTATGTAGATAGATCGAAATCGTTTCGAGTGATCTATCGTGTATCTCCAACATTTCCCAACGGAGTTCGTTCCCGTTTCCTTCATATAACTGAAGCCATAGGAATTCGTACCTTTTCCCCCAATTTATGTGTACAGAAGAAATTTGCAACTCGCCTATCCCTTCCATGGTCGGACATAACTTACCAAATCACATTATTATTTTTAATTTTCCGCCCCTTACTGTTTGTATTTTTCACTATCTCATCATTTACATACTTCTTATTACTTAATGATTCTAATGTTTTGTGATGACTATTCTAAGTCTATTTACCCACGTTTGACCTCATATTTCCAATGTTTAACTATCGATAAGACTTTCGTTATCGTAATTTAGTATTCTTACTACTATTTGCTCACCTGTCTTCCTACAGCCAACTTGTACTTCTAACTATTATGTTCGGTGACGTATTCTCATTCATTGTGATTATTGACTCAAATTGCCTTGATTGGTTTAACATTTTCGTGTAAATATTCATGTATATTAGAGTAAAGCCTGATGACGATCTAACTGAATACAATTGTTCGCTTACATGTGTTGTTCTAATTTTTACAATGGGAATCTTTAATTATATAATCCAGAACTGTCATCAAATTAGAATCACAATTCTATGCACCAAAGTAAACTTCATTAGTATTTCCATGTGTCGTAACTTACTGATTTGTATACTGACTCATTGCCATCATCTTTTGCTGATAATTAGCAAAACATTTGTACAGTTGGATGAGACTTTTTCAGAACATGAACCTAAACATCTTTGTGATTCAGTCTATCCTTCGACTTCATTGTGTATTTATTTTCGTACCGCATTTGCTATCTGAGCTGGTTGTCCTGCACAGCATTCGAAAACATGTACTTTGATACGTTCATCCCTTACCTCGGATCTGGTCATTTGAAACGGACAGTTTAAACTGGCGGGTCACAAAAATCAATCTTTAGCCTAAAATTTGTAATTCAGTGAAACTTTACAGATGGTCGCAAGTTATTACTAATGTTCAGTATCACTAAATCTAGTCATATTTCGTCAACTAATTTCCTAAGCTACCACACATGAGCTTTATAGATAAATCAAGTCTTGGTTTTTGAATGTACAGATTAGTTAAATATTCAGAAGCATTTTGAGTATAAGTCTGAAATATAATTGCAGTCGTGCCCAGATTTCATTTACTAGTTTTCAAACGTAATACGAGATCCTTGTGCTACTATTCAAAAAGGTTAAATTGTTTGCAACATCTAATGGTAGTTTAAAGTCAATTTGAATTTTTAACTGTAAACTAAGAAGTCAAGGAATGTATACAATAGTAACCCCAATTATAAGTGCTACCTTGATGCGGTATTCGGTTTCACAGCCTGAATCAATCAATATAGTCTATAACAATTATTTCTCAAGATCCTAAAGTCTTAGACAAAAGCTAAGGCAGCTAATTAAGATTCAAGAGCAATATCATACAGGTTAAAATACTGACTGTAGTGGTATTATGATTATTCCGCCGAATTACTGTCACTTTTCATAAAACACAAGGAGTAATAAAGACGGACTTTTAGAACACCCTTCCTCCTTAATATGCACATTTATGGTAACGATGGTAAGACTTAAAAAGTGCAAACCTAAAACAACACAAAAGGATCGCGCGTGACTGACCACATCCAGTTCCCCCTTGGGCTTCAGTGTTAAACTTCCAGGTCGATAAGTTCATCAATACGAATCTAGATTCTCCGGATTCTTGAACGAGATATCATTTCAATGTAAGCGACCAGCAAGTATCTATCTTCCACATCAGCAGCACTCAATTTCATTTTGTCTGGTATAAAACTTAGTCCCTCAACAATTTTTCTATCTCATAGATGTATTTCAGGTGGTACTACCTAAGAATTTAATTGATATGAAACGGGATTTTTAATTCGAAGTAATCTGGGATATTCTTTAGACAGTTATGTAAACAATGATGACGTTTTTAATAACACTTACCGAATAATAACGGTTATGATACTTCGGAAACGTCTTCAGAATTCATTTTAGTGGTCCCCAAGCACAATAGTAATCAAAGGAAACGCAAATATACAGATAACCAAGTTTGTTTTCTTAAACGTGGTTACTGATAGTTAATAAAAATAAAGTGAGATTGAGCAATTTTTTAAACTCATCAAAGAGGGGTAGATCAAGTCATCTGTCTCTGGAGCTATTTGCACAAAGAACAGATTATCAGTGTACTTGCGAATTAAGAGAAACAATTTGACCGTTATTTTCCAAATATCAATAAAAACCCGATTAGGACATTAATACTCCTCTAATCGAATCGCTTATATGAAAAAGTTCGTTTGTATTTACGTCATTGTACATAATGTTTGATCAAAAATGGTACGAGGACTACTAATTATCTAGTCGTGAAAAGATTGCAAGTAAAATGTTCAATCCCTGTGGATCTTTATTATTTTTTTAACACAATACTATTGTAATTTTCTCGCCTTTTAGATTATTGTCCCATAAAATTGAGAACATCTTCGTTACCCTCGCGATAAAAACAATCATTTGTATTATCTTCGGAATTACAACTATGATAATACGATCACAAAGGCATACTGACCGAACTGAAGCACGGGAATCGCAAGGATTTTTCACCATTATTCGCTTGTTATATCAGTTGACAACGGGACGATACATATGTGCGTACAAAAGTCGAGACTCAAAATCCAGCTCATCAGTATTTCTCAAAAACGTAAAATGAAAAGTTTGTTTCAAAACGTTTGTCTACAAACAAAGTCTTTCCACTGCGCAACCTACAATTAAGAAAATGATTATTCTAGCGTTATTTATACGTACTTTGAAAACAGAAAATGTGTTTCAAATGCTAGTTTCTTTAATAAAATAAATGTGATGTAATCCAAGGGTTTGGTTAACTGCTGTTAAATTAAATGCTCAAATGTATTTCGTATGGCATAACTATAGCACAACATTCCAGTGATGATCAAGTGAATTTATCACCAGGTTAAGTAGCTGCATCAATCAGTTGGTTTATTTGAATTTTAGTGAGACAATTGCGAAACCGAGAAGTAGGTGAATAATTATAAAGAAAGAACTAGGAATATGTTCATACAGATTCTGTTTATATACAACAAAGAAGCCAGGAAAATGTCCTCTAAATTAAACCATTTCTTAAATTGGACGACTTAAATTTATTACTATGTATAATAGTCTTCATTATTTCCTAATGTCTTATTATGGCTCATATTGACTCCAAAGATATCGGTTTTTGGTATGTTTTCCTTTAGGTAGTACAGTGAATAAAGCGCATTCAAATTAGCAGTATGATTGGCGATTTTACAAATGTATATGACGATGATCTGATCAAAAATTTCTAACTTTATATGAAGAATCTTATCATCAGCCTTGAAATCCCAATATTTGATTAACACTAAAAAAATTCCCGATCCGATAGATGAAATTATTAGAATGTAATGGTTAGTTTTACCGTTACACAGGTAATATCTTGCCTCAAGACCGAAGTTCACGACTACCAACATAACGAAGCGTCCAGTTAACCAGATGCTTCCAGAACACAAGCACTAAGTACTGTTAAATGACTAATTACTTGCTTGCTCGAATTATATAATGCTGATTTACAAGTAAGCTAGCTTATCTCTGTGCAAATCGTATGTTTTTCTGTTATGATACAGTATCATAATCGAAATATCCTACGTGACATATTTGCGACAGTACCTAATACAATTTAATCAACAACGTTAGGTATAAGAATAACCAAAATATCTTACAGGGACTGATAGATAGTGAGATATTTCTTTCTTCTTTTGATGATTGCCAGGTATTTGAGACATGAGTTCCTTCAAAGCGTTGATATTTCGCTTTTCCAAGCAGAGCTGAAACAAAAGACATTTAGATGCTTAGAATGTCTTAAACTGAATTTTAAGGTGAAGAAACAGTGTGATTAGGGTTCACTGGCTCTATTTGGACAGGTGCGCTCTGTACTTTATCATAATCGTGCAGTGATTTACTAGACTAGGAATAATATTACGGCTGATATATCAGTTTTTTGTTACATTTTTTTTAACTTCATCAGAAGTTTTTATTCTGAATGCGTATAACAACGCATTAGAATGTCGAAATAAAAAAAACAATGATTAATATAACAGACGGCTATCAGTTTAATTATTTCTTGAGTTATGTGGATAACTATACCAGAAAGTGATTCGCAGTTAGCTTATCTCCCAGATCGACATAGTTTACAAATTTTCTTGAGGTGAACTTACATTTAGGATGTAACTTTGTGATGGATGCTACTTATGACGACAGATATTAGTATATATCACCAACCGATAATAGGATGCCTGGCGGGGAAAAGTTGAAAGGATCGGAAAGAAGAGAACGAGGGTTATTGGTATGGGAATGAAGAAATAATGGAGTCTGAGATAGTTGATGGACATCTTGCAAATGAAGTATTACTGCTTGGTTTTCAGATTTTACTAAGAAGTCCTGTAATTTTTTATTTAAACGCATTTGGTTGTCCCCACTTGCATTCTCGTTCACTAAAACTCTACCTGTTGAAAATAAGAGTACTATGGTGCTTGATACATGCCCTTTCCATTATCTCTTACATATTGTACTGCAGGCTACAATTGTGATTCCATTTAATTTTGTATCTTTAAGTACAGAAATTTAAATGCACTTGAGACCTTTCCAAATCAAATTACTGTTTCACTAATGGAAAGTAGACCTTTATTTTTGGAACTACCAGAGGTTGTGATCGAACTTACAGAACCCTATATATTGAATGTAAATGTAATTAACTGTGAGCAATGAGTAGCTATAAAGACTGTTCGTCATAAATTATATTACAAACAAATTAACTTACTTTAACTGCTTCATCTACCATATTTAACCGAATAACAATCTGTATAAGCTCTTCATCATCACTTATATATTTCAAGTAACTTTCAATAATCTAAAAATGAGAATTCAGATCATGAAGTAATTTTGGAGATTAACCTTTAATTTATTGACTCAACGAATCTATAATTGTTTTAAATGCACTGTAGTGAACAGAACACTGGTTGGGGACAATCGAATGTATTTAAGCAGAAATTACAGACTATCTCAGTAAATTCTGAAAACCATACAATGGACAGTTAATTTGCAAATTATCAACCAGTAGTCTCAATCTTCACTGTTTCTTCTCTAATTTCATTGTTCGTGCATTTTCCTCCCGATTGCGCTTCATTTCAGTTCTTCCCTCGTCGGTCTTCTGCCAAAATACATTCTATGTCTGACCAACACCATATACTACTTATATGGATACAAGTAGACCACACCATAGTACCACTCAGTTAATTTCACAAACATCATAGAGATGACCTTTGTGTATTCTAAGAATGATAACATTACGAATAATTCCCTCATTTGGAGATCCACCTACAGTGTCAGAAGTAAAACAGTAAGTTTATTCATAAACATGTGGTGGATACAACAGACTCCGATACTACGGCATTGCCTTTTCACTATTCTATTGAAACTATACTAAATATCTCATATAATTACTCTAGCTGAGGAAATTAATTGAAAAACTAAAACCTCTTAGATTATGACTACATACTGAGTACCGACAGCTGCCAGTTTCCAAAACTGAACAAAAGCAGATTAGTGATGGCAAACCAGTTTCATCGAGTGTAACCAGAAGGAAAAGAAACAACTAGATCCAAGAGATGTAGCCAATGAGGCAGAAAATGTATGTGAACACGATACATCTGACATATGTGCCTTTATTGGTTTGCAAGTTCAAATATTCTTCATTCATATTCACAGGGTTTATACATAGATGCAAGGACAGAAACTGAATATCAGCAACTTGTAACCGAGGTGAAAGTGGGAGCTGACTTATCGAAACATTGAATATTATTGTAGCCAGGTAGTTGGTGGGTCTTTGATTAAGTCAGGAATCTTAGATAGCATCTCTTATAGCAGTTTAATGGGTTTGGTCCTACAACAACTGCAATATTAGTTTTTTCCTACTTTATTGAGTCAGCTGGTAAGAACGCCACTAAGTTCCAGATTTTGTATAAATGGGGAGGTACTAGTTTAGGAACTGATTGCATTATTAGGAAGTGTATTGAAAGATATTTTCTTATCCAGGAAGTCGGTCATAATATAAAACCATCATACCTAGAACTCAAGCTACTGACATATCGAATGTAACATATTGGAATTTTGCAGATAGACTTTATTTTGTAACGTGCTTTAGTCGACACTGTAACTTGCTGCCGAAATATTTGCTGAATTTAAAAAATAGGAATAATCTGTTTCCCATAGGCTCAGCAATCCAAAGACGTGTGGTCTGAAATATAGTCGGATTTCTCTTTCAACTGGTGGTGACCTAAAAACAATGACCTTGTCTTTATTGGCATCATTAAGTCACTTCTATACACACAGAAATGTCAGAATTATGTATGTACATAGTACTGGTCCAACCTCTTACTGTGTATGTTAACTATAAGTTTTAGAAAATTGTGCTATACTATTAATCTGTTATTACCCACAAAAATACTGATCATTATCATTGTGCATATTCACAGTTTTGAGTAACTCCTGAGAAGGGATTACTTCACTAAATGTAATTTTAGAATTCTGCAACCTTTAAAGACTAGACACTGAATGCTTTACTATTTACTGCCCGACCATTTTGACTTAGTCTTAAAAGAAATGAGTCATCAGATAGATAGCTTATTGGTAAGGTCTCTGACTGCAGGACTGAATGGGGTGGAACTGTCAGCTAAACAAAGTTTAAAGATATGTGTCAAGAAACAGTAAACCCATGTTCATACTCCTTGGTTGATCATCTTCCAACTCAAAAGCAAAAAATCTCCTCAAGTTAGTAGGTTTTGGTATTCACAGATAAAACAAAAAGTGTTTGAACAGTATTTTTTCGACAGTCTCATTTTAAAAAGCTGTATTTAAACGAGAAAACCAATGAACATATTTTATATATTAGTGTCCATTAATATACTGAGTAGAAATGGAGTTCATCTCGCAATAAGGGGTAAAATGTATAACTAGTAAAAGGAAGGATAATAAGACCGACTAGATATTATAGGATATATGAGAGATTAACGATCAAGGACACAATCACAAGACGTGGAATTCCGGTATAATTTCACGAATAGGTAAGTAGTATTCCTCTGACAGTTAGTTGTTTGAGTTAAGAAGAACAAGATTGATTTTTATCATATTTTAAGCGACAGAATATTAGGTAACAGATCTGAACAAGATACTAACACCAATTTGAAGCTATTTACAAAACAAAACAGACATCGCTGAGTGTGGTGATATTCCTTTATTTATATTTATTTATTTAAACACATAAATATTGGTACAAAAAGCACCAGATAAATATGCGCCTCACAAATCTCATTTGATTTGTATGAGGGCTGAGATACTCCCCAGACTGAAGCAGGTGATTTCCTTAGGGGGCCACACCCCGAGCCTTCAACATAAAGGTCTGATCCACAAGGCAGTGGAGCATCGTGAGGAGATGCAGTCCCATGGTAGCCGGTGACCAACAATATGTTCATACGCCATTCGTTCCATCAGGATACTGGAGCCCATGTGCACCATTGATTTGGAATCAGGGTTTTCCAACTCCCCTAGGTGGACCCTCCATGTCCAGCAACCCGGTTAATGCGCCGGGCATTTGCTCTTCGTCCTCTCACTTTCGTAAACAACACCGGTGCCACGAGAAGGCAGTGAGTAGGACTTCCATGGCAGAGGCTATATATTCGCGTGGCTATGTGAGAGCATTTCGAGAGGGAGAGCGGACTCTCCCCACTCTCGGCCGTACCAAGGCATTTGAGGGTGATATTCCTAGGAAGTTATAAATATTTCACAATAAATTAGCCGAGTTGTGTTCAGTAAATTAGTTCGGAAATGTAAGTCGTTCGCTCCGTCAATGAGATGACCTACCACTTTGAGGAATATATTTCTGAGCTACTGGTTTAAAAGATGGGATACAATCACAACAATATAGCTGTATAGTTCCCAATCAACTAATTAAAACCTTGATATAGAAACAATCCAAGATTAATAGAAACCCAGTAACGATTAGTTCCTTTATGTACCATAACAAAGCATCATTTCAAGTAGGCAAATATCGAACTTAGAGTTACAATAATTTATTTCTGATGAAAAATAAATAGTTTCCCCGACATAGATGGAATTAACAACTGCATCACAAAGATCGATGTCAATTGTACTGTTCTTTTGATCTACTTACGCTAAAATAGTAGTAGAATGTGTGACAGAATTTATTTGTACTTTTGGGTCATTTAAATGTTATTTATTTTCCTTGCAGAATTATATGTTGTAGAGCAAGTGAATACTATGAAATAATAACTGCAGAGACTTACGTTTTTTGGGACATCTAATGAATTGAGATGAAGGATAAAACGATCAGTTGGGATGGTAACCTCCATACGACGCGACAAAGATTTCTTTAATAATTATAGTCGATTTATGTAACTAGTCACTTTACCTTTTTTAACATGATAAATTCCAGATCGTCCCAGTTTTTTGATTGAACAAGGGGCTCTATTAACAACCATCTAAACTGTTCGTCCGATATCTGAAAGAAATATAAAGACATTAATTATTAGGAGTATATGACAATAATTATCCGCATACGATGAGGGGAAAAAACCTATGAGGCTTACAAAGATAATTTGAATGCGGACGTAGAAAACAAGTAATGTAAGGATCTGAAGACAATTCCATTAGCTAGAATACATTATCCAAACAAAGCCAAGCTTCTCGATCTTGGTGTAAACTACTGATATACGAGTTTAACAAAGATGTTATACAACCATTAGTCAATTCAGAGCGTAGCAGCGTCAACATGAAACGTATAAGGGAATTATAGACAATGAACACTGGAGAAATTGACAGAGCACCTAATCAATATCTTTGCCACACAGCATTCAAAGGAGAATACTAGACTGAGGGTAAGTGAACGGCTATGCACTATTTGGCTTTTTAGGTGTAAAACATAAAAACTGCAAAAGAAGTTATCGGCTTAGTTTGCTACAATTTAAATTAACACAGAGGGATCCGATGAAAATAAATATCAAAATAAGGGAACTAATCAAAGGCACATCCCACAATATCTAAGATTCAAAGGAAAATAAAGAGCATACCTAAGTCGCTGACTGATTTTAGGCTATGCCCTGTAATTTATGTAATTGTTTCGTTGTGGATCCCGACTGAGGAACCTTCATCTTAGCATAGTGCCCATATGATTTTCAAGAGAATATGAATCCAGAAGGTAGATAGTTCTGAAGAACACTTCAAATAATTACTCCATACGATAAACAACTGCTAACTTGATTATGGTCATAAGTCTGAGTTCAGTGATTTTAATAAGCTGATACATTGTTGTATGCGCCAATCGGTAATAAGCATACGACAAAAATCCAATGGACATCGAGTAGCATAGTTGTGTCAAAGAATAAATCTAGTGTTAGTAAGTACACCCGTGTTCTTCAAATCCGATATCAGTTCCACGTTTGATTGATCGACATAAGGTCAGAACTAAAACCCGCCTGAGTCTTAACGTGTTTGGTACAATTGAGCACTAGCTGCAAGACAGATGAACATAGTAGCTGAAATCTTAGGGATAACATCGGTCAAATTGACTCCCGATGGTTATTTCAGAACAATTTGTCCTACACTACAAATTAAGGGGTAAGCGACTAAACATGTTTACACAGAACTACGGCTGATTCAAAACTCTTATAATTTACCTCGGATAATATTTGTCTTTAAACATGAGGTTGACGGGTTAGGATATGCTTCTTTTCCTTAAGGGTGAAGATGGATTGATAAAAGGATTAAGACAACATTTAGGAGAACTCTGAATATACATTAGCAGACGAAATAAAACTCTGTATGTGATTGAGATTCCCTAGTTCATTAGACTGTGGTAAACTTTAAGACAACTGATTGTGTTGGCGATCTTATTGATTTAGAGTACTACAGTCTAACTATAACTGTTATTTTAACATGATAGTAAAATTCTCTAAATGTGATAACCAGTCAGGTTACATTTACTGAGACGTTTGTTTCTCATTTTTTAACCACGATTGACTCGCGAGGAGCAGGCTGGTTTTCGTTCTGGTCGAGGATGCATTGATCACATCTTCACCCTCCGCCAAATGTTAGAACACCGTCATACTTATCGCAGGCCAACAATCGTAGTGTTTCTTGATATCAGGGCGGCCTTCGATTCGTTGGACAGGACTGTTCTCTGGGATTGTCTATTGAAGAAGGGTGTGCCTTCTCGACCTTGAGTATGCGGATGATATTGTCTTACTGTGCGATAATGCCCAAGGCATGCAATCAGCACTTAATCAGTTGGCAATCAGTGTCCGCAGGTACGGCATGTGCTTTGCACCCTCCAAGTGCAAGGTACTCCTACAAGACTGGCAGGATTCTCATCCTGTACTCACCCTGGATGGTGAGCAGATTGAAGTAGTTGAGAAGTTCGTGTATCTAGGTAGCTATATAAGTGCTGGTGGTGGCGTGAGTGATGAGGTTGATGCACGTATAAGGAAAGCCAGAGCGGCTTATGCCAATCTGGGCCATCTTTGGCGCCTTCGTGATGTTAGTCTGGCTGTAAAAAGTCGGATTTACAACGCGTCGGTGAGAGCAGTTTTGCTCTATGCTTGTGAAACCTGGCCTCTCCGAGTTGAGGATGTTAGACGTCTCTCTGTGTTCGATCATCGTTGTCTCCGAAGGATTGCTGACATCCAGTGGCAACACCATGTTAGTAATGCAGAGGTTCGGCATCGTGTGTTCGGGTGCAGAGACGATAATTCAATTGGTGTCACCATCTTAAAACACCGACTTCGGTGGCTTGGACATGTTTTACGAATGTCGTCCCAGAGACTTCCACGTCGTGCATTATTTGCCGACCCTGGGACGGGTTGGAAAAAGCGGAGAGGAGGTCAGTGTATGACATGGTGTCGTGGCATGAAAGAGAGCTGCAAAGGGCTAGCTTCTGTTGGTCCTTCACGACTCCTTGGTTGGGGTCCGAGAGATGGTGCAACACAGTGGATAGAGACGTTATCAGATATGGCTCAGAATAGAAACCAGTGGCGATCCTGCTGCAACCTTCTTTTACTTTCTACATAAAGTATGGTTCTTACTTTCCTATTTGAAAGAGTCTTCTGGTTGTACATTTTAGTCCGCCTTATCTTTTCATCCCTTCTCTTCCTACTTTCATTATTTTGTGTGGCGCATATGTACCTGGTGCCCTTTTGTACCAATATATATGTGTTTAAATAAATAAATAAATAAATTTAGAGGAAGTTCAAAGCCAAAGCAAATTTTGAGTTTCTCAAAATCCAAAACACTAGGGTTTTGGTGGAGGACAGTCCTTCAAATAAATAAAACACTGCTTTACGGAGTCTCATTTTCTAGTGATCGCGTTTTTCCTGCATGATATCATTAGTATATTCAATTATTGTAAAGACGGACTTCTGGGGTTTAACTTAACTAGTTTATTTCTAACCTCTGGCCCTGCTTTAAATCAAATAATTTAGAAATTTATTTGAAGGACTGTCCTCCACCAAAACCCTGGTGTTTTGGATTTTGAGAAACTCAAAATTTGCTTTGGCTTTGAACTTCCTCTAAATAATTTGCATGGTTAAAAAATGAGAAACAAACGTCTCAGTAAATGTAACCTGACTGGTTATCACATTTAGAGAATTTTACTATCATGTTAAAATAACAGTTATGGTTAGACCGTAATACTTGAGCGACTGCTTGTAAGATATTTAAGCTTATATTTCTTCTCGTTTACATCATCCAACTGTTATCCAGCTGTAACTTTTTTCTAAACAAGAGATAACATCCCGATTGAATATAAAGACTGGTTAAAACATTCTGTAAAAAATTACGAAAAACAAATTTCATACATATATACAAAGTAGCTTAATATTATTAAGAGCAAAAAGTAACTACTTCAGATCAAATTTTAGAAACTACGTGCTTTGAACTTTTTCCCAAGAGTTTCAGCCCGACTATTCGTCTTAACGCTTTGGTCCATCCTCGCCAATGCACCAAGAGTTTCGCATAATGGCTGCATTAACAAACTCTCAGGAAGTGTAGTAGCTGTTTTTCGGGCGTTTGTATACGTAAGAAGCTCACTGTAATATGAACTCCATTCTCGTTCCTAATATAAACAGATTACTAATTATCAAGTGAACAGAAATAAATACATAGCTGTTTTGATAATCCAGGATAACAGCCAATTCAGAAGAGATTTCAACAATATTTTTAACAGCGAGATTTGAGGCTACTTCAGATCTAAACGAAGTTAGTAAAAAAACTATATTTTACAATACTCTGCAATTTGCATTAGATATTTATTAATTTCATCTACGTGACCCGAGGATAAATTCATCAACTTTTGCATCAACTGACTATAGCTAGAAATCTTTACAAGTATTTTGTATGTAAGTTGAGATACAAGGTTAGCTTACTTCACTTTCTTTGATGAATCCGAGTAGTCTGAACAAATGAAGTTATTTATACCCAGATTAACTCACTTCATATATCTCTTTAAGTCTACTAACTGTCCAGTATTTCTAAGGAAGTTAAGAAAGTGAAACGCGGCTACAGAATTTTTTAACAAAATATTTTCAAAAGTGCTTTCTGATAATGAATTCCTAAGTTCATTAACAATCTGTAAGGAATGATAATTTGAAATAGATATATTTTGAAAATGATGTTAACCTTTGTAATTAAATTGCCGTCACAAGTGCTTGTAGTTAAATTTAAAATAACTGATTTGGAAGATTGTGAAACAAAAGTACTCAACGGCCATGTGCTCATTCCCCCAACAACAAAGTCATCAAGAGCTATTGTGATTGCTTTCAACCAGCATGCCTGTTATAATAAAAATCAAAATTAAAAATATTATTGTATTGCTTTTGAACCTCTGAACAGAAAGCAGCATCTTTTTCATAGTAAATCTCATTACCGATTAAGTTATGGCATATTGCACAAAATAGAATGTTAAAGTCTGTTAGATAAAATTTAGATGATGACAGTGATACTAATTGAGATTCATACCTACTGTTATTGATTCATCACATAATGTTTCACCAAAGCTATCACCGAGAATATCAGAGTACGCTAAACAATGATAGTAGAATTTGGTGATAAACTACTTGACGTATTATCTGCTTCCTCTAAATCAAACTGGAATCCTTTGACGGCACTCTCCTCCCATATATCATCCGACATTCTGTTTAGAAAAAAAAATAAAACGTTTAACCAAAAGAACTTGCTTTGTTTTTGAGATCCACTGACATAATATATAATTAAAGTCAACAATTTACATGCATCAAAATTACACGTCGACCGGTAGAATGATACAAAATACATTAGTGTTTGGAATTAGTACAGTGAACAATGGAACTTGTTTACACAGGAAAGTGGAAATGAAATCCGACTGATAAAGAGAATTTGTAGAAAAGCACTGTACTGCTAAATGACGTAATTAGTATTCGAACGACAATGACAACAATCCATGGATTTTATACCATAAGAAAATTGGTCTAAACATGAGAGAGCTGTTTAAGTTACGAGGCTGGTTGTTTTGAATGATTGTCATTCGTATAGCCAAGACGTTCAGTCCGCATATATCAAGTGAGCGAACTGAAATAAATCTGTGTAAGCCTCATGAATAATACGTTTTTTTTACAAACTACGTTGATAAGGATTAGAGAAATTATCTCAAGCATTCTACCACCTCCGAAGACGTTGTTGTTAAAAATTGATCATAGAGCTACGAAGAGTGAATTTCAATAAAAACATTTGATAAGAAGCACAATTAACTTGGAAGAAATTTCAAGACACGCACACCTGTACTCAGAACCATAAAAGAACCTGTTAGGTGTTAGTAGTGTCCAATTTCCTGTCTTAAAACTTGAGCGTTCTCTAAACATTTGAGCATTTAGTTACAGTGCACTAAAACCAGACTGAACTATACTGTGCACAAATATTTAAAAAATGATAATATAAAGTAGGACTAAGGCAAAAAATTGGATGCAGTAGTTATTGATTCTCTATACAAATTTCAAACGTTTAGAATACCCCCTCCTGTCAAGCAAATATCTGCAATAATACTGTAAAACCTTAGGTAGGGAAATTTGATCACATCAAAGAATACGAACAAAAGACTGTCATGAATGCTAATTATTAAATCTAAATAAAATAGAGTATCAGACAGGAATAACTAAAGTATTATCTAAATGTAATCATGAAGCATTCAATGAGTCCAATTGGTTGAAAGGACACGAATCACATATCCAAACATGAAAAACCTGAGTTTTGAGAATATATGCCTAAATATATGAAAGCATACTTAAAAAGTGCTTAGCTAGATTACAAAATCCAGAACAACACTTTAACGACCAGTAAGTTTGGGAACCTGATGTGGGGAATAAAGCAACTATAAATCGACAGTGAACACTAGGCTACCATTACCAAATAAATGGATAATACTAGGAGAACAAACATTTGAAGTAAAAGAATATTAAGACACCACCCTACAGAAGCAGAAAGTATTGGTAGGTAAGGCGGCAACCTGTCTAGTTACTTCCGTTTCTTAAATTCACACAGTTCGACTTGACGGGCCTACCAACTCTTTCCTTAACCAAACCATCAGTGGAACCTTGGTTACACTAGTTACCAAAGCAATCTACTGAAAGTGCTAACAGTACGAAAAAACGAAATCATACGTGACCTTGTGGATTTTGATGGAGAACTTTGTGGGGCCTTTGCATAGAAGTATCTTTTCTGTAGGACCCCTCAAACGAGTCCAACCTAAATTTCTAGTGTACCGTGTGCCCCGAAGAGGTTACATAGATAAGGAATTGTACGCACTTTCCCACAATGTCGGGGCAGGTAAAAAACACAGTACGATTAGCAGATCACTGAACAGACTATCTTTCAGACTCACGGTGAGTTTTTTTCTTTATATACCTTTCAAAAATTATTTCAATCTTTGTGAGGGCCCCACACAAATGTACTTCCAAATAGCATGGGAATGTGACCTAATGGAATTATTTTTATCTCTCCAGAACTCCGAGATGCAGCTAACTCTGAAGTATTTCAGACTACAAAGAATGACCCACATCGCTTCTTAAAAAATCAATACCGAAACAAGAACGTTGACGTCTGACCTACAGCCTAGTTTTAAAGCCGCCCAAGGTCACCAGTACGGCGTCAACTTGAATGGCTATGACCTCTAACCTCACTCAATGAAAACAACGATATTTCAGAGATCTGGGTCGTCTGAAGAGGATGCCATACTGCGGTATTTTGTAAAATCCTTTATGAATAGGATACACTATTATATTTTCAACTACAGTATCAGAAAACAAAATAGCCTGAGCAATTTAATGAGACTGAGGATACCACGGATATTCTAGTTTGGCAACTAGCAACCAGTAGTATCTTCTATAATCGATCGTTCCCAGTCAAATAGAAACCAGAAGTCAGATGAGAAGAGACAGGAAAGATATATTTGATTTGTTACCAATATATCGAGAGACTTCGTTCTTAACTGGCTATTGTAACGTAGGAGCTGTGTCCCACGCCGTATTGCAACGTGATCTGGTGCGGATGCATGACCGAAAGCTTTCCACTAAACAAGTCCACTTAAACAACGTGGTCAGCATCCAATGTCGAACACTTAATGAGCTATTGATTTTGGGGATTTATTTACAGCTACAGATCACTCCCCCCCCTAGTGAGGTAGTGATGCCCCTAAGACGTGACCAGCCAGAGGTTTAAACCCAACGAGTTTGTCGTTGGTAAACACTCTTCTGATATCTTGCTTCGTTTAGCAGCGTCTGGTCGTCTTTCCTTAAACTATGGGACCAAAATGTACAACATAGCAATAAAGAAATATAGTACAATGAAAATTTCGGTTCCTTGCGAAACTTCGTCGTTCTTTTCCAGCCGTCCTGGAAAAGAGAAAAAATAAAACGTGTGAGTGCATGTCGAAAATACACTCGTACTTGCGTAAGGACACAAGATGAGCGGGAAAAAATAAACTAATACACTTACAAACAGCGTAAAAGCGATCGGAAAAAAATGTTTTTTTATATATATAAAAATATAAATACACTCAAAAAAATAAAAATGTTTTGTTTTTTTATATAAATAAAAAATGAGCATATTGAAAAAAAGTTTTATAATAAACAATGAAGGGGTAAATCAAGATAAATCGTGTAAGTGCAAATTCTGCGACTGATCTAATTTGGCTAATGATCGTAGGAAATGTTTCCCATGCCGTTCTGTAACGTGATCTGGTACGGATGCATGATCGAGCGTCTTCATCTAAACGAGTCCACTAAAACTAATGTGTTCAGCATGCAGTGCCGATCACTAAGAGTTATTAGTTTTGGGTAATTATCTACGGCCACAGTATTTTCTTGTCTTCTTGAGAAAACCTCCCGAACTATCATTGCATAAAATTCTTTTACGCCATCACATGTTATGAATACGTATGTGTGCCGCGTTTTTCGTTTCTCGTAAGTTTTATGTCCCTAGGCACGTACGAGTTTATTTCGACATGCACCAATAATTATATCTTTCTTCCGTTCCAGGACGGTTGGAAAAGATGAAAGACCGACGAGGAAATGGATGAATATAAATTTTCACTATAAATGCGCTCAATCACACACCCGATACAGATTAATTGTGTGTATATCGTGTCACACGTCTATTGTAATTACTAGCCAGCTTTAACCAAAAGATTCCCGACATGTCGATAGCTCTCCAAATATAATTTCAGACCCCTCGATTTCTGACTTCTGATTTGACAGTGTTATTATAGCTTGATAAAAAGGTGCTACGTGTAAAGGTATTATCGAACCCAAAACTGTGTGGCATATTTAAATCTATTTGATCTAGGGACATATTAATCGCGATAGTCTTGTAGCTGTAAATAAATCCCCAAAATCAATAGCTCATTAAGTGTTCGACATTGGATGCTGACCACGTTGTTTAAGTGGATTTGTTTAGCGGAAAGCTTTTGGTCATGCATCCGCACCAGATCACGTTGCAATACGGCGTGGGACACAGCTCCTACGTTACAATAGCCAGTTAAGAACGAAGTCTCTCGATATATTGGTAACAAATCAAATATATCTTTCCTGTCTCTTCTCATCTGACTTCTGGTTTCTATTTGACTGGGAACGATCGATTATAGAAGATACTACTGGTTGCTAGTTGCCAAACTAGAATATCCGTGGTATCCTCATTGGTGAGCCTAACGTGATCTGGAACACCAAGCCAATATACTTTGAGTCCGTTCCATTTTATTATTATTATTATTATTCATTGTTATTCCTAATTTGAATTTTATATATTGTGATATACCGTTTTATTTCGCGAATTTTTTTCCCGGATATATTTTAATTAGATATTTTTCGTTATCTATATTACTATGACGGAATAATCACCCAAGGTTTTTAAGTTAAAGTCTATTCCTCCTATTTCGAATCAGTTAACGCCATTTTGGCCAGACAATATCGAGTCCTGGTTCTGCTACACAGAAGCTGATTTTTGCATGCACGGAATCACGGACTCACGCGCACGATTCCTCGCGGTAGTTAAGGCGTTACCGCGCAAGTTTAACAGGTAGGTAACACCTAGTATGTTTACTGGTTATGTTCCCGAACCTCACGAAACTCTCAAATGTTCGATTCTAAAACGTGAAGACCTAACCGACCGACAACGGTTAGACCAACTCTTCCATAACATCGACTTGCAACAGGGTTCTGCGACAGACATGTTGCTAGGAATGAGAGAAGTTATCGGCCAACGAACTTTCGATGATGGCCTATTCAGACAACTTTTCTTGTCTAATCTTCCTCATCAGGTGCAGGCAGTGCTTGTTTCATTTCAAAACAACGCCATAGATGAGCTGGCTGCATCTGCCGACCGAATCCTAGGAATTACCAAATCCACTAGCGCCGAGGTCTTTTCCGTCAAAGAAAAACCTCAATTGACCCCGTCTGACATAACCGAACTATGTCACACGCTTACAAGATATCTTAGAGTTCGTAATGACCGTAGTCGGTCAAAAACCCAGCGTAAAAGCTTTTCACGTAAGCGATCTGGCTGTCGACCACGAGAGACAGACAATCTTGACTGGTGCTGATATCATAACCAGTACGGTAAATCTTCCAGAAATTGCAGGAAACCCTGCAATTATCCGACCTCAAAATCGAATGACACGAATAAGATTTCGGGAAACTTCCCAGCCGGCACGCGTTAACGGCAACCGTAGCCGGCGAACACAGCCGTCTGTTATACGTCACGGATGTGACTACGAAAGTTCGCTACCTCGTCGACACTGGCGCAGAAGTTAGTGTTCTTCCAGCAAATCCCAACGACAGACTTCGCGAGTCTGTTTTCAGTTTACAGGCGGCAAACGGAAAGCCGATCGCTACTTACGGTAAAAGGTGCGTCTACCTTAACGTGGGTTTACGCAAACCCATACACTGGATTTTCGTTGTTGCAGATGTCTCTATGCCAATCATTGGTATAGACCTGTTACAATACCACAATCTACTCATCGACACACGCTCCCGAAAGTTAATAGACGGAAACACTAAGTTATCCGTTTGCGTCACTCCTTGTTCTGGTTGCAGGTTATCCCCAGTCACGATTAAGCACATCATAGACCCCTTGTACCAATCAGTACTCGACAAATACCCCGGGATATACCAATCGCAATCGAAATTGCCTTGTGTAACCAGCAATGTTACACATCACATCTCGACTACAGGACCACCTGTATTTTCGAAAGCCCGTCGACTCGCTCCCGAAAAACTTAGGTTAGCTAAAAACGAATTCGACCACATGATGGACCTAGGGATAATTCGACCATCAAATAGTCCATGGTCATCCTCATTGCACATGGTCCCTAAAAAGGACAGCAACGATTGGCGGCCAACTGGTGATTATCGGCGTCTGAATGCTAAAACCATTCCCGATCGTTACCCGCTGCCTCATATTCACGATTTGACAGCTACCTTGAAAGGTACAACTGTCTTTTCGAAAATCGACTTGGTTAAAGCTTATAACCAAATCCCGATGGCACCTGACGACATTCCTAAAACCTCCATAATCACTCCTTTTGGTCTTTACGAATTCTTGCGAATGCCTTTTGGTTTAAGAAACGCGGCCCAAACCTTCCAAAGATTTATAAACGGTGTCCTCCGAGGTCTCAACTTCGTACATGCGTATGTTGATGACTGTCTAATAGCAAGTCTGGACAGAGAATCGCATCTCAAGCATCTGGACATTGTTTTCGATCGACTCCAAAGGCATGGCATTACTGTAAACATTCAGAAATGCCAAATCGGAACTAACTCCTTAGACTTCTTAGGATGCACTATTGATGCCCAAGGCATCCGACCCCTTAGAAGCAAAGTGGCGGCCATTCTGGATTACCCATAACCGACCACTATCAAGCAGTTACGAACTTTTAACGGACTTGTAAGTTTCTACAGACGGTTCATACCTAAATGCGCATCCCCTATGAAACCGTTAACCGATCAGCTTCGTGGAAATGCGAAATCAATTAGTTTAGACGACATAGCCCGTAAAGCATTCTTCACAGTTAAGGAACACATCGCTCAGGCAACCCTGCTTGCTCGTCAGGACACTCAAGCGCCCATTAGTATCGCCGTAGACGCATCCAACTCAACAATCGGAGGAGTCTTACAACAATGGGTTAACAACTCGTGGCAAAATTTAGGGTTTTTCTCGAGACGGTTGCTAGACGCGGAAACTAGGTACAGCACGTTCGGTAGGGAACTCCTAGCTATGTATTGTGCTGTACGGCATTTTCAACATTCCATCGAAGGAAGAGAATTCACGCTTTTTGCCGAATATAAACCTCTTACCTTCTCCTTAAGTTCATCTTCAGACAAGTACTCACCGCGAGAGTCTCGACAACTGGACTACATTTCGCAGTTTACTTCAGACATACAACACATTTCTGGAGCTAACAATGTAGTCGCAGACGCCTTGCCTCGAATAAGTTCCTTGAACAGTTTCCAAGGAGTCGACCTTCTTAAACTCGCTCAGCTTCAAAAAAAGACATTGATCTTCAGCATGAGTTATCCTCGACAACTCTTAAACTAAGTATTAAGCAGATGGGAACAGGTAAGGAAACCTTACTTTGCGACACATCTACAGGTAGAGATCGTCCAATAGTACCAAAACATTATCAACGCAACGTCTTCAATACGTTGCACAATCTTTCTCATCCAGGTGCTCGTGCAACAGTCAAACTTATAGCCGAACGGTTTTGCTGGCCTGGTATGAATAAAGACGTGAGGGAGTGGGCATGCTCCTGTGTAAGCTGTCAGAAATCTAAGGTCATAAGACATAACAAATGTCCCTTAGGCTCTTTCAAAACTCCTGACGCTCGTTTCGACCACGTCCATCTAGATTTGGTAGGACCCTTACCCGACTCAAACGGATACTCATATCTCCTAACATGCGTAGAACGTTTTACTCGATGGCCAGAAGCAGTACCGATTAAGGACATTACTTCTGAAACCGTGGCCCGCGCTTTCGTCGAAAGATGGGTAGCAAATTTCGGCTGCCCCTCAACAATCACTACAGTCCGCGGACGCCAGTTCGAATCTGAACTATTCCGTTGTCTGACCTCACTATTAGGAATCGCGCGCTTCCGAGCAACCGCCTACCACCCACAAGTAAACAGGTTGGTAGAACGTTTTCGTCGACAATTAAAAGCTTCATTATCAGCTTCAAACGTTTCACAGTGGACAGACGCTCTTCCACTCGTCTTGCTAGGTATCCGCAATGCAGTGAAAGCTGACATTGGATACACGGCATCTCAACTCGTTTACGGAACGATACTCCGACTCCCAGGAGAATTCGTAGATCCTTCAGCTTCTTCATTGAACATGGATCTAAACTCTTACACGAGTAGGCTTACAAACGCTATGCGTTCAGTTAAACCTGCTCACACTCGACCTCAATCAACTGATGTTTTCGTTCAACCCGAATTACGACATAGTACACACGTCTTCGTTCGTCGAGACTCACATCGACGACCCCTCGAATCAGCATACGAAGGACCCTTTAAAGTTCTTCAACGCGAACGTAAGTACTATGCAGTAGATAAGAACAGTACGAAAGATAGCATCAGTATCGATCGACTCAAAGCAGCGTACTTAGAAGGAAACCTTAGCTACGTCGATTTTCCTTCGGTACAAGCAAACGACACAGCTACTACACTCGTAGTACCCTACACGACAACCGACACACAACTTGATACTTCGTCAACGTCGACAGATAAACCTAAAACAACGCGTTCTGGAAGACGAGTGAGATTTCCAGAACATCTTAACGAATATTGCACGTAGGACACAGGATTTATCTTGATTTACCCCTTCATTGTTTATTATAAAACTTTTTTTCAATATGCTCATTTTTTATTTATATAAAAAAACAAAACATTTTTATTTTTTTGAGTGTATTTATATTTTTATATATATAAAAAAACATTTTTTTCCGATCGCTTTTACGCTGTTTGTAAGTGTATTAGTTTATTTTTTCCCGCTCATCTTGTGTCCTTACGCAAGTACGAGTGTATTTTCGACATGCACTCGCACGTTTTATTTTTTCTCTTTTCCAGGACGGCTGGAAAAGAACGACGAAGTTTCGCAAGGAACCGAAATTTTCATTGTACTATATTTCTTTATTGCTATGTTGTACATTTTGGTCCCATAGTTTAAGGAAAGACGACCAGACGCTGCTAAACGAAGCAAGATATCAGAAGAGTGTTTACCAACGACAAACTCGTTGGGTTTAAACCTCTGGCTGGTCACGTCTTAGGGGCATCACTACCTCACTAGGGGGGGGAGTGATCTGTAGCTGTAAATAAATCCCCAAAATCAATAGCTCATTAAGTGTTCGACATTGGATGCTGACCACGTTGTTTAAGTGGACTTGTTTAGTGGAAAGCTTTCGGTCATGCATCCGCACCAGATCACGTTGCAATACGGCGTGGGACACAGCTCCTACGTTACAATAGCCAGTTAAGAACGAAGTCTCTCGATATATTGGTAACAAATCAAATATATCTTTCCTGTCTCTTCTCATCTGACTTCTGGTTTCTATTTGACTGGGAACGATCGATTATAGAAGATACTACTGGTTGCTAGTTGCCAAACTAGAATATCCGTGGTATCCTCACTCTGTCAGTTCCATTCCATAATGTTAAGCATTGTTTAGAGCTCATATCCAAGTGCATATGTGCTCCTTTAATCCTCTTTCTTCTCGAAACCTCACTCTTATGGAACTGCTATGGAGCATCTGACGCGTGGAACAACCTTGCAGTCTAAATACTCTTATTCTGTCATATATTTTTCAGTGACTATATAGCGACTTATGAACTTGATTTTGTTAGGAGTGTACCGTTAATTAATTTAAGTCTGGAAAATACAATGTCATGTGTACATCTTCATTAAGTTATACATAAGCATCTTAATACTTCCTATAGAATTCACTAGATTATACTTGATATGTCTTGGAAGGTGAACGCTTTATTCAGATCGTAAGCTAGTTCCGTAAACCCCAAGCTATAACTGCTATGCGACTTGAACACCAGAGGGAAGACACGAGTATCAGAGAAACACTTTACTGCAAGGTTCATTTATGTACAGAAAATATAGGGATTTTATAGTAATTTAAGAGTCCTTGAGTTTTTACTGAAAGTTCTAGAATACTGCTAAACATAGTAGTAGTGTATAAATCAGCCAATCAGGATCTCCACGTGTGACTTTTCCATTTTCGTTATTTTAGTAACATAACTTCACATAACTTCTGATTAATCTCTGATTGGTTGAAATGCTCCTTGATGACGCATGAGCTTGTCATTTCGCTTACGAGAAAACTGCAGGGTCATCCCAACAATACTGGCAAGTGATTCTATTTCATTTTTATTTTCTGAATACATTATTTTTCGGCAATTACTTTAATCATAGCCTGTCAACTGTTTTTTCAAATGTTCGCTTTGTTTCGGGCAGCGTGTTTAGTATTGATGAGGTGTGGTATCGAACGTTGTTCAAGTGGAGAATTCGTAGTGTCTTATATAAAATCTACAATGAGTATATCGACAGACGGAATGGAGAAGTTTGTCTTGATGTTGATCTCATCAGTCATCCATATCAACATAAATGGCGAATGGTTGAGAAGACGTAATTACGTGATCAATGACTGGGAGGAAGATTGTTACATCTAACATGCTCCTGTGTTTTCACTTGACCTGAAGGTTTGGAGGTCACTAGACAGTGTGGGGAGTAACTAAAACTATGTCGCTAGTTCACTCAAACTGTCCACACTTCTAAATGTATTTTTCAATAACTTTTCATATTTTTAATTTTGTTAAACACTGTTAACCTTAATAATCATTTATGATCCGAATACTTGCCTTAACGATCTGAATACATATTTTACTCTTGACGACGCATTTATGCCAGTTTTAAGTGCACCGAAAATCACTCCTGTTAAAAGTTCTGATCGCTGCTACTGAAACGATACAAAACAGTAGAAAAGGCTATTAACATTTGTATCCTAAAAACTAAAACAGGAACAGATACATAAATCGTTGGTATGTATGAGGTACCCAGACTGAAAAAGTGGAAGCGGTCGATAAAAATAGTTTAATGAAAAAACCTGGAAGTTTTCTCAATGCGTTTGTAATGACAAATGAAATTCTAAGTAGTTAGGATCTGATGTGGATATTCATATTGTGCTGTAGGGGAGACTTTTAGGTGAGGTTACTTAGTCAAGTATTTCAGTGCTCTTGGACAACACAATCGAGAGGCTCTTTTTATCGCGGATCCCGAATGTTATATACGGTTCAGTGCATCCTTCTTCTGAGATGCCGAAAAACTCGCCTTGTTCAAGATAGCTCTCAACACACAGGTCTCAAGCCTCACAGAATCTATCGAAAGAATAGGAAACTACTATGGAGGACAACTGAGAAGGGATCAAAGAAGCATTAACTTCAACATGTCAGGGCCGCTACAAGCATCATCATAAGAAGACTGTTTCCATCAAGACCATACACAACATTCAAGAAAGGAAGAACAAAAAGACAACAGTTAACTAGAGGAGAGAAGTTCAAGTCACAAGCTGAATACACAGAAGTAAACAAACAAGTAAAGCGAATCAGAGCTGACAGGCAGAAATTCGTGGAACAGCTAGCAATTACAGCGAAAAAAGCTGAAAGTGAGGGGAATGTGAAACAACTATATGACTAGTTGAAGAAACTGGTAGGGAAATATTGTAAATCAGGGAAACTGGTTAAGGACAAAGAAGGTAAGCTCTATTTCTTCAGATTATAACAATTTTGATATAACCTATACCCCATGCTCTGCAACTCTTTTGGATCACATAATGGTGGAAGTGAATATATACCACACCTGCTGCTAAACGATTTAATCTTAACCTCAAGATCTAAAAGCATCGACAATATTAAGAGTGAATTAGACACTGTCAATAAGCAATTAAGAGATATGCGTTCTAAAGTGGAGTCATTAAAAACGATAGAAAAAGAGTGACTAACTGATTTGTATGAACTATACATTATCAGCAACTGACGAAAGACAGCAATCGATTAGCTTACTAACTTTTTTTTCATTGTTCAAGAGAGGAAAATATAAAGTTTAATACTTAGCAAGTTAATCAGTTAGCACGAACGTGACCTCCGGTTGTGTCTTTTCAACGGTCCCATGATTTCATCAAACTGGTCCACATTCAGGCTTTTGTAATCATTTAGGTCAAAAATCCCCAAAACAGCTCTTATTTTTATTTACTTACCTCTCTCTCACATTAATTTTTGTAGATAATATGGCGTATCAGATGAAAATAATATGTATTCGAACGTATAGGAAGCACGTTAGCTGCTTCAGAAGGTAAAGTTTACGACACAAATGTCGATGTTTGGAATTTGTTTACATTTCTATACGGAAGAGCGTACAAAATATTTAATTTTACGAATCTCATGTTTTTAGGTAGTACTTTTTCGGTGAACGAACGCGCGTTTTCCAGTTATTGCGCTACGACAATGAAATGTAGACATTGCGGTTGCTCTAATTTAGAGGAAGATCGTGCACGGGCTGATTTAATATGTCTGGACTGTGGAATGGTGTTGGGAGAGAATGTTATTTCATCGGAAGTAGAATTTGTCGAAACGAGCACTGGTCAGTGTGCTGCAGTCGGTCGTTTTGTTTCAGACGAAAGTATGCTTTACTTCTCATTTTGGTCATTCTTCAGGTCAGGCAGGAAATTTTAAGGAGTCACGACAGGCAACAGAAAATAAAGGTGAGTTCGAGATTTATTGTAGCAGTTGGAGAGTCCGATTTCAATTGGTTATTATGATATTAGACGACTTTATCTCAGATTTTTAGTTTCCCTTAAGGTTTCCTGAAGCTTTTCTATGAATGATTAGGTGAGTCCATCGGCCTTACCTCACGGGCTAACTGCGTCTGTAATGAGCTACCGCTCGTGAACTTATTTTCGTCAGCCTATATTTTGGACAGTTCCCTCTAGTTTGCTCGTGCTGTATATCATTGAATATCTTAATTTATTTATATCTAACAACCAGTCTTAAGCTGGTCGGAATTTTATCGCCTAAAACTTTGAGGTGAAAACATTGCTGTCGCACATCACACTCAACTTTATCAGATAGTTTTGAAGATAACTAATAGTGACTTAAAATCTGGAAAATTTATTGGCGAGACTATAACTTATGAACAACCTTTGAACAAATCTCAGGTGGCCTTGGTAAATGTTAGCCAATCAGGTAACAGTTAGTATAGGGTAAAATATATTACACAACAGCAAATAATTAGAGTAGATACACTTCTCTTACATGGTCAAAAAACTTGTGAAGGTTAGAAAAAGTTTCAAAAATTCTAAAATCGTAATGCATAGCGTAGAGAACCTCGTCCATATGGTTCCATAATACTCGGTCTCTGGAGCCATGATAAGGTCACAAAAGCTCGGTCAGTTTCGTCCACATAGCTTCAATATTTTTTGTGTGTACTCCGGTTGTGTAAGTTTGTCATTTTTAGTACGCATATAGTCTTACAATACTTATACCTCTGAACAGGCGAAGCTTCAATAACAAATTCTCTTAATTCTGAGTATTGTTGCATGCTAGGTTATAAATGATTCAATCAACCAAATGCACCTTTTATAATATTAATATGCTAGTTTCAAGCGACGAAAATTTTAATTTCCTGTTATATTCTGTTTTGTATGCATTTGTAATTACTGTCCTAACTTTGTTGTAGCTCGTCGAAGGATTGACACTATTTGTGGCCAGTTACGCCTTGGAAATGACACGGCTGCATCTGCCTTCCGTTATTATCAAAGCGCACTTTTTCGTGGGTTAACAAGAGGTCGTAGTGCCTTTACAGTTGCTGCAGGTTGTATTTATTTAGCAGCTCGTCAGTTGCGTGTCAATTTAATGTTACTAGACCTCAGCGATGCAGTGGGTGTTAATGTTTACGTCCTTGGTCGTGTTTACGCAGACTTGAAGAAGCGACTAAATCTAGCAATACCAGAAATGGGTTAGTTTTAAATAACTAGTCTGCCAAGATTTGCTTTTTGTAGAAACATTCTATAATATGAGTTATGGTTTTTCGATTGCCGACATCGGAACATAGCACATGCGATATTAAGTCACTTAAACTAGTGGCAGCATTTCAACTTGCTCAATAGAATCTAGTCTGCACTAATGAATAAAAAAACGACCATGAGCCGCTAAACAGGCAATCATTGTATATGTAGCTATGAAAGCTTTTACTAACTCATGTATCAAGTACGTGGGTATGGACCACATTGGGCGTTAGGGCTACTACCGGTTGTCTAAACCAATGTACAGACAGCGGGGTTCGAATCTAAGACTTAGTGGTTATTAGTCAAATACATTAGCCACCAAGCTACCCCTCCACTTAAATTTTGTACTATAAGTCGCAGATCATTCAAGGCTTGCGCTCATACTCTGATAGCTTTTGTTCTGCCAACGAAATCACCATGATATTTGAAGTATCTCATGTCTCCTAGTTTACTTTTCTGGTAAATAACAATGAAACTTTCTGAAATATTTGGAGGGATTAGAAGTAAGGTTTTCCGATAAATGCTGATTTCATATCATCCCCAGCATGTGGTTCCATTGAGTTGAACTCAAGATGGTAATCTTTGTTCTGACTAAATTCCGTTTTATGCAATTACTGTCTCAAAAATAAGGTGACATTTATTTCAAATATATGTTACCTTAATACATTTTAGACATGTAGTTGGGCTTTCTTCATTTACTCTAATATATGCAGTCGATGTGTACCGTCTGGTTATAAGCACCAAATAAGTCAAACTGCGAATAATGTTAAAGTCCCGTTTGTAGAACTAAGGTTAGATTTGGTTGTTACCCTAAGCGTTTTCGTGACTTGATTGTTAGAGTGCAGAACTTTCAACTAATGGTTAGCAGGTTTCAACCCTTTCTCATATACTTCATTTTGAACAGGTAGATAGTACCACCAGCCCTCACAAACGTTGAGTTATTACAAAGCAAATAAATGTGGTAAAATATGTACTGTGTAAATTATATAAAACTGTGGTCAGACTAAGACATTTCACTATTCCGTGAAGCTACTGGGAATCGTATAGATAGATATCTACTAATTAGATAGTGTCGTCGAGGTTAATAACAATGGACCATAGATGACATATTTGAAAGGTTTCACAAGGAGTTAAATAGATACATACTTTTTATATCCCGTGAATAATTCGGTGCTCTCCACGTATTTTCTTTTCTCTCATACCTATGACGTATGTGTCTGTTTCACATAAAACAAAGTAGCTCCGTAACTGAATATTTACCTCTAAAAGGTTGTAATTGCCTCTTCATTTGCGGACTGGTTATTTTGATTAGCTTGGTTTGGTCATGAAGAATCAACAATTAGAAGCTGGTTACTTAAACGTTCGAGCTACAAGCTCATGTTGAGATAGGAATGTATAGCTGTTACCCTTTATTTTTCAGTATTTTTTTAAGGTTTTCTGATGCGTTTGTTACTTATCATTTTCCAGAGTTATTCAGAAACTTCACGTAACAACTAATTTACCGAGTATAGTCTTTAAACCACACTTGTGAGGGTTTTTCTAACACTTCTTTGGCTACTCAAGTAGAAGTGGTTGAAGGGATTCAAATTTCATTGGAGTTCGATTCCTTCGACCACTGAGCTGCCACCGTTAAGCTTCATCTTATTATAAAAGTAGTTAAGTCAAACAGTTTCTTCATTGCTTTTTATTCCACAACGAATAAGCACAAATGTTCGGCGTAGAACTATGGCTGTAACCTTTTGTGGTACTTGTTTTAATTTCTATGTAGCGTCCGTTTATCATTTGTCTATTTTTTTAACCCAATGGTATTTGTATGTTGTCTTTTTAGATCCTTGTATATATATCGACCGTTTCGCTAGTCAGCTAGAGTTTGGAGATAAGGTGTCAACAGTTGCTACAACTGCTATGCGTTTACTACAAAGAATGAAAAAAGATTGGATCGCTACTGGAAGAAGACCCAGTGGATTGGCTGCGGCAGCGCTACTTGTTGCTGCTCGTATTCATGAATTCAATAGAACAGAAGAGGACGTAGCTCGAATTGGTATGTATAATCAATATTGTAACCTGTGATTGTTATTTTCTACCTAGACTGCTTATTTGTACACTAGGTACATATTTTCTAACTGCGAGAACTTAGTTTCATTAGTTTGAATTTAAATTCGTGGATTATGTAAAAGTTTGTCAATTGAGTCAGTAATTTCATCTTTCATGTTATTAATTTTAGATTGGTACACATGGTAGTTTCGTGAGTATTATCATCAGGTTAAGCGTGATAATTTCGACCAAATTTAGCGTTTGTTATAACGTTAATAATAAAATAATGATATATTTCTGATATCATAATAAATGGAAATGGGAATTTCTGACGTTTCGTGACTTATTTTGATCCATTTCTTCGGAATCAATAAATAACCAAGAATTCGACCATATAAACGTTACCACTCATAGAAACGATTCCTCTTATTTCCAGCAGTTCTAAGATACAAATAATAGTGTCATTGTATTGAAAGCTTTCCAATTTTCGACCACATTACTGGATTTGTTTCAGCTAATTCTATTACTCGAGTTTGAAATGTGCTGTACCAATTTAAATCCTGCACATATCAGTGTATTCATATATATATATATATATATATATATATATATATATATATATATATATATATATATATATATATATATATATATATATATACTGGTGGTGTTCATATGTAGACGGAAGAATGTTCGCGTGTTTTTCATATGCAAAACTCTTTGTAAAATGGTATATACTGAACATATATAAGTCGTATGTAGCAGGAATTTAAGGTAGAGTTCTAACTGTCAGAAGAGAAAGGAAAATAGATTAGTTGGAGTAATAACAGGAATGGATGGACGATTGAGTCTGTAAGAGACAACTCAAAAAATATGTGCAAATAGTGTATTTAATACATTGCCTTCATACTTTACAAATTCAGTGTATAATTTTACATAACGAAATTGATTTTCTCCCACCGAATTCTTCGTCCGTTACAGTAAAATGAAATTTCGTTTTTATAGATTCTATCCACCTTATAAACCGGAGCGTAAAATTATATCATTATGCATATCTGCATTTAACCTGATAATGCCTTTTTTAACGTATGATTTAAATATTTTGTAATTTTCTGGTTAGTTTCATATTGATTTTTGTCGGCTGATTATTTTTCAAAAAGAATTTTAGTGGGATCTATTCATAATTGTGTGGTTGTTTTTTTTAGCTCGAATAAGCCAAAGTACTGCTCGGAAGCGTTTAGAAGAATTCGGTCGCACTCCATCATCTGCTCTCAGCATTGAAGCATTTTTTTCAGTTGATTATACGGAGGAACAAGACCCACCAGCATTTGTTGCTTCAATGAAACAGGAAGATGAGAAGATAAAAGTAAGTAAACATCTGTTATTTTTGTTCAACAAAGAATATGTTGGTAATAATGTTACTCATCACCTAAGCATAGGTTTATATACTCGAATTTAAGTCACGCTATTTGGATGACGGGTAGTAGTATTACCTGGTTTTCTAAGCCTAAATATTTCATGCTGTTTGAGCTTGTAACTTATCGGTTGAAATTTGAGTGCCTTAATCACTAAGTCACCAATCCAATGAAGGAGTAAGTCCGTTGTAAATGTTTTATTTCGTGGAAATTTGATTATAATCGACTAAGAAAAATCTATGTCACTATTTCGGGTTTTTTAAACTACTTTCAGAAACTCAAATCCCGCTCCACTGAGTTGAATACCGTATTTTTGTTCCCGTAGGCTATACTAATTATTTATTTGAATGCCTACACACATCCACTCTATCCCTCAGTAGTTAATAAGCATTGAGCATTCATTTATCTTAGCTTCTCAACTCTAAGAGCTACTTGTTCTGTACGTAACAAATACATATGTAATCCAACTTCTAAATGTCATACGTTATACTCATAAATTGTTTGTTAGATTTGTAAAGGGATGCAATCGTATGTGGTTGTTAACGCTAATTTCTTGTTATTTGTTACTAGTTTTCTGCGTCTTCTTGTGTTTAGGTTACCAGAGTAAATGGACGTCACAGTAAAAAGTACTCATAATACTAATATTCGGTTTGATATAGTTTCGATTGTCTGAGAATGGATAGAACCATTTAGATACCAAACGGAGAAGGAATTATATATATATATATATATATATATATATATATAGTCAAATATATTAACTCGTTTTATCAAATACTTAGAGTATGTCAGAGGGAACGATGGCTCGTATTACTCTGGAAATATCTGAATTAGAACGTCGTATAGATAGTGAATTACAAAAACTGGCCGGAAAGTATACTGCACGTACTATTTCTTCACAACTTTCCAAAATAGGTAAGTTAACCTGAAACCAAATAGTTAATTAACAATTATTTTATTTTCAACAAAAAATCGTAGGTACAAAAAGATGCCAGTGTATGGGCTTTACAAGATGAAATATTCTTATTATTAAAGACGCACAATCAAGAAAATCATGTAATGAAAGTAAAAATAAAAGAATTCAACAAATTTTGATTTCGTTCATTTTAGGGATATATTTTATTTAGGATACAGAGGAACATTGCAACTCGTTTGCTTATGGCTTCGTTTATGATCTCTGTTTGCTAACATCCTGAACCGATGAGTTGGATTATTTCTAAATCTCGATCAATGTACTTGCGATATACTAATTAACTCCGTATCATAAAGTGACTGTATTTCCACATTTTTCTGCAGCGTCAACAAGTGGTAAATAGTATTAAACTGCTTGGATAATATAGGTAAATATTGTATAATCCATCGATCCCCATGTTTGAAGATGGAAATATCTCTTCTGTGACCAACCATACATTGTTTGACCTCAGGACGACTTATTTCGTGTGTTAACAGTATCTCGGAGATAGGGAAGATTAAACGTAGGGTTGTAAAATGTTCTAAGCTATGATAGATCGTTTCAAAAGTTCGGAATAAGACTGCCCAAACTTTTTACATTCGACATTTTGTGCTCAGAATAACGTCGCGACTGTATCTAATGTCACGTAATCGTCTGACGTTTCTAGAGTTAACATGCACTACGGGTTTTTATTTAGTGTTTACTAACTGTGGCAGTTAGACCGTCTTCTGACGATTCTTGTTTAATTACCATACGTTCCCTTTCAATCTTTTTTTTAACGAGATACTAATGTCAAGTAAAGGCAGCTAGTAGGAACTCCTTTAGAGGGGATGTAAGGAAGTGATTTCGTGAGTGCGTTTGGGAATGAGAAAAGAGTTTCGCTACCGCGTGGTGTACTAGAGAGTTCGAAGGTTTCTGAACATCGCTATGATATAACTTTATGCAACAAATCACTAACACATAAATGCTAAAATCTTCAAATATCACTATGATGCAAGGACCCAAACCGTATTAAATATTATTAGAAGTTTATGTTTTCGTAGTGGAATAGCAGTCGAAAATCAGTTAATAAAGTTTAATATGAACTTTAAAGTGGTGATTGAGTACTCAATGCTGACCAATTATTATTTCGCAACCGATAAAACCGTTGTCAATTCTTCAAGTCTTTGTTAATCACCTAATAAAGTGTCGTGTGTTGGTAAATGGGGAAGCCTTTGATTTTAGTTAGACGTTTTATAAGTGAAAATATTCTGTTCGAACTTCAAATAAAACGTTGCATGTTTTATATTCAGCACTAATAGTACCACTTAACACTGCTTTATTTTATTCGCTTTTTTCTGGTATCATCACTTTTTGTTTACTTACCGATATAATTATGGTACATATCCTAACGTGACGTCATTGGCTAGGTAATATATATAAGAACCCTAATCCTATTTTTGTCTTAATTTTCATCAATATTCAGATGTTGGTTGCTCTAAAGGTATACACCATTTACTAGCTGAGACAGATTCACTCAAAACATTTGAACTTCTAAATGATTTACAAAAATTACCGAATAATAGTATTGATTGTGGCGATACAGTTACTACTAGTACTACAACAACAACACCTATTGCAGTTGATAATGTTTTGAATCAATCTAAAACTGGTCAAGTTCGTGGAATATTACGTGATGTTTTAGATGGTTTAATCGAACCAGAATTGTTAGATAGTTGTGTTGAAGATTTACATATTTTAACTCAACATTCTGGTACTAAAATGTGTCAACTTTTGGCCGAAGCTGAAGAGCATAGAAATTCGGCTTCTGTAAGTAGTGAGCAGAAACAAATAGTTGAAAATGCTGATTCTAAACCATCTGACGTTGAACAAACGAGTATCACTGAGGCGAAATCAAAAGGTGAGTCCTATTTATACTGGTGTAGTTTTGAGCTTAATGGTAGTAGGTTGATGTGAGTAGTAATGGAAATACCTATTGACTACTGCTTATTTAAAACGTAGGGTAATAACTAGCACTGATAATTCGGTAATTGAACCCGTGGAAATTCATCGGGCGAAATGATTGATATACGTTTTATGCGTGTTTAATCACAACCTATCTTGACTCCGAAGTAGATTGGGAATAGTGGCGGGGGGCGGACAAATATATGCTATTAGTTAACAAAACTGAGAATTAAGGCTTGTCTGATGATGACTTTTTGTTTATTATCTGGAATATAATCATGCTCTTTCTGGTTGGAGATCTTAGATTATAATACTGGACTTCTATGCATATATACTCATTCATTTGATCTGAATGTCATTTCATAATTTTCGTTCCCCGTATTTATTCGTTATAAAATAAATTTCGTATATATTTTGCTTTCCAATGTCATTGATATTATTATTTCAACTCCATAGTTTATCATCTTTTTCAATTTCCTCTCACTGTTCTATTATTAATTAATTACTAGTTATTATTGTTATTATTAATGGCTTTATTCAATTGGGAATTGTACCGGACGCACTTATGTTGGTTCCCATATTGTTTATGACTAACTGCTCCTATAAATTCACTGGCTGACAAGATATAGTTCTAGTGGAGTGGCGGCTCAGTGTTTAGGAGGTTCGACTTTTAGAACTAGGTCTCAGGTTCGAGTCGTGCCTCACTTACTTAGGTTAAGGCAACCAAGTAGTATCATTAGCCCTCGTACCTAAGATGTGGGTCAAAGTCTAATTTCATGAATTTGTACTTAGTTATACGCATTGTTTAACCAAATAAAATACACTTTGCTTAATACTAACTTTATATTCAGCAAAATTTTCACATTTTTTTCGGATGTTTTTGTACAACTGTTATTTTAGTCCAAAATATACGCATCAGTAAATTTTCGTTAAACGCAGTATTCGTTTCAGAATCGGATGTAGTGGTCAGTGATTGTAGTAATGCATATATTTTACTACTTTTTTAATCATTTTTCAACAGTTTATTTACTGTTGAGTTACAATGTGTATGAGATCTATAGCAAATCTTAGATATGATGCCCAATGATTAAGTCTGACAGTCAGGTCTTAATTGATTGAGAATGAATGACCTACAAACTAATTTTCTCCAATCGTTTGTGGCATTTTATCACGTTTATTTTGTGCCTCTATTCTATATATAAGTCTATTATTTTATTACATGAAATTCCATTCATCTGGCTAGTCATCTTGTCTTCGATTTCCAACCATTCGGGTGCCTAAGCAAATTATTCAGCCTCATGAGTAGCTATCATTCGGTCACATTATATCATTGCTTTCATCTATCGATTAGCATTCTATTCATCGCTTTTAACAACCAACGTTTTGTCCTACCAAATCATAGAAAACCTCCTCCATAGCATCTTTCTTTTTGTTTGTTGACAGATTCAACGTGTTTGAAACTGCCCGTTTTCATTTCATCAACAACTATTACTACAAAGAAAGAAGATAAAGGTATTTAAGTCATTTTGTCATTTGTCTTATTACATTTGATAACTTTTTTCAAAATAGTTAGTGCTCATTTTATATCATGCCATAATTTATAGACAGTAATTTGATTGGTTTTAATAGATGACACTGGTCAGATGAGAATATAATGTGAATCGACTATACTAAAAGGTCTAAATACATGCAAATAACTCGTGTTTCGCCAATAATAACACTGACCTGCCTAGTTTCTCAAACTTAGCCTGTGTATTTTCAATAACTACTCGATCGTATTTTCTTTCTTGTCAGATACTTTTCTAATATGTGTTACGTATGCCCGCCCACTGACTACCTCGACGCGTGATGATGATTGATGTAGAAGTTGGATGGATGAATGCTAGGGGCGGCCAAACCCAAGACTTACATCAGTCCATCAAGACACTGACTATTGGACTAAGTCATGTGGGTAGGTGCAGACTACCTGATCGGAGTCCGCGTGATTATAGTAACAGATGACTAGGAACTTTGAATGGCATGGTTCAGGACCGTTCACAGCGGCTCAGGTGCATTCATTTATTGTTTTCCTTTAGATTCTAAGTTTTTTATTATTTCACTAATTTATATTTTCTTCTCTAATTGTCTTAGATACTTGATTTTTTCTATTATCATTAATAATGATTATACCTCTACTACTCTGAGATTTGCTCTGATAATCTCATCGTGCTGCGGTAATGGGGTATGACAATTCGATTCAATGTACACGTGTTCCAGGTTCTACATCGTGTTTGACTGATTGAAATCCTCTTCTAACAAAGTCTAATCCCCTGCTAATGTCGATGTTTCTGTTGTGAAAGGGTGTTATGAAGATTATTTTAGTGACAGCAGAAATTTACTTTTGTTTCTCATCTGCCATCTACATTAGGTGTAATTTGTCTCAAGCATTTTATAAGATGTTAACAGGGTTAGATGCTGATTTCACAAAGTTTTTTTAGTTGAAAAGGTGAAGATCATCATTATCCAATTGAGAAAAATGTGAAGTAACTGTGATCTTTTAAGTTCCAATCTAACTTGGATCATTATGCTACTGCTAACTAATATATCTCATACTATTATGGCAGTTTTAAAGATCTGCAACAACATAGTAACTAATTATGACAATATTGTCTTGCTTTATTACAATTCAAAATAATTATTGGTAGTCTTTTTATTGATATCATGGTGTTGTTATGTATTTTTAGTCGAAGATGATGATACATTGTATACTGAAGATATTGATGATGAAGAATTAGACCGAGTGAGTATTATCACCATTTTTTTTAAAAAATCGAACGAAATATGTTTTCTATTTTCTATGGTTTTCTAGCGTTTTATCTGAAAGTTAATTTTAACCACAAGGTAATATTTATATAATCAGAAAAGTAATCAATGAATACTTATATGGTGTATTTTTTTAATATTCTGCCTCATTTTACAATTGTAGTCTCTTGAAAATTCATGAATTTGACGTTAACACATTGTCAGTCTGTGAAACAATAAAAAAACTTTTTCAAATGTTACAGATGATAAGTCTTGTTGATTGAACGCTATATCCGGATCCTAAGCTATCCTCGTAACCCCCAAGCTAGAACAGCACAGCGACTTGAACACGAGAGAAAAGGCACAAACTATGCGGGAAGCACTTTACTCCAAAGGTTCATTTATGTACAGAAAATATAGGACTTTTATAGTATTTTAGAAATCCTTGGGTTTTCCTGAAAATTCTAGAACAGTACTAAACATAGCAGCAGTGTTGTAACCAGCCAATCAGAACCTCTACATATGACTTTTCATTTTCGCGATACTTCTAATCAAACGCTGATTTGATAAAATGCTTTTTAATGTTTTCTGAGCTTGTCATGTCTATTGTGAGAAATTTTTAGGATCATCCCAACGACGGGAACGTGTTGTTTTTGTACATTTTGACTAAAAGTCACTTTTATTTCTTCTTATGATAGTATTTTTTGCCATAAAAAACGTTATAAAAATTGATATTCTCTGCGTATGTCTACCAAAAAAGTGTAGTTGTATGAAAAGTATTATAATAATTGATAATTCTGTGAAAAAACATTTACTTTTCAAATATCATACCGTTTACTTGAACATTGACTATCAATTGTATTCGTTTGATATTGGTTATTTCTTCTCTTGTTTTTCTTTCACAAACTCTGTACTATATTCATTAGTTTTTTTCTTCCTAACTTAAGTATACAGTGGATAGGAATTACCAAGATATTGTTTAAAATAAACTCAAGACCTTTTTAATTTTTAATAGGTCACTTAAAATAAAGATGATCTATATCATTTAAATATTTTGTCGGTGAAAAAGATATCACATTGATAACATTTTGTGTAGTAGATTGAAATGTTATTCTATAAGCATTAATAATTCTTATGTGTCGTACAGCATTTTAACTACTTAGCTACATGTTTAATTCTCTTTATAATACACTCCAGTTTGGTTAACTGGATATTATCACTAACCCTTGCACTAAAATTAGTGTAGCTAAAAACTCAGTACAAAAACATGCAATCATTCACTGTATTAGAATAATATGTACAATTTAGCTGTTATTCATATCTTCTCATTTAAAAAAAATCCATATTCTTATTCTCATCGTTACTTAATTATCTCAACTCTTACTATTCATTGTGTTAACTTCATCTTGTTGGATCAATAGGCTATAGCAACTTGAACTAATCCACATTTGTGCAAGGCTTCTGTGTTGATTATGACTGTTCTTTTAACGTACTGGACAGCATTGTATGTGAATTGTTACTATTTTTAGTAGTAATTTACGAATAAGGTTAATCTTAGTTTGGTTTCTGATGAAGTAGAATTTTATGAGTCGATAAATTATTTATCGCTTGATACAACGTGGCTGATTAATAACTACTCACGTAAACAAATTACTAAGGAGGGTTTTTTTTCTCTGAGCTGGATAGTTTCTACTCGAAGTTTATGCTGATGATGTCGTCCAGAAGGACGATGAAAGCTCCACGACCAAACCATCCAACTCAGAGAACAAAACTCCATTAAAATCACCCACCTGAGCTACAAATCTTCACCATCTCAAGAAGAATGGTTTTTCATATAATAAACTGACTTGTTTATGTACAAATATCATAAGCGATTAGAGTGAATTACGTTGTAGATCATTCACTCTACAGTCATTCGAGACCTGATTGTTAGATTTTATTCTTGGTTGTCGTATCATATTATTTTATTTTAGGAGTACTTACTTCAACCCAGAGAAATAATGTTAAAAGCAGCTATTTGGTTCAAAGCGAATGCAGAGCATCTGGAACTGTCAAGAAGTAAGTACACAGTTTTTTCGTACCTAAGAATTAATACAACTTTCAAAGTAAAGATTATTAGTTATCTTGCCAACTAAATTAGCTAGATAATATATTCATATACAACATTGAATATTAACTTTATGCATAACATAACTTGACATTTTACAAATATAAAAGCAACTGAAAATAGAGAAATTAAGATATAATGCCTTAAAGATATAATGACTTAAAAAATTATAGAATAATCTGAGTAGCTGCCTCTCATTCGTCACGTCATCTAGATCTGATTTACTCTTTCTGTCATTTCAGTGAAGGAAACTGGGTTGTTCCTTTATCGATCACTAGGTAACTAAAGCGTAAAGTCTAGTACACACTTGTATTTATCTATTGAATTGTTTTCTTGTTAAGCTATACAAGGTAACCATTTCATTTCAATGTAAATGTGATATGTAACTTCATCGAAGATCTTATAATATTTTAATTGTTACACGTATTAGAGATGATCATTATTGTTAACACTACTGCTAAATGGATCAACATCCAGCATGCTGAATAAACATTTTAAATCGATAATAACAATGTGTTTCACTTGTAATTCTCTAAGAAACAACCTGACAACTTTGGTTTTACTAATACTGTTTAACACAAGATTACTTCATATTTAAATTCTTTGAGCTGTACACTGTTGTACTGATCCATCATATTTAATCTAGATGTAGTGAGAATTACTGTTGCAGTTTGGTGTAATGTTGTGTATTAGATCATTTCTTTTTAAAACCCCTTTTGTCTTCAATTTATTTTCTTTTTGTAAAATATTCAGAACGAAAATTAGCTAAATTACAAAAACAACAACAAGAACAACATGAAGATACCAAAGGTGGTCCTAAAAAGGTTTGTCTATTTGTTTTCTTGTTAACGAGGTGATTTATTTATTGTCTATACTTTGGAAAATCCTTATGAATTGTTGTCTTTCGTCGCATACACACATACATAAACATATGAATGCATTCGACTTAAAAAACTGTTATGTTTATAGAGTACTTGTAGTTATTTTTTAGGTCATTACCTAAATACGCACCTTTTTGTGTGTATATATGGGGGCTTGTGATATTGCCCGGTTTCCCGAATCAAATTTGATTGAATAGCCTTCTAATATGTTATGTATTGGTTCAAAGTGCAGTCCTGTAACCACTCATTTATGGCTACTTGTTTCTTGATAATGGTTAAAACGTTTGACTTTCAGAGATTATACTCAAGTTCGAACTCTACTCTACCTGCTTTTATTCATGTAATCAAGTAATATCATTAGCCCTCACACTTAGAGTGTGGCTCATACCCAACGTATTCTGGCAAATAAGTGAAATATTGTATCGCATATTATTATGCACTAATATTTTTGATATGCTCATTCCTCTTAATTTCTTCACTTTTTGACTTGTCAAATGAGCATTTCTGGTTTTGTAGTTGATGTTTTAATTTAAATTAATTAGATGTTTGCGTTATGGATGAGTTTTTAATTTTATGTAATAAATATCAAAATGATGGATAGTGTAAATTAAGTTCTGAAAAAAGCAAACAAAAAACATGCCGTTCATGTCTTAGTACACTACACTATATGAATTGTGTAGAATGATTTTAATTTCGTCTACATTTTCATCCTATCTAGGCTTTAATTGAGAAGCATTTATATGTTAGATTGATTAAATTCTTTTATTGTTATTCGTCCTTTCTTCTTTATTTCCAAGCATTAAAGACTTATTAACTGTGTTTGAATTTTTAATTTCTTACTGTCCTGGTGATTTACTTGTTTAGTGCCTAAATGAATAATTTTTGTTTTAATTGTATTTCACTTTTCATTGCCGAATGCTTCTTGATATTTTTTTCATTGTATTTGTTTCATACAGCGTAAGACCGTCAATCGTAATAACTATACAACATCAATGAAAATAAATCGTAATGACTTTTCTAGAACAGAAGATCCCAAACCGATATCTCGTAAAATTAATTACGAAGCACTTGAAGCAGTTGTTGGCCTTTCAACAACCTGTCCATCAGTTGATTTGATGAATAATAGCGGTAAAACTGTCTCGGCGACTGATGTTGACAATGTTACTGAACCAATACCTGGTCCATTACTTGCATCCACCTTATGTGATAATGACAATTCTAAAGATTTACTCAAATCACCCAAACATATCCGAGATAACAATAAGCACATGTCAATTACATCAATGAATCTAAAAGCTTTATCCAATGTTAATGATAATGATAAAAAGGCAGTAAAAGATCAAAATTTGGATGCTAACAATAATAAGCTTGAGGTTGAAGAGGAGAACGACAATGAAGCAGAAGGAGAAGAGGAAGACGAAGAAAAAATTGATGAAAACAACATGTATAATTCATATTTACCCAATTATAGTCTTGGGATCGATGATGATGATGAAGATGGTATAGATTGGTCTACTGGTGCTGAATTATGGTGATTCATAGATTTGTCATTAAAAACAGCAATAATATCCCGAGTGCATATAAATGTATAAGTATATGTGTATTTATGTATTTAATTATCCCTTATTTGTTTGTTTATGTTACTTATTTGCATTTAATTTCATATGTTGTTCATTGAATTGTAAAATATTATCATACACAATACATAATTTTGTTCTAACTTAAGTATTTAATCTCTGAGCGTTTAGTAGTTCTTTTTTTATACAACTTATTTACTTTTGAAGATAACCAAAAGATGATTTTTTATATCTCTGTCAATATTTTAATTTTATAAATGAATATTCTAAATACTTACTGTTTTAATCAACTTTTTTTATTTACTCTTATAGATTTTTAAATTATTTGTTTCAACTTGTCGTTCTGATGTTTTTTTGGGTGTTGACTCAGTTAGTTCTTGTTTTAATTACCGTACCACCTTTAGGTAACAGTTATTGTTTTGGAACATATAACTTGTCTTAACTAACTGCAATAATGATGATATATGTATTCGATTCTCCTAATTTTCCGTCTTCCACATTAAATAATCGGTTAAACAAATTACACACGTCCAAGTGTGTACGATATCAGTGAGCAAACTTTGAGAGAATAAAAAGTATGCCCATGAAGAGTCAAACTATGCTAAGAAACACGTTTTAGAAAATCTCAGTGAAAATGACTTTCCCTAACTCAGATTATTCGGCATAGTTACCTCAAAGATAATCACTAGAAAGTATGTTGAGGAGGTTAGAATTTATGGTCTTTAATAATCGTCACACCTATAAAACGCTTTAAGTAGTGAACTGAGCTTCTTTCTTAAAATAAAAAATTCCTTCGAGCGCTAGAAAAATACATTTCTAAAATTTGTCATATGTTAGACGTTTGAACTATATTCCTTTGATGAAACTCGCCTCTTATTTCAAAATCCTGACTATAACTCCGGTTAGTCGTCTAACGATCAGGCGTGGATATATGATTTTAGTGAAGCTTATTTTAGTCGGTATGAATTATCATTATACATCATTTCTAATGTTTTAGAGTGAAATGGTATTCATTATGTTCATCATTGATTAAATTGTAGTGCGGATTAGTATATATTGAGGATTTTTTGTCTCGAAAGCACCAAATATCTTCTTGTGTTGATTTTAAAAACTATTGTAATTCAGTGATATAAAAACATGCTATTTTTATCCAGAAATTAATGCTTCTTAGTCATGTATTTGGTTCTGATCCAAATAAGCTGGATGAACGCTGGTGATAATGCTTGGTTACTTAAGTCGAAGTAGATGGGAAGGGATGCAAATTTTGATAATTGACTACTTTAATTGTCAATTTACCATTTGCTGATCCATTTATTTATCACAATAACCCTTCACATTCACACAACATAATTATGAAGTTAAAGATAATGGGTTTTTTGTCATAACGCATCATTGGAATGTTGGATTCTCGTTTCATTTCCGTATTGTGTCTGTTGTATTTATTTGAGTTCATCTCTCAGCATTACGTATTATCTTTGAAATAGTAACTAAAAAATAGTATATTTTTTTCATATCACTGGATTATTTAATATTTTTGAAACTGAATCATGTTCAATTTTGTTCTTAAAGACAATTTGATCTAATTATCATGTTTGGTATTCGAAGATCTGTTATGCCCCGATAACATTAGTGAATGGTAACTTTGGGATCCATTTATGGACCAATATTATGCATATAATTTTTGTCGTATATTTGCTAAATAATTAAACTACTCATATTCATGTTCCTGTCATTGTGAGCTTTATTTTGACCCTTGGACTATTATTGTACGATTTACCATTCCTGAGTTATACTCAGTCTATTAATTACTGCTCCCCCTATTCACAGGCACATTTGACTGAATCTTGTAAAAATGTTATTTCCTATTTTATTGGTACGATGTGGTCAGTCTGTTTGGTATATAAATTCAGTATGTTTGAAACACAGTGATTCATACCACAGAGGCTGTTATTGGTGTTCTGGACTTAACTGTCTGGACTAGGCAGAAGCAGGATCGAGAAACACTCTAGACTACTCGTACGGTTTTTGTGTCACTGTTCCAATCAATGATTCGCTGCTCTCTGATTGGCAGTCTTATCACTTCATACATTAACTGGGCATCCACTCGACCACAAGATATAACAAGATCATTCATCGTACACATCTGAATACTGTTAACTGTGACTTATCTATGTACAGTTTCTATTTACAATAATTCACAACTACAAAAAGGTGTATCTCATTGATTATATTATCAAGCTTAATTACACATGGTTAGGATTTCATTACATTAATATGAGATTTTGTCGTAGTATACATTTCATACTGTTGAGTCTCAAAATATCGTGCTTATCAGTAGACTGAATCCTCTCTTTTCATAACTATACATATATATGCTTTTCTGTTATATCTTTTCATAAACTCGCATTTTCATTTATATAGAGAATTCTAACTTTGATAATATAAATTTTCAGACGAATAAGTAAATAAATGTGTCTGTGGTATTACAGTAATTTAATTTTCACTAGTTTTTATGTTAATGTTTGCCTCCAGTTGATAGGATTGAATTTTAGTTGCTCTCTGTCTTCTTCAATTTCATTTCTTCTTTCAACTTTTCTAATTCTTTCATTCTCTTCCATAATCTATTGAAAATAAAGTAACACTGTTAGGGGTAAGAAGGGGAAAATTTAGAAAAGCGAATGTGTGGGCCTATTTTTTAAAAAGATAAACTTGTAATGTCCAACTTTGGTTAAGATATATCAGCAAATAATATTGTTTTGAGTTACATAGATATTTATATAAACAACAGTCATAGCATATGTGATAAAAGTAATAAAATCTAAAGAACAAAATGAACGAAAGTTTTACAACACAAAATAGGTCGGAACTTACGTCAGTTTCTGTCACATCTGGTCGGTCATGAAGTTGAATATTTCTAGTCAGTTTTGTGATATATTTTCCTTACTAATTTCAACCACGTTTTATGCATATATGGCGCATATATATATCTGGTGCCCCTTTGTACCAATATGTATGTGTTTAAATAAATATAAATTATGCATATAACAAAATTTTTTAGAATTTGAACCAGTAACTCTCTGATATTCATGGGCACCTGTCTCGTCTCAGTGTACGGCTCTACAGCATTGGGTGTACATAATATCACTGGAGATCGAACCCATGACCCTTAGATGTTCTGACAAGAACTTAACTTTTAGACTACTGAGTCAAGATTTGGTAGTATACATATCTAACTCCACTTGATTAGTGGTATTACACAACCCACTCCTGTTGTTTTCGGTGTATAGTTGCCTCACACTGCTAGGTTGAACCCCACTAGTCACGGCTTCGTAAAATCCTGGAATTTCCGCTCGAAATTAACCGCTGGTCATGATAGTTATCAGTATGGGTTGTGTAACTTAGGTCGGCTTCTGATCTCAAATAATCTTTACAAACCTCTGTACTGGTATATATCTATATATTCCCATTAATACATTAAATAGCAAGTTGAACAGACAAATGTTACTCCTTAATTAGTTCATTGTCTCCGCTCTACATTAATATTTCAGCTTTACGAGTAGGAATAAAATCAATACAAAATGAGTGATAATAGATCAATTTGGTAATATCCCAATATTTTCTCTAAAGAAAATAATTGCTTATTAACTCAGCTGATGTGGAACAGAATTATCGCAACTAGTTCCGTAAAAATAATAGTAAAAATTGAGTAAGGTTGAAATTGAACGGGTATATTCAAGTACTTACTACTAATACGTAATTAATAAGATGGGAGGCAAACTAATTGTCTAATCGGATAATCAAGACTGACTACGTAGGAACACTTGAAAAATAGAATAAGTAAATCTTGTATAAAAACGTGAAAATGACAAAGTTAAAGGCCAGGGTAAATTAATAGCCGGAATAGATTTTCTATGTACACAGTAGTCAGGTTTGTTAATGTATATACACATGACTTCTGTTGTATGTAAAAGGCGAATTCTGCGAGGATATGAGAATTTCGATGGAACTGATAGCTTTGGGAGATTTGTTGGCCAGGATAGACTAAATGCCAGAAGAGTGCTTATTGTTTTCTTTTATCCTGTAGTAAACCAAGAGGATTAATCTTCAGGAATACGATTATTTATTTGCCTGAATGTACATACAACATAACTAACTCCACTGGAGCAGTTGAAATAACAAAGAATTTTAGAAAGTGGGACCTTGGAAACTAGATTCCCATCAGACCCAGGTCGGTATGATCACAATTTTCCTAGTGTTCATCTTGATGTCACTGATTTGGAAGTTTTATCTCTTGGTCCCTAATTTTGTGTTAGCCTCAAGTGTTAAGAAGGTGAAAATACAGGTTGAAAACGTATTCACGCAAACATGAAGTCTAAAACATTTGTAATAGGAGAATATGGGAATATTTAAATTTATCCTGATAAACTGCCCAGGACAGTGTTGGATGGAGAATACTGATGTGCTGCCTATGCTCCTCCACGAGAAGGTAACAGGCGTAAGTAAGTAAATTGTTACTATTAAAGCAGAAATAGCAAATAACAGTAATGGATAGAAAATCTCTACTTCAACTAAAGGAAAATGAAAACCAAGTAATCACCAAACTCAAGAAAAGGTCAATATTAGTCTGTATAGAATAGTTGAATTTATTACTCGACGACTATCCCAAAATTCATAAATGATAGAAAAATGACCTAACAGGAAATACTAAGTGACAACTGATGCCTTAAATAGCTTGAAGCTAACACGTTCACTTTCTTGGAACTTATACTTAAGACTCAGGCTTATTGGTTCTATCACTCACGAGCTATAGAGTATGAAAAAAGTTCGTAAAACTGACTTACCACTTTTTCAGATCCAAACTATAGTAAGATCATGTTAAACTGACACTTAAAAATGGGTAGTAGAAATTCTAGAACCACTACACAAAGTGATAGATCACTGTGTAAATGATAGTTGTGAATTTACAAATAGAATTAAAAATCTGAAGAGGAGAAATAAAGTCATCACAATATATCATCTCTATTCATGAACATGCTTCTTACAGAAACATTAAATTTCATAAGCAGTAAGCTGCAAAGCCGATGAATATAGATTCGAAACCCTGTTTACTTTTTAAGTGAACTGATTTTTAAATGTAATATATATATATATATATATATATATATATATATATATATGTATATATAATGAAGTGTCAAATTTTAGGAACCTAACTGTTTATTTCTAATGCGACGAATTATGAGTAACGTACTCTCCTTTTACAATAAAATTTTTCTAATTTAACCTTTAAACGACCGTGGGAATGAACGTGAAAAAAGTTTCAGATCAAATTGAAACCTCTGTAGAACACTAGTGTTTTATTCTAATCCTATCATTAATATCATTCCATAAACCCTTTTTCATACTATATATTTTCCTGAAAAACTGAAAATTTAATTAAGAATGAGTAGATGCTATAATAATCGTTAAAGTTGAAATTTGAAAAAATAAAACAATACTACTACTTATCAATTAGACTTACCTTTTTATTCATATCTCTGAATGTGAGTAAAAAGGCACGTTTCTTTTGTTCATTTATCATCTTATTATGAAAATATTTTTGACAATCATTTTCAATTTGTTTGCCTTCTATTTGGTTAATAAATATTTTATTGGATTCATTCAATGATAATCAGTTTACCTGCTGATTTATTTAACCATTCTTCTTTTTTTCGTTTCATCTTATCCATCATTTGTTGTTTTAATCCTTCACGTATATATTTCCTATTTATAATATTTCGTCAATTTGAAAATTAGTGATTCAAATGTCATATATTATTATAATTATCAGTACGAATATGTGATAGGTGAGAATATAAAAATTTCTGATTACTGGAGTTTCAAAAGATATAACCTCGGAAATAACTAGTTAGATCTTATAATAATTGGTGTACAAAATGTCATTTTTATCTAAGTAATCAGTTCATTCATCTTATTAAGTTGTTTGAACAAGGAAAATTCCCTTCACAGTTACTTATCAGTTAACGATGGAGTTTTATTTGTTTCCTCCGTAACTTGATAGCACCTTATGAAAAGTTATATGATTGAGTAATCTATGAAATTCATGCATAGATGTTAATGAATCTTCAAGAAAAACGTTTTGCGCCATTGAATTTTTCTCAAAGTAACAAAGTACTTTAGGTGGCAAATAAATTCTCATGAATTCAGTTCTCAATACGCATTCACATGAATATATTTGTATTTTCGATCTAAAGTTAGTTTAAAACAAATCGAATTTCTAGCCTTTCTGATTTTTAGACATAATTGTTCGTTTTGTTGCCATTGTTTTGTATTCATTGATGGCAAATTTATTTATACTTTGTATCATTCACATATGTAAATGGTTTTCAAAAACATAATGTTATAATGAATCTGAAGTCATAAACTAGTAATACACCATTTATTCAAGACTAATTTTGTTCCAATTGTAGCAAGAAAATTAAATCAGTATACTAAAAAAGTATCACAGCATCCCAGTAGTAAAGATAAGAATATTACCGTACGCTGGTTCGAACTCATTAATTATTGAAAATTTAAAACCACAGTGGTCAAGTATGGTAGATATTGTGTTGTGCGGTTGTTTGACTTTTCTACTGTTACATACATTCGCCGTACGCGGTCCTAAATTGGTAATTTAATGAAAATACTAAGAGATTGTTGGAATCGGTATTAGCCAATGGAGTCAAAATATCTGCCCAAATTAATTCACTAATAATGATGTGTTCTTCAGAAAAGTAAATCCTATTTTCAAGAGATAGCGTCTACTCGTCATCATCTCTAATCTACCATTTAGCCTTGAATTGATTTGCATGATCAGCCCAGCCTATCAACTTCCCTTCATGTGAACTGAATCCAGATTTTTGGATTCAGCTGTAGGAATTGAGATTAAGTTACGCCAATAAATGATGCACTAAATCGGTTAGCTGTTTACATACAGTTAAACTAATGGGATAAATATGAAGTATGTTTAGGATGTGGTGCTCTGTCTAAATCGTACCACTAAGGTAAGTTATAAGACAGATGTACTTTTGTTTGTGGTGTTCGCACAAAAATGCAACCACCAGTACTGGAAAATAAGAGGCTTGTGTAAGATATGAACATTCAGCGAACATTCTGAATATGTTAGTTGTCTCATAAAAAGTTAATAAATAAGCTGGTAAGGTAATATAATTTAATAAGACAGTAAAGTTCGTGTATAAGGTAGGTGGTAATAAAACCAATCAGTTATGCAAATACATTACATGTAGCCTTCATTCTTTGACAAAACTCCATTAAGACGAATGATTAGAGTCAGTGACATTATAGAAAATACTTGGTTCGAAATAAATGTCCTTCCATTATCTGTACCTTGTGTGGAATGGAAACAATGGATTTACTAATTTCCAACCTTGTACATAAATGTTCTCCTTTGACTAATTATTCAGTTTGATATAAACAAATGTAAAAGTTTAAAGCAATATAACGTTGATCTATATTAATCACTGATTCTAATTTTTTAATTACCTAAATGGTAATATCTAATATTAACGAGCGTTCAGGTTATAAATAGGAGTTGACCATGATTTCGCTATATATATCCTAATTTTATAATGAAGTATATTTGGATTACAAGGCGAAAATTAAATATAATAATTTGTCCGTAATGAGCTTTCATTTATCAGAAATTATACCCGTGGCATAAATGTATGCAGATTTTTAGCCACTTCTCAATTTACTACGAATAAATTCCACATTAGGCCTTTCACCAACTGAATGTCTACAAATGGTATGAGAAATATTTTAGGATTTATCCGTCTTATTATCCACCTTCGGTTGATGAATAACTAGGCATTATGAATTATAGATTACCTAAATATGTTCAACGTGGACAGAGGATTTATAGAGATTTCATCTCTTGTGAGACAGAAGTAATTCGGAACTGGTATCACATGGAGAACCACTAAAATTCAGTGTTTTGAACAGCGGTGTGAACTTACAACAGCACATTTGTTCCGATTTAACGTCACCAGATCCCTATGTTGTCACGAAAATATTAAGCTAATAAGATGCATTTCAGTTGTTCACATTTTTAAATTTATGATATTCTGTGACGATTGTCGAATTTTGTCACGGATGGACTTTGTAATGCTTGTATATTTGAACTCTCCCATTCACGTTTCTTCACTAAAACTTTAGGAGTCTAGCTCAAAACTAGTCATTTGAAGACATATGATTATTATGAGTATATAGGACTACTTGAAATTACTGAATTGACCTGTCTTCTTGTTTTTACATAATGAGACCTTGAAAATTTGATGACATTTATGAGGTTAACTACTTATAGCTGGAAAAACACTCGATTTATGCTTTAAGTGGTAATAAGTAGCCAATCTCTTACTTAAAAGCGTTTTTTAGCAATTATTAAAATAAAATACATCATATCCAGGAGTTTGCTTAAGTTAATTTTTATATTGCTTATGAGTTTACTTTCAAAAATAATCCATAAGGTTATTACAGATCCTACTAAATAATTTGAAAGCTCTGTATATCAAGTAAACAGTTGAGAATATCGTATGTTTATCTGACGAAGGTGGCTAGTTTTACTTAGAATAATTTCACTTTTATGGTATACTAGCTACTTCAAAAAACAGCAAGGTTTCTCAATAGATCACATTCGATAACTTTTCGCCCTCCATCAAAGGAATTACATACACTTATAAATCTGTAATTAAAAATTTTAGACTAGTTTACTGATCTCCTTTCTCAATTTTCTTCAAAACTGAATTTCAGTTTTTCCCATGATTATAGATAACTAATCACACTGATTATGAATTTTAGAGTTTGAAAATAATATAAGTTTCAAATGACATGCATAATTCATTTTTATTAGTAACAATCGCGATGACATACGTTAATACCACATAGTTTTCTGACTCTTGAAATCTAAATACTTTCAAACTTTATCAGACTGATGCATCTTGATTTATTGTTAAGTTAACTAACTAGGAATAGTTTTTATAATCGTAAGTATCAAAATTGATGTTCTTATCCTTACTTTTTTAAAGAATGTATTTATAGTAGTATGAACAATATATCCACTACAAAAGTTTATTTTTGCTCATAAGAAGACTTGGTTGAAAAATGGTCACAGTGATTTTAGCTTCGAAATGCGAACTTCATTGATAACCATAAGTGTCAAAATTTTGTTCGATATAAATATATGAGTTAAATATACATACTTCAGGAATGCAAAGTAATCGATTTCTCTGTACTTTCATTATTGTTTTTAAAATATATTTTTAAATAGTTTACCCGTGAATACCATAATCGTTTCATTCTCTGTGTAAAGCTTTTGCTAACCATTATAAAGTGGTTACATGGATTTTCAATTAGTGAAATTCATTGGATCACTGACAATAAGGCTAAATAGAAAAACGTTTGCAACTTTAAAAATACTAGTTTTCCTAAGCTTTCGAGAAATTCTGATCCAGATTAATTATTTCGCAGAAAAGTGATGACTCACACAATTTGATTTTCTAATACTAACCGAACTTTCCTACTCGAGGCTCTTTTCTAGAGATCTAATAATAGGGACGGATAGATTTCCTTCTTCATAAAGTAGTTTGATATGGTCAATAAATCTGTTTAAGCCTATTGTCTGCAATGCTATAAATAAAGGTAGAAACCGTTTTCTTTTATGCCCATCTGCGTATTTATTACATTATTAGTAGTACATCAATTTACTTTGTATTTAATAAAGTAGTATAATCACGCGTTATAATACTACTACCACTACTAATACTGATAATAATAATGATAATAGTAATAATGATAATAATAAAACTGGTAGTACCATATTGGCTGAACATTAGGGTTGAAATGGTTTGACAGTTTTGCTTTTATTAGTGTAAGATTAATGCTATTCTGAAGCGTTCTGTTTACAAATAGACTGAATTGTTCGTGATAAAACTTTAAATTAGTTAAGCAAGGATGGATATTGACTAGCAGTGGAATCTAGAACGCGCGTTTCGTCCTATTGGGGTCTCGTCAGCTGGATATACTTGCATCTCAGAGTTGATGTTCACTCTGGGTTTCGAACCCAGTACCTTCCGCTTCAAACGCCATCGCGTTATACACTCGGCCCCTGAGTCCTAATAACCACTTGCTTGTGCGATGGGGTGATGCAGGTACATCCAGCTGACGAGTCCCAAATAGGATAAAACGCGCGTCCTGGATTCTACTGCTAGTCACTATCCATCTTTGCTTACAATGCTTGTGAATCAAGGCTATATCGAGGCAATACGCACAGTATGCACATATACCAATTAGAGACTGACCAGTTGCAGTCCTAACACATCGATGGGAAGATTCAAACAAACAATATCGTGTGAATTTAAATTAATTAGTTTGAAAATAAAAAAAGTAATAACTTACCGATAATCTTCTTTCTCTCGCATATTTCCATAAAAATAATTAGAATAATAATGATGATATCTATCATATTCACTTCTTAACATATGATTGGCTCTTTCATGAATATAATTACTAGCAACCGTTGTTTCAGCTAGCATATTTTTAGCTTGTTTCGAATAAAAATATGGATTAATTCTAGGTGGTGGATTTGGATCATATTTTACCGGTGGTGGATAAACAAGATATATACTACGTGTACGTAATGTTGGTTGTATAGGTGTAGTAATTCTATGCTGATTATCAATTGAATCTGAAGTAGTTGATTTTTCTTTTATTATTCCATTTCTATTCATTGCTTATTAATATATGAAATAATTATATTAACATTATTATAATTTGATTAAGTGAATTAAACTCTTTTTATAGTACAGTTGTACGTATTCTTCTTTTTATATTATTTTTTTAAACCTTATTACTTAGGGAAGAGATGGCTAGCAACTAATCAGCTGATTATTAAATATTTTGGTTTTTTTAAAGAAACAGATAAATTAAGGTCACCAATCGAATTTACTTGTTTTTGTATTAATACTTAAAAGAATATCAGATAGCAACTAACAAAGTATTATTATTATAGATAGAACAAATTGTATGACATTTCAAGAAAGGAGTCAATCAATTTGTTAATATTAGTTATTATCATTATAGTACAGTGTTAAGTATTTGAAGAAAGAAAAAATCAGCAGGTATTCGTGATAATAACTATAATCTAATGTATTTTATTTTGACTTTAGTGTTAAACGGTAGGAGTTAATCATTTGAAGTAGAAGGCGATAAAAAGAAAAAAAACGTTTGAAAGTGAAAATATAGGGTTTTTAGTGAATATATATTAAAATATTTGACAATATATTCAGTTTATACACATTTCCTGTCAAATAGAGTAACATATATGAACGTGTTCTTTGATCAACAGACTTTTAAAAAACAGCGGAAACTGAACAATAAAAACCTTTGTTTAGCAATAAAGGATGTGATAATTTAAAAAAAATGAAGAACTTAGTGATATTTTGTTTGTAAGACTCTTAATACATAAATTTTCGATTTTATATTCTCATATTGTCACCAAGAGTCTCATGTCTAATTAAGTGAAATTAGGAATCTTGGTCATACAGGCTACTGGAAATAAAAAACACACGTTTATTTATACAGTCCATTTTGATGTTTTGAGAAGTGGAGAAGAACAGTTCATAATTCTATTTTTAATAAGTTGACTGTGACCTGAATAGTTTAGTGATAATGTTTTGGATTGTGGAACTATCTACTAGGGAATGTTATTTCGCTGCAGATTATAAGAAGTCCTTGATGGAGTGTGCTAACTGGTATGACGGAGTTAAAAAGTAAAATTACATTCTTTTACTCGCTGTTATTTTTGTTCTCCATCATTTCCGTTTTAATTCAATATGATTATCAATCAGTGTGGTATTTGTTTTGTTTTACAGTGATAAATTTTTTATTCGGTAGAGTATTAATTTATTTGAGTGTACTTTCTGTTCAAGATACGATATTCTTGTATTAATTTACCATGAACTATGTTCGGCATGACGCGCAGTGTGATTTGTTATAACTCTAAGTATTTTTTACACATGTGATTTCATCCTAATTAATTATCAAAATGGGTGTACAATCAATATGTAAATGAGTGTATTTTCGACTAGGGTCGACGTTGTGTTTCGGGTTCAATAAATCTTCACTTGTATCAGTCTGGGTTTTTTCACTTCGAGTCGTGAAAATTGCAGCGGTTCCTCGTTTTACATGTATAAGTAATAAGCGATTTCGAGATAATGATTAGCGATGACCATTCATAACACTAACAAGCAGGAAATTTAGTTTTGAAGTTCTATGGCTACTACTTTCAACCGCATAACATTGAAAATTACATTTATAAAGTCACCTGTTCGTCTATTATTTACAATTGTATTAAATTATTTTCTGGAATGAGTACTTGGCAGTTTACTGAATAGAAATATAATATTCGATTTTATTTCTTTTTAACATAAAGTTATGTATTCAATTATTTTTAAGGTTGATTCAGAAATCTTCAAAAGTTTGATATTTCATAATATTGGGCTTGAACTTAACATACACATAACACCCTAAACAATTTAGATTTTATCAGTATAAAGTTGTGGAGATTGTTGGGTGATGATTGATATCATGAATCGCAAATGTTAAACCACCAATGAAAACCTGGAATCATTGGACGGCCGCTTTTTCATAGTATGAGACTCCTCAGTGGTGCACATCCAGGATCCCGCACTCAGGATTTGACTCCAGGACCTTCGGTCTCGCACGCTAACGCTTAACCTCTAAACTACTGAGAAGGCGAAAGAACTAAGGTTCCAGGTGGGGATCGTGGATGCTCACCACTGAGGAGTTCCATACTAAGACGAAATGACCGTCCAATGCTTTTAGGTTTTTAATGGTGGTCTAACATTCATCGATTCATGATTGAAATTGAAATTTTCTTCAACAGTCATGTATATTATGAAAGAATACAGGTGTTCGTATTTAAATTCTTTAAAATAACGTCAAAATAATCTACACCATAATATTTTATGCTTATTCATGACCTTTAATTTATGACTAATTGATGATATATTTTATATATTTATTGAACATACTCAGCTGGGACATAGTGATGCACTTTACTGTACTTAAGTGTACTGATGGTATTTTTTGAGTTATCAACACACTGACCAAAAAATAGGATGTATTTGTTAGTTTTCGTATTTTTATTTTGAACTAGTACTCAATGAGCAAGTACAAATGCATAAGTGAAAGAACCATAGTGAATTCAACTTTTATTTATTTACTAATAAACACCAACGCTTATGAAGCTAACAGACAATAAAATGTTAAATTTGTTTATTTTCAATTAAAACCGTTTCATTCCCTTCAATCTCTTTTTTTTGTGGTTCGGTTTCATAATTTTTATCACTAAAATATCGAAAAATCCAATGGTCTTCTGAATATTTAATACATTCCTGTAGTTGACGGATCCTGTTGAGTAAATGAGTTAGTATAGTGATAAAACCACTTATTAGTTGAGATTACCTTTCATCCAAAGAATTTTCACGTTCGACCTTTATCAAATGTTCGATCTTCTGTTTATTTGAAAGTAGTGAAAGTAGATCTTTTTGTGCCCTACTCAATAATAAACAAAAACACTGAAGGTTGACATTTAAAAGACATGAGTTTTTTAATTACATTAAACTGAACTATACATTTCAAAATTGCTTAGCAGCTTAAATTAATAATGTCTATTGCTTATCCAAGTTAGTAAGAGGTTAGTTATAAGTAGAATGTGGGGAACAAAATCATAAATTTGTTACCAATTTTTGAAACGTTCAGAGTGGTCGTATATAGAAATAACAGATCAGGGTCTTTTCAGTGTAGTGATAATGTAAATATAATATACCGTATGTTATTTATAATAAAGAAAAAAGCACTGAGGTTTCTACACACAGTTTAGATAGTAATCTTAGCTAACATTTATCTTGTACATGGCTATGTACAACATAAATTTATTTAGTGTTTGAATCGCACAGAATCGGTAAAAGGTTCCATCTTTTCATAATAAAGTAAAACTGGAATAATTTTTAAGCAACACAACACAAACCATCCAATAACTTTTATTTGTATTCTTGTAGAATCACAATGCAATGATATGTAATTTATTGGTTTGTTTAAAGTAATCCTATAATTAAGTCAGGTTTCTATCAATAGATGAAATAACAGGAATTCTTATGTTTTACAAACTGCCTAAACAAATCTGTAGTTATATTTGTATGGTTCTTTGATTAATATTTTATAACCTCAGATTATTGACCCTTAATGAAGTTTGCACTCATTTGTTGTAAAATGAATATGAAAACATATACGAAGACGTTTATTAGTCGATAAAGTACCCAAACATAAACTATTTACTAGTAAATGAATGCATTTATGTAGAGCAAGAGACCTGCTTTGAGGTAATAGCAACCGATTTTAAATCTTGAAAATCTCAAAAGTTGGGCCAAACTGATTCTTGATTTTGACGATCTATATACTGACTGACTAAAGATATACGTGAAATTTTCATGGGAATTTCTAGCTTGCGTTAGAATTTATTGTTTAGTGTGACCATATTAACTCAATATCGTGTACCTGGAATAAGTAACCAAGTTATAACTAATTTTGTTCCTGTCTTAATGAAAGTTTGGTAATGTTGTAGATGGTAACCGTTGATATATTTTTTTAAATATTATGTATTACAAATATTATGAAACTTGATATAACTTGTTAGGTTACTATGTAAAATATTACGAACATGTAAACCCTGTTTGTTAAAAAGTGACTCAGGTCATATATCACTTAAATGTTATTAATTTACTTAATTTTATTTAAGCTAAATAGTATAAGTCATTGGAAAGAAAGTGAACAAAAGCAAGGAGTGGTATAGTTTGATGAACATGCAAAATATCCGTTAAAAAAATTACACTTTGTATCTTAGTATATCGAAAATATTATAGAAATAAAATCACTGGGTACTCACTATGTTGTTATTTAGTGAGAGTCCAATATTTAAGATTTACTATCAACCAAAAAAATTTTTCTTCATATAATACCACTTTATAAATCCTACATGAATATTCATTGACCCATGGTTGAAATAAAAGTTTTTTATTTATGACTTGAGGTGTGTTTATAGATATATATACATATACGTACTTTTGTTCTCTTTGTCGTCTGATATCTTGTTTTTTGATTAACAATTTTTTCTTAACTACAAAAAAAGAAATAATTAAATTAATTTTTCCCTAACTTTGTATATCTTGAATTTCTTCATTAATTTTTCTCAATTCTTCAATTGCTAAATAATCAAAAGTTTATTAATAGTTATTTTTCTTATATAACCTGATTCTATTCGACTTTTTAATAAACTGGATTCAGTTTTTGTTGATGACAATATATTTTTTAATCTTTCTTTTTCTAAAATATACAAAAAAAATTTTGTAACAGTTCATTATTAATCTAATCTATTCTATTACCTTCTAATGTTTCATTCAGACTTTTTTGAAACTTTTGGGTATTTCTGTTATCTTTCTCCATTGAATTCATTGTGAATCTGTTATTTTTTTGGACAAGAAAATGTCTTGGCGATTTTGTTTCTTCTATTGCTGTTAATAATCTATTATAAACAAAACTACATAAAGAAGTTACATTTGAATACAAAACCTAGTTCTCATTAACAACAAATTAAAGTTCATTTCAAACTTATTTAACATTTATTACTGTTTTAAATACTAACGTATAAAGCTATGTATATTACTTCATAAAGGTTAAATGCATTTTAAACTTGCTATTTTCTTTTAGATAAGACGCAAGAGTTCTGTAAATAAATCTCCGAATGCAGAACTAGTTTTACAAGATGCTTAAATTTATTTTGGTTTGTTATTATATTTAACATTGTATGATTTGTGGCATAGTTATTTTGGCGGTAGAATGCCTAACTCTTCCCTAATATGATGAAACTCCTTAAAATTGTCTATCAAAAAAACATTCTCATTTATATGGCGAGAGACCTGGGCACTAAACAGAAACGTTATATGTTTCCCATTTTATCCCGAAAATAAGACGTTTATAAATATTTATTGAATAATTTCTTGTTTTTTCTATATTGATAGATCACTGCTTAAAAAATATATTCATTTTGTATTACTACTTTTAATACAAAGGAGTTTATAGTTTAAAATCTGAGTGAAAATTAGGTGAATGTCATAATATATGTTCTGGAAGTAGATATACATCAAATCTCCCTGTTTACATTAAGATAGTGTAAGTTGATAGTTTTAGCCCAGTCAATAAAACTTGCAAAACTAACTAGAAATTCAGACTAAAACAATAACCCTTTCAATTGGTAGCCGAAAACTAGACCGTTTTTGTAGATTAAATTATTTACTTCTGGGATCCAATTAAAATTCCACAAAAATACTTGGGTAAAGCCGTTATATGCTACTTATGTTTGCAGATATAAGTAGTATATAACACCGATCAGAAGTGGAATGCCATCTACATGCTCGTTTGGTTACCGTTTCTTGAATAAATGGTAGTTTAAGCTACACCACCAGTTTTGATAGCTTCTGAGCCAGAATATTATTTCTGTTCTAGTTGTGAAATTTATTTCGTTGACATTATGCTTTTACAATCAGTAACACTTGAATATTTCCTATATTTTCTGAAAAGTGATGACTGATGTCAACAAGAACGAGGCAGGTTTACTTCTTTCTATTCAGAACATGAGGGTCAACCGCAGTCAGCTATAAATTGAAACAGTATTATACAATAAAACTGTTTGGGGATGTTATGGTTATATCTCTGTACAAAAACTTATATTTCTTTTTCGTAGTAATGTGTCCGTGAACTGAAATCTATCTGTCTGTGTAGATGTTTATTTAGAAATTTAAATTAAGATGCTCAAAACACTATTAGAATCAGATTATTCAGTGTTGACTGTTGTTCCTCGTTATATTTACCATAACTAATTTATTTAATTATAGAGGATTACGGTTTATAAGCACACATTTGAGAAGTAGGAGTAATTTTTATAGTACTACTTCAGGAAAATTCATTTCAAGTCTCTTTTAACTCTTTAAGTTTAATGAATATGTAAACTAATGACTTTGAATTCAAATGACTCATTTGACCGACTGTTAACGGCCACTTAAAATATCCATCTACCTAATCAAATATTTCGAAAATGAATGTAACTTCGACTAATTGTAGAAGAATGGAGGTTAACTCTTGATTGATGATGCTGAAAGATTTAAGTCTATCAACTTGATACTCTGTGTTACAGAGACGTTCCACAGTAGCGTTGCTAAAAACCCTTCTCGGATTGGTTGTAGCTATAGTCATCAAATGACTCAACCATTTCATATGTATTCCAAAGGAAGCAGTTGCAAGTCTTTCCTTACGACAGTCACTTCATCTTCTGTTTGTTTTATCATCTTCGCAATTTAGATCTCTCCTATATTAATTCTATTGCTTTTTTCGAATTAATGGCATTATTTTTTAAATGACTGATGTCAACTTATGTTATTCTTAATCGTTATTAATATATTTCCGACTGATTCATTATATAATCAATTAGTTGTTTTTACCTCTATGACCTCTTGTTACTATGTCTGACGGTCTAGAATCTTTTTTCACAAACATTTATTTACAACGCTCTTTTTATGTCCACACTATCCTTTCTTCAAAATGATGATACATACACGTTTTTACTGCTATAAGTATGTAAACTTTACAATAATTTTGATTTTCCGCAATTAGAGGCTGTAAACAGCTGATGAGAACCATACAAAATAAAATAAGTCCATTGTATTCTGCCCGATTCTTTATTTTTGCTTTATTCAATACTGTGTTGGACTAACTGGGGACTTACCAACGGGGAAGTATGATATTTATCGTTTGTAACGTCGTGATCAAAAATGACTGTAATAAAACTCTCCCCTTTATTTCATTATGTATCTATTCATACACGCTATAAAGCAAAAAGTCAAAAATTATTTTGAAGATCTTACAATAAGGTGTAAATCACGTTTTATTTCCATATCTTGATACAAATAAACCCTTGCAATTTTTCTACAAAAACTCGATAAAATGACATTTGAATATGCGACCTGAGCATTTGAGATCAGTTCATTAAGTCTATGTTTATTGCTAATTGGTGAATTAATCACAAAATATAAATTGGGCGGTGGTCTAAAATACGTTCATTAATATAATTTTATACTTTACAACCAGTTTTCTTACTTAATGTCAACAGTGTTTATTACTAATTTGCCTAAAATTTAATAAGCCGAAAAAAATGAACGTTAAATCAGAAATATCTGTATGAATCAACTTTGCACATCAATTATCGATCCCAATGTTTATTAAATATTGGCTAGAACATATGTGGAAACGACAACTTGAAGACAAGAATAAGAACCTCCATTATTTTGATGATACATTTAACGGTTGTTTTTAGTGACTTTTTAATGCATCTGGCGAAAATAGTTTTTGCGAAAATGTTCTTATTTTAATTACGAAGCTATAGGCCGATAAACATAACAATGCCAGAAGGGTAAATCCTTTAAGATTTATTTGTTCTATTATTCCAGAATTTAGATAACGGGATTTAGTGCCCTGCAGCAAGCCACTTAGCTCAGAGAGCGAAAGATTACTAAAATCATCCACTTGAGCTATCACTCTTCTCCATCATCGTAATTTTAACTTCATATTAAAGATTTGTCTTCGTAAAACGTTTTAGTTTGGCTTAGTATTTTCTTTATGACCTTTTCATATTACTTTCAATAAAAGGCCTTCATGAGACTCCACCAAAACCACTCAACAATCAAATTGTTTCCAAGAAAAGTGTTTTTCTGTTAGCCTTTACATAAGTGTTATAGATGCTGATCCCCAAAAAGACGATTTTTTGTGTTTTGTCCGATTGCAATACATAGAATATTTTTCATATACGTGGGGCAGAATACTTTTGTTTTGAAACCTGGGGATGAATTGAAATTTTTTTGGTCTCAAATCCCCTCTCAGTTCATGAGTTGTTCTTAAGTGACATAAATCCCCTTCTGCTAAAATTATCAGTGAAACTTAATCTCCATTCAGTTTTTTTTCTAAAGATTATTGTTGAAAAAACTAGTACTTGATATTACGCAGTCAAAATTTTAAATATTCCTCGTATGACGTAAAGTTTAACAGGTATGTGACGTAAAAAGGCTAGCCTGATTTCGATGTCCAGAGTTCAAGATCAGTTGTCTACGCAGTTTAGAATCATCTCTGATTCGAACTAAAAAATGTTGTAAACTTCTTAAAAATCGTGTCAAAAAAGTGTGTCCAGTTAAATAGGTCACAAATTTAAACTGAAGTATACCCATTTACTTGTCTGCAACCATGCTTTAAGGCAGAATGTATTGTGGTTCAAATAAAAATACATCACATCTTTTGGAAACCTTCAAGACTTTTGCAAAAAGAAAAAAAGATTCCAGAGATCATTTTCAATTTTATGTTATCGTTATTTTATCACAAATACCTAAATTCCAACTGGCCGCCTTTGTTTCACTGAGTTTATTGGAGTCATTTTACGAGCAGTCTTTACTCTTATAAAATATAAGTGCAGAAATTATGTTGGAATTTTACCCTGTAGCCAGTTCTTATAAAACAGAGAGTTTGACAATTCTGTTGTAAATAACAGTTCCTAAGGAATATTAAAGATGTTAGATATAAAAATTCATCAATCCAGTATACTTTAAAAATGTATGTGTCATGTTTTATGTTAAATCAGTTATTTTGACATGGTTAACAAAAAATGAACCATATAAGTTATATTTTAATTACATTAAATTGTGAATAACCTGTAGAACGCGTTACCCCTAATTCATTATTTATGAAGTGGTATTTACTCATTTTCATTTTGTAGCTAATATATGTCTGTGAAGATGCTATTTATTAGAAAAAAATCCAATCGTGTAGATAAATTTTTATATGCATTATTTAGAGGCTTGCACTTGTTATCCAAACTAGTGATCAGTGTCGGTCGGTTAGATTGCATCATCAAATAGCATCTACTGACGGACAGTTTTTCATTACGTTATTAACCCTAACCATACATATTATTCACAAAACTTTGAACTTGTGTTTTATGGTATAGTAATACTGAGTGGAGTATGAATCTGTATTCGCACTACAGTTAGTGAGGTACAAAACAAACCTATCTGCTTTCTTGGTATTTTATGCATTCTCAAAATTTAACATAATGAAGAATATCGGTAAGAGACGGAATGAGGTCGTTTTGTGATAAGTAGAGCAAAATATTTTGTGATAAGTTGTCCATTAGGAAGAAAAGCCTCAATAGGCTGAAAACAACTGTTTTTCATTGTGATATATTTTGTGTTTGCAACAAAAATGGTGAACTATTACTTTAGTTTAATTAATGCCTTGCTTTTCTTAACAAAACCTGTAGGTTTTTAAAAACTATGGAATTTGAATTAAGGATTCTTAAATATGTCTGTATGTATGTCTTTTACCATAACTAATGGAAATTCAAAAGCGTTAAACAAAAAAAGCCTTTATAGTTTTGGTTAGCAAGAAAATCCCTGGGAGTATGATAAGTCATCATCAAGCCTTTGCTTACTTTGATAATAATAACCAATAATTTTGGGTAGTTGTATTTTTCACATGCACTTACACACACAAAAGCATTCTCTCACAAAACTTGTAGAATCACCGATGTAGTTGACGTATGTCAAATTATTGAGGGCCTACTCAAGTTAGATGGAAATAGTGTGACCAACAGCTAACGTCGAAAATACAAAGGATGTTACTAAGGAAATATATTGGTAAGAATGTGCACAGAAAAGACAGTGAGACCATCAACGCATGGACCAGTCCATGGCATGCGATTAACTGATGCGCGTTGGTCGTATTTGACCCTGACGGGGATCGATGGTCTGTTTGATATTCACTGACCCTAGAAACTTTACGATAGACAAAAAGTAGTGTCTTATTACAAATGTGTTTTTACTGAATACCAAAACCATATACTGAAAGTTTTAATTGTATGATAAAGCAAAAAGGCAAATGTTTGCATCTCGAGTAACCAAATGTTCTTGTAAATTCAGCAGTTGAGTATGAAAAGTAGACCAGCTAGATGAAAATAAAGTATAAATCTACACATTACCTAACTTTGTACAGGTGTTGAACAAACTTGTATCATTCTAGAACTGTTCGTAATCAAACAGTATCAAAGAAACAGAAATTTAAAATGTTTAGAGCTCAAAATTTTGTGTTTAGTTCGTGGAATAAAGTTTTTACATTTTCGACTGTTTAAAAAGTAAATGCTCTGGGTTCTTGCAAGCTAAAGTAAATGGAGAGTATTTTGAGGTAAAACAAATCTGTAATACAATAGTAGCTAACTATACACGTGTGGTAGTTGACAGAATGTTATGGAAATCAACATAACGCACCTCTTTTTGTTAGGCTGAAGCTTTGCTAGCACCTTAGGTTTTGGTGTCAATTGATCTCATATTATCAGTCCAAATCGTCGATAGCAAAATCTGAGATTTTCGCATTATGAGTAAGTCGGTAACTACGAATAGCGAAAAGTATGCGTTATGTACCTCGAAATATCGGCTTTGTAAATCTTTAAGAGAAATATGTACCATGAGTTATATTGGAACCAGTAAAGTTTTGAACGAGAAATTTTGCGTTTGATAAACTTTCCAATAATCAGTTCATTCCAATTCAAATGATTGTGGACGGAATAGAAGAAGCATTAGCATAACGGATTTATCTATCTAGTGGCAGTGAATTAACAGTGCTTCCAATTAGAGACTAAGGCATACAAAACAATCGAAAAGGGGATGATAGCAACTAATGTTCTGAGTTCTCAGGTATCTGTCAAGTATACCTTTGATAGACTACTGAGAAGTCGTCCGAAAAATCATAGCCAGAGCAAATTCCACGATGTGTGGTCGAAAAAAGAGTTACATTTGGGGACGAAAATGGTGAAATCAAATAGCTTAAAATAGCTAAATCTTTATACGTCGGTCACACATTTAAAATGTTGACTCAATTTCAACCCTTAATAACTATAAAGCTGTGAATAATATTTTCAAGACCTCGAAAACACTTTCATTAAAACTAGAACTGTGAAGTTGCAAATTGACAAAATTCCATACAGGAACAAATATAGGCCGAAATTGCGCCTGATTACTACGTTGTTAGTATGAAAGTACTTTAAATCTTTGTCTTTGGAACCAGGTTCATAATTAGGTAGGCTAGAGATTAAAATTCTGATATTATGAACTGATAAGTTACCTGTTTTATTGCTAAGAGATTGGTTACGATGTGTTGCACTGAACGAATATTGTTTGTACGAAAACAGATAACATGTTTCACTTTAGCGCCATATCAGCTTGTTAAACAAAAACACATTTATCTCATGTCCCCTGACGTTCAACAACCTTGAACTAATGTGTTGTAGTCATATTTCAATCTGAGAGGCACAAATGACTGACAACACACTCGAGGTTTCTATATATTTATCTCAACCATCCATGTGAGATTTCTCATTTTTTCTCCTTTTATCTACCACTTTTCGAAATCATCTCATTACAATGATAATTATTACGAGCTTATCAAATATACGATCTAAATATACATTCAGAAGTATTGATATCTGAGTTCCTAAGTAAATATATCGTTGTGAGCTATACAGTAGTAGAAAATAGTGTACCTGTAAATAAATCCCCAAAATCAATAGCTTTCTAAGTGTTCGACATTGGATGCTGACCACATTGTTTAAGTGAACTTGTTTAACTGAAGGCTTTCGGTCATGCATCCGTACCAGATCACGTTTCGACCCAGCGTTCACTAGCCAGCTTAGAATAAACGCTTCTCGATATATTGATAACGTATCAAATATATCTTTCCTACCTCTTCTCGTCTGACTTCTGATTTCTAATAGTCGGGGGAAGGCTTCGCATAAAGAAAGTGCTACTGGTAACAGATTGTAAAATCAGAATACTAGTCGTATCTTCAATAGATATAACTCGCAGCGCAACTTTGTTCGTTGTACTTTTGACTATAATCTACATGTATACTTTCTTATAATTCTGGTTTCGTATCTTCTCTGGGATTTCAATGTATATAAAATGCCCCGTTAACTCTAAAAAGCAAAATATGAGTGAGCACATAGATTTGTAGTGAGTATCCCAAATACGGCTCACTAGTTTGTATTGGATGTCGAGTCGAGGATGGACTATGATCACCACTATAATTCGTTTACGCGCCCAAAAACGACTTGGTTCCTTTGATAGCTCGTAAATCAGAAAGCTTTATTAATCCAGATTAAGTATTTTTATTGGCGATCTCGTGGTATCGAAATAATACCGAGACCTGCCAAAGAGTACCGGCAAAATGAGCAGTGCGTGAGCAAGTTCGAACCAAACAAGGCGGAGAGCGAAAGCAGAAGTGAAACTGATACAGTTAAACAAATACAGCAAAACAATCTCTGGTACAATTGGTTGCAATAATAATAATTGTTTCCGTTATTCCAATCGTGTTCTTATCGTGTTCTAACCGATCACTACAGACTGATAGATTAATCATGCAGGTTTTGTCCTTCTCATATTCCTGATTTGATGATGAAAGTGGTCCTCTTAACGAATGGGAAAAAAGAATGCTGACTTTGAGACGCTTAAGCGTTACATTCAGACATTTACTGTCAACATTTTCGCAGCTGGAATCTTGAGTCTGATTGTTCATTTACAATTCAGATATATTATAGTTCTAAGTTTATATAATATTCATTTTGATCAACATTGAAAGACCAAACCAACATTTGAAGACGTACAAAGATAATGCAACAGATCTTTGTTTGTCCTTCAGTCATTTTGCTTATATGCAACTAGTTTATCAATTAGTTACCATGTTTACAATGTTAGTTGAACACGTGGTGATTTCAAATATGCAAGTTGCTAAGTGGTGTATGACATTCGAAATCTTACACATTCAGCTCCTTGTTTCGATTATCAGATTATCCTAGTCTCACGATACTATTTCTATGATTGTTCTCAATTGCCTTGTTATTAACGTAAGTGTACTGTTTATGATTGCTGAATTGTCGACCCACCTTTAATTTCGTCCCCTTATCCAGCCCTGACGCTACTCTGCATGCTCTCCTCGTTCACTAAGTACGTTCTATCTAGACGCGAGCGGCTTCAAAGAGGTGTGTACTAAAGTAACTAGCTTACGGTCATGAGATCGCCTTAGTCACAGATTTGTTATCCTTGATTGCTGTCGATCGATTTATTTATGGAGTGTTAATACACTAGTTGTGAGACATTCCGTTGATAAATTTGATGTAAAAGGAGGCTACAAAGCACCAGATGATCTTTTATCTGGACCAGGAAATGGATAGGATTCCCATCTAAACATTCTCATTGTGTCTCGAAGTTTACTCTCTAGGCTTTGATTAAATTATCAACAAACAGTCTTGCTTTTCCACAAATTAACGACGAATGATCTTATTTCTTTCTATTTTTGTGTTGCTATATTATGTCTGCATCGGTGAAGAAAAGTAGACTTTCCTAGAATGAAAACCATTCTTACTTCTATTTTAATAGAACTCTACTTCATTTCATGTATTTCGCTTGGTTGGTCACATCTATGTACAGATAAAGCGTGGCGATAACCAGGCTTTTTTGAATGAGAACGTTTGCTTAAGCCAGTTTACGTCACGATTCGCATTCGGTTTAGCGCTCTTTCTATTATGCAGCACGAAGTTCCTGACTAGGTCTTTAGAGCCTTAGTTGACCAGGTCTTAAAGGCAGAGTTATCTAATAGAAAATAATGTATAATATTCATATAAGTGGGTTATAGTTCGTTTATTTGAGTTATGTTAAAGGTTATACGTAATATTTGTCCCCAATAAATGTTTATTTCATTTAGGTAAAGCGTGGCGATAACCAGGCTTTTTTGAATGAGAACGTTTGCTTAAGCCAGTTTACGTCACGATTCGCATTCGGTTTAGCGCTCTTTCTATTATGCAGCACGAAGTTCCTGACTAGGTGTGGGAAGTAGTGATGTATGACATTCTCATCTAGTGGCGGATATCAACGACAAATCCCAGTGTGGTTATCAGCAAAGAAGTCTGTGCTACACTCTCGTTTAGACACTCATTTGGTTTGTCTTTAAAAATTTGATCGTCGTGTTACTTTGCATAGGACCCTTCTAGGTGCAGATTAACATGTATGTTTGATATGATTTATCCTAGGAAACTTTAGTAATTCATGGCGATTTTCATGTCTTTTAAATTGGTATTATAAATTTTGTTTACTTCAAACACTTTATCTTCATCCATTTCGGAGGAAATCTATCCTTGTTATTTGACCACACACCGTGGTGACCTACACTGCTAATTCAGTTTTATCTTGGTGAGGTTGACTGTGTTCTCTTTTGACTTTTGTCGTTTGGGAACTCGTCACTTGTAATATTTTGGAGCTCTCTTACACTCACTATTGTAACCAATAAGTTTGATGGATAATTTCCAGCACCTGTTGGAAATCAAAATTGTGTATTGGTTGCTGCCTTCTACTTGCATATATCAAATAGATTATTAAGAAATTCCTAGAATAATAGCGTTTAAAGGTATTGTATGTCTTGTTTGTTGACTGTTTTGAAGGTCAAAATAACTTGAGAATAATCAATAGCACTGTACCATTTAAAATTTTGGTTTTGTCACTCAGCAGATTTATCTTTGAAGCTAGATAATTTAAGTACTGGTGTTCTCTTTATCGATTTCAATCAGAAGATACAATCCTACTTAAGTGGATTTCCCTTAAAGTTTCTGATTTTTTTCACTCTTTCAGTTAACAGCTGGAAAAAGAATGTTTAATTCTCACCATATACATTTTGTATTATTTATCATACAACCACTTTCTTTGTACAGATCTCATTTTATTAGACCTTGATTTAGATTTAATAAACTGAGATTATATGTATTTTTATACAGCCTAAAAACTGGTTGGTGTATTAGCTCTTTGAAAATTAGCTCAACACTTAAAGAAGAAACAAAAAATGACATACCATGAGGATTCTTCTGAGTTTATAAATAGAAAGCATAATTTGGTCGGGCTGGATGATGAATCGAATATTCGACCACTTTATAAAAACAAAATTCGTAATTCATGTGTAAGTGTGTATTCTTTTCTATGTCAGTTTGGTATCATTTAACGAATGAATTATGGGTAAAAGGCTTTTGTTACTTCTGTTTTCCCGTTAAAATTAAATGGTCTTGTGGGATTGACGAATAATAGGGCGCCTGGAAGAGACGATGAGAAGCTAGAAGGGATAAAACGTTTCCCTCAAGGATTTCGTCTGACAATCCATTAAAAGCTCTGCACAAGTCTCCCTTGAGCTCACTGTTCATTTTTATGTTGGTTTGTTCTCTGAGCTAGATAGTTTGGTCGTGGAGCTTTCATCGTCCTTCTGAACGACATCATCAGCACAAACTTCGGGTAGAAGTGAAGTGTTTGAATTTCTCCACATGTGATTCACAGCTTGTCCTCTGCACCTCGATGTTGATTGGTTCTTATTGACCTTAAATCTGTCATTGTTTATTTCTTTGTTTTGATTGTCTCTCCTATTGTTTTGATTTTTGTTCCTATGTTCCTGTATAATTTTCTTGATTGGTTGATAGATTGGATTGATTTCAATATGTTTGTTTATTGCAGATTGACCTGAGTGCCAAGCTTCTAAAAATTCTCTGGTATTTTTGGAATTGCCTCTGTCCAAAATCTGCACATTTTCCCAGTCGAATGTATGTCCGTAGTTGTCCACGTGTATTGATATGAGTGAAGAAATGTCGTGGCGTTTGACTGCTAATTGGTGTTCATGTAGGCGAAGATGCAGGGGTCGTCCGCTTTGTCCAATATAGTGTTTGTTGCAGTTGGTACAATTTATCTGGTAGATGATGTTTGTTTTGTCTTCTTTTGCCATTTCATCTTTTGGTTTGCATAAGATTGAGTGGAGGGACTTTGTTGGTTTGTGGGCTACACCTATTCCGAAGGTTTTCAGCAGCCTTGTTGTCGTTTCCGATATGCCCTTTATGTATGGTAGGGTGATCCTTTTGTTGATTTTTATACTTGACTTCATTTCTGATGGTGTGTGCGACTGGTATTTTTTGATGAAATTGATTGGATAGCCGTTCTTTTGAAGAATGGTTTTCAGGTGTTTTTCTTCATTTTTTCGTGCTGTGATTGTATTGCAGTGTGTTCTCGCCCTCTTGAACAAAGTTTGTACACAGTTGATTTTGTGAGTTCTTGGGTTGTTGCTATTGTAGTTGAGAATTTGATCGGTGTGGGTCGGCTTCCTGTACACTTGAGTCTCTAGTTTTCCTGTGTCCGTTCTGGTGATTAATACATCTAAGAATGGCAACTTGTTGTCCGACTCTTGTTCAATTGTGAACTTGATGTCGTTGAAGACGTTGTTGATCTGCTCGTAGGTGTTTTCTAGTTCCTCCTTTTTGACGATGACGAATGTGTCGTCTACATAACGAATCCAAATTTTTGGTTTGATCACTGGTAGAATTGTGGTTTCTAGTCGTTGCATTACTGCTTCCGCGATGAGTCCTGATATTGGTTCATCTAATGATAACGGACGCACATTACAGGATCCGCAAATACCAACATGTCATAGAGGACCAAAAGAGGAAGCTACAACAGACACTCACACCAGAACACTTCGAAACCTTGTCAACAGCCATCGAAACATTATGCAAACGACACAGAGAAAAAAGAAGAAATATCCTTAAAAAGAAAATAATCAAAATCTCAAAACCAACTATAGAAGAAAACACAAACAACAGCGTGGTCAACCTATCAAAGCAACCACTAACAAACACAGAAGATCAGCTACTCCGAAAAGGATTAAATTACAATACAAGCGATGCCCCAACACTAGCATTCTACGCAGCACTAGAGTCATCACTCAAAACTTCCGGAATAAGTGAGGAAACGCAACAGGAAATAAGACAATCTATAATACCACTAACTCAACGGATGAAGGGCAACAACCAACTGACGTCACAAGAACAAACAGCTTTGAAGAAACTCAGAACCAGAAAAGATATTGTAATCGTTCCAGCAGACAAAGGACGCACTACAGTGATTATGGACAAGGAAGAATACATCAAGAAAGCCGAGGAAATACTCGAGGACAAAAGTACATACAAACCGATGGACATAAATCCAGTCAAAAAACTAGACAATCGCATTTCAAAAACTTTAAACAAACTCGTCAAAGCAGGAGAAATAACGAAGCAAGATCAATGGAGAATGAAATCTAATGGACCAGTACTCCCTCGGTTCTACGGCAGACCAAAGATACACAAACCAAACATCCCACTACGTCCAATTGTAGCACTACCAGGAACACCAACGTACAATTTATCAAGAGAAATCTCAAGAATACTGAAACATTTAGTAGATTCGTCGAACCACTCCATCAAATCAGCCACACAATTCCTTGATCAGATTAGGAACATTCAAATCAACGACGACGAACTAATGATATCCTTCGATGTGACAGCACTATTCACTTCAATTGAACCAAACCTAGCAAAAGAAACTCTGTCCTTGCTCCTAACCAACGACGAAAACCTCGCGAAATACACGAAACTTCAAAGTCAAAGCCTACTTGAACTCATAGATCTATGTCTAACAACATATTTCCAATTCAATAACAAAATCTACAAACAAACAAAAGGGACACCAATGGGATCACCAATATCAGGACTCATCGCGGAAGCAGTAATGCAACGACTAGAAACCACAATTCTACCAGTGATCAAACCAAAAATTTGGATTCGTTATGTAGACGACACATTCGTCATCGTCAAAAAGGAGGAACTAGAAAACACCTACGAGCAGATCAACAACGTCTTCAACGACATCAAGTTCACAATTGAACAAGAGTCGGACAACAAGTTGCCATTCTTAGATGTATTAATCACCAGAACGGACACAGGAAAACTAGAGACTCAAGTGTACAGGAAGCCGACCCACACCGATCAAATTCTCAACTACAATAGCAACAACCCAAGAACTCACAAAATCAACTGTGTACAAACTTTGTTCAAGAGGGCGAGAACACACTGCAATACAATCACAGCACGAAAAAATGAAGAAAAACACCTGAAAACCATTCTTCAAAAGAACGGCTATCCAATCAATTTCATCAAAAAATACCAGTCGCACACACCATCAGAAATGAAGTCAAGTATAAAAATCAACAAAAGGATCACCCTACCATACATAAAGGGCATATCGGAAACGACAACAAGGCTGCTGAAAACCTTCGGAATAGGTGTAGCCCACAAACCAACAAAGTCCCTCCACTCAATCTTATGCAAACCAAAAGATGAAATGGCAAAAGAAGACAAAACAAACATCATCTACCAGATAAATTGTACCAACTGCAACAAACACTATATTGGACAAAGCGGACGACCCCTGCATCTTCGCCTACATGAACACCAATTAGCAGTCAAACGCCACGACATTTCTTCACTCATATCAATACACGTGGACAACTACGGACATACATTCGACTGGGAAAATGTGCAGATTTTGGACAGAGGCAATTCCAAAAATACCAGAGAATTTTTAGAAGCTTGGCACTCAGGTCAATCTGCAATAAACAAACATATTGAAATCAATCCAATCTATCAACCAATCAAGAAAATTATACAGGAACATAGGAACAAAAATCAAAACAATAGGAGAGACAATCAAAACAAAGAAATAAACAATGACAGATTTAAGGTCAATAAGAACCAATCAACATCGAGGTGCAGAGGACAAGCTGTGAATCACATGTGGAGAAATTCAAACACTTCACTTCTACCCGAAGTTTGTGCTGATGATGTCGTTCAGAAGGACGATGAAAGCTCCACGACCAAACCATCCAGCTCAGAGAACAAACCAACATAAAAATCACCCACCCGAGCTACAAATCTTCTCCACCATCTCACTGTTCATTAGATGAGTTCTGTTAGAAACCATATGAGTTCTTGCAGATTGTGATTTTGGTTTCGTGCTTCACTCAATGAACCTGGATGAATAGCCGTTTTTGAGGAATATCTGTCGAAGATTGTATATTTCCTTGTCTATTGTGTTTTCTAAGCATACTCGCCTAGCCATTGATGATAAAGTTGAACAGGGTTTCCCTTTCTGTTTAATGAAGCGCAGCTATGAAAATTCATATATTGTTCATTCCAAGTTGGTTTCCAATAATATAGACCTTTGTAATATACCATCTTCCCTACTTTTTCACAAGATATCGAGGAGATGAGATTTTAAATTTAATTCTGGTTTCAACTAGGTCTGATGGCGAGCATTTGCAATACAGTTAAACTACCTTCTTGTCTTTATTTTATTTTGTAATGTTTCTGTAGGATTACTTCTGGATTTGATTTTTAAATGGAAATCTAATAAGTCTTTCGCATCGATTTCTTGCTTTGGAGAAAATTTTATTTCATGTTGGCAGAGTTGAGAGTAAACATTTTGAATTGTCATGCTTAACGAAAAGTAGATATTGATACACATTGTTTAAGACTGATTCATAATCTGAAGCTAACTGGCTACTCTATGGAATCTGTTAGGATCAAGGGTTACCACGAGCTTTAATTTGCCTAAGACTGTATAATATTGTCATCAGTGTTAACAAATGACATTACTCTCTTTTAATATAGCGTCTTACTGGTCCAGCTGGTCAGCGAAACAATGGAGCTGTACAATATTCGTCAACAGATTTCTTAGGTTATGACTGGATAGCCTCTATGGTAGATAATCAGATAAGGCCCATATGCAAAAACATTTCGAATTGCCAAGTAAACGTATCAGCGAATCACTATGTCGATGATGAAGAGTGGTTAAATCAACGGGAATTTTTCGATAAATTAAATGCATTTCGTCAAACAAATTCTGATCTTTGCTGTTCTCAACGACCTTTGAGGTTAGTGTTATTTTCAAAGCTAACCATACATATTTATTTAAAATTTTGACATCCGTCAAGTGCTCCGCTTTAGTTGAATAAAAAAGAAGTGAAATTGAAAAAAGATTGTCAATTCTCTGGGAGAACTTTGTCTTGGTGGTGCTTGGTCCTGAAGTTTATTTTATTCGATGTATCCATAAACAAAAAAAATCAATACTTACTTCAAAAGTTTGGAATTATTATAATGTAATATTTGAGTTGGTTGTTCAGATAAATAGCTCACAAAACTAATCCCGCAATCCTGATCGGATATATTGGAGGATATTGAACTACTGATCAGTTCAGTATATATTAAGGAATTAAAGTTGTTGTCTATAAATACAAAACGTGCAAAACAAACATTGGTTTTGCGCCTCCCTTTTCCTACATGCAATATATTAGGCAACATTTCTACGGTACTGTCATTGTTCTAAGAGGCTGTATCTAAAATCTTATTTAATAAGTATATTAGCCGAATAATTGCAATTTAACTTTTACTTGCCCTAGGTCATAGATCTATGAATACATTTTAGAGTGAAGAAGTTAAGTTGCATTTGCGACTTCCAAACGTTAATACCTTAATCTTTATGATCGATTTTGATTTGTGTATACACTTACTTTTGTTCCAGTATTTGATATAGCATTTTGTGTTATTAGGAAAAAGTTTACACGGTATCTGAAAATAATTTGTGTCCAAATTAAATAAAGGTTTCCAAATAATGGCATTCTTCAAAAAATGCTCTAGTTATCCAAATCGAAAAAAGGGCAAATGTGTAACCTAAATATAGAACAAATTGGATTTAACATGGTACGGTAAAGATTTAAATAGTAGGCTTTTCATTAGATCATAACGTAGGAGTCCACTGCACCAAATGTGTTTTGAACAGTTAGATACTATTATGGTGTATGCTACTTATATCTGTCGACATAAGAAGTATGTAACACCAACCGGTAGTGGAAAACCGGGCGGCGGAAGGCTATGATGGTCGACTTGAAGACAACAGAAACAGAAAGTAACTCTGATTTGGAAGAACCATACATAATTTGAAGGACAAATAATGGTATTTCGCAAATGAAGTATTCAATGTATGGTTGCTATATTTTATCAAGCGATTCTGTAATTATGTATCAGAATACAATTGCATCACAAATTAAATATAGTTTACAGAAGCTTAAGTAATACATATCATTCCAAAAATGAATCGTCAGCTTAATATTTTTCTTTAAGAGGGTAAACCACAAGTATGGTCGTTTATTGTGCTTTTTCACGAGAACTCTTGGGTTAAATGAAAGTCACAGTAAAAGCTCATTATGATCTTACCTTCAGCTTAAAGTTTATCAGTTATTTGATTGTTTTGTATGGAATTTTAAGAATACTCCTCTTTTCTATTTTCAAGCCTCCATAAAACATCTACGAAAGTTAACCATAACAAGTCTGCGTTAATGAATATTAGACAACGTGTACGACCACTGCCACCAATTAGAACAAATAATTTTTCTCATAATGACAATAACTTGAAACCTCCAACAATTGTGCAGAACTACACATTAAATTCAAGGTTATTTCCAGTGAGAACAGATGTTATAGCTGGTGATAGAAAACATGAAGAGAAAGCTGACAGTCCAATAGTTCTAAGGTATTTTCACTATTCATCTATTCTTTTAAGCATAACCATTTCTAACGTTTGGATAGTGCTCTAACAGTAAGACTTCGGAAGTATCTTCCTAGCGAAATAACCTATTTTGATTTGAGCCTGGGCAGCTCAGACACAAGTATGGTGGTGATTGCTGATAAAAATAAGTTTTATTGGTTAGCCTCGCCACCCTCACAAACGACATCCAAAATTTTCTCTCTACATTCAGATTTAATTCCAATGGCTCAGATTTATATTTCCTTTTAGTTACACCTTGTGTATGTTTTTACTTCCCAACTTACTTATCTTGTATCTGTTGAAAGTCCTGTCCTTTGTAAACAGCTTCGAGTAGCTGAATAATGTCAAACTTGTACTATTTACAGCTATATAAGTTATACATTTCTCGCATGCCTTTGTTATGAAACAAATGAGATTCATTATGATACGTTTCAAGTAATAATTAGTGTTAAATTTAATCAATTCTGACGTAGGTATCTCTAGGACAAATTTCTTTTGAATTATGGGATCAGCGTTTAAAAGATTGAAATAATGAATATAAAAAACGAAACTCTAGTGTATTAATGTTTCATATTTGATTAAAATGATTTCCTATAATAAAAGTACGCAATACACATATTTATCAGTGTTAATGCTTGAATTTCGCATAAAGACAAATCTACCTTTTTATGGAATTAACAGTAATTACCAAACTAGTATAAATAAATAGGGAATGTCTGTTTCTCTTGTTTTAGGAAACTGTAAAAAGTGCACTGTTTCTGATTTTTGTTTGTAAATGTAAAATAATTTAGTGTCTAAGTAATTGTATTGATGATATGCCATTTGAATCCAAACCCACCAGTGTGAAAAATAAAACTTCGGAAAAATAATTGCTACAAAGCAGTTGCCATCCATTTATTTAAATGTGATGTGTTTGAAAAAATCAAGATATCACCTAGGACTGGCGAATGAAACGAGAGTCAGCAACAAACTACAGGACAAGCTAAGCTATTCCACTGCTCTCCAGCCCAGCTGACTAAAGGAATAAGACCAGATTCAGCTGGGAAAAATATATTCCACAAGCAGCTCAGAAGAACGGACGAACAAGCACACAGCTCATATGTGTATATAGAATACAAAAATGCCGATCCAAAACATCACAAAATAGCATACTAAAAGTAAAAAAGGAACAATAACATTTAGGATTCTTCCAGGTTGGAAACACAAACTGAAAGTAAAAATGGACGCTTTCGGCGCGAAAACGGGAAATTCAAATTTCCATAATAGGATTATAGAAGTGAGAAGTTTACCAAGTGTTTTCTGGGGATCTAGCACCCTCAAAAAATTTATTTATTTATCGTGTCTTTCTACACTCATGTTCAAGCGTAAGTACTAGTGATCATAGGCACATGTTATTTTGTGGACTCAATTTACCAGTATTTTGATAGCTATACTCAACGTTTTGTGAACATAATCTAGGGTAACTTTATTATTATCTGTTTTGTTGATTTACTATTTGTCTCTTCTTTCTAGAAGTTTGTAAACTTGAACTTATTCAAAATCAGACAAGCAAATATTATTCTTATTACTTTGTTTCTTGTTATTATTATAAATATAGTTGGTAGTGTTCCGCTTTTTTTCAATTCCAGAATATCGATTCCATCTCATCGTTTGAAGAATACAAAATTCCTAAATGAATCATTTAATGTCTACAAAAAGCATAATCCATTATCAACATCATATCCTCTTAAGAATACTATCTCTCTTATAGGACACTGTGATTATTCAGCGGGAACAAAACGTTGATATTAAAAATCCAGTGTATTCAAATGACCAATTATATCTTGTACATTTGGTGCATTTGTATCTACACTACTGATCTGATAAAAATAATCCCTATGCATGATGGATAATTTTAAAATGTGTAATTTTTTTTGTAAATATTGTATATATCAATATGCTTTCCCAAAATTGTTATATTTTTTTCAAATTAAAATTAATTTAACAAATATGAAACATTTTACTACATTCTTTTGTATGTTCGACTTTCTTCTGACTGGCGTTTTAAGAATAAGAGAACAAGTGGTTACTGGTCACATCTATCATTATGTATAAAATATGGGCTTTTTAATCACTGTCTTAGGAAAGTTTTAAAGTCAGTGGTGGTCTTAGATAATGTCGCATAACTAGTGACCAGCAGTGAGTTATTTGACTACAAGTGAAAACGTTTACGTAATTTTACGATTTCAGTTATTTATATTCAGAAAGTATGCAGTGACTTATCTATGATACAAAACAGTTGGTTTTGTCAGTCTCCTGCAATAAACATTTTGACTTGATTACTATGGGGATGAATATGGATTAAAAATCCAAAGTTTATAAACTGACACTGTTTTACCATGGTTCAGTAGAAGCGTACTACACAAATGTTGATTGTATGATAATCAGACAATTAATCTTATTAAGTTTAGAATGATAAGACTTCAGTAGCATTATAATTCCACATTTAAAGTACAGAATTATGGATTTAATTGAAATCATAGATACCACAGGTCTCTATGTATTAATTTACTCAATAAGAAATTCAACAGTGTTGCTTACAGAATAAACAAAAATAACATTACACACGTACTAACTAAATAAAATTTTATCAATACAATTTAAAGACAGGAAGACTTATTTCCTTGTTGCAATACATACAAGTTTTTTGTTTCTTTAGTGATACAACAAAACAACAACTTGCAATACAGACTACATTAAGAATTTTTAAACAGTGGCATTAGTTTCATCCAATATCGGTTGAACGGTTATTATTTGTAAAAACTGTAAAGTTTTCTGACTACCAGCATAATTAAGTTATTGTATGATGTGATGAAGTAGGGTAAAAACCTTGATTCGTGATTTGAATTCAAGGTCGGGCTTCTTGAAGGCTATAAATACTTAAATTTGTCTAGCTGGATGACATCTTTTTGCATAATTTTCACACACAATGAAACACTTTTCTAGCGTAATGCTTATCATTCAGTACTATACTGCTAGGAAAAAAGCGAGACGTATTCTTTCACAGGACGTTAATTAAGTCTTTTAGTACTTGGAGAATGAATAGCCTATAATTTTTTGCCGATTGTTTGTCTTTTGTATACCTTTTAATTATGTTTATTCATGTTTCTAGTATTTTGCCTGTACGAATATTATTTTTCAAAAAAAATATTGGACTTATTCTATTGGCTATTTATTTTGTTTTCTATTTGTAATCATTCGTGAGAGTTACGTCATTAATATGATCTTTTAGGAAGCAATTATTTGATTAGATCATATACTTACGTATTATCTACCGATCGGAGTTCTATTCTTTCATTTCAATAATAAAAGTATTTGTTTTCAAAATCTTTATTCATAACACATTTTAGAACTTTTTCGAAAATTATTGACAAGTAACTAATGTAAACATTGTCAAATTCTATAAGTGATTGTTGTTTCCCAGGTTTTAATAATGTAACTAAATGATTTGGTTATACTTGTAGCGTGAGTCAATTGAAGCTAGACCACCATGGAAACACTGGACGGCCGTTTCGTCCTATTATGGGACTCCTCAGCAGTGCACATCCACGGTGGTCTAGCTTCAATTGACTCACGCTTTCAACTATGATAAATACTAAATCTCCACAAAACCCCTTCTATACTTGTAGTATTATTTACAATAACAATAAAAACATTATACATTAGAGAGCATCTTGTCATAAATTGACACTTTATAGATCTAATCATAAAATGTCATTTGCTATTCGTTATGATTATTGTTATAATAATAGTAATAATATTACTGATAACTATTGTTATTCAGTTGTATTCATGATTAGAGATGATAACATCAGATACTTATATGCAAAATTACTGTTAGCCTACCTTAGTAGTATTTCTGATATTAAGAAGAAAAGAGGGAAAGATGACAAAAGAGTATTTTGTTATTTATTGAATGTTATACAATACAATAGAATATAGAATATTATTATTAATACCCTTGTAAATAAGTGACATTTCATTAAAACTAAAAATTCCATGATATAATTCGAATTTGTAATTTAGCCGAACAATGATTGATAAGAGAATGAGAATGATAGGGTAACTTTAATAAGTCATGTGGTACGACGTTATGATAAAATCAAAAGTTATGGAATACTTACGTATGGCAAGATTATATTAGAAATCAAGCTGTAAAGCACTGTACTGTTTAGGAGATTTGAAATTATGTATATTTGTTATTTAAATTGAAATCACCGATATATGATCCGCCATTGAATAAGTTAATGTCATACATGAGTCGATTAAAGCTAGACTACCATGGAAAACCTGAAAGCACTAGACGGCCATCTTGTCCTAATATGGGACCCCTTTGCAGTGCGCATCCACGATCTCGCCCGTGGATTTCGAATCCAGAACCTGTCTTTCCCACGAACGCTTTACTTCTAGACCAGTTAGCCGATACCCAACGGTGTTAATGTCTAACTCCAATCAATCTACGAAATCGCGCCACCAGGTTTTCTATGGTGGTCTAGCTCTAATAGACCAATGAATTCAACTATTAAATTACTACAATCTCCACAAAACCCCCTTTCTGTTACTGTTATACTTTTGATTTAAAACAAGAACATATCATGGACACTGAAATGAAATTTGAGACGAACATTTTATTTAATTTTATTTATCTCTGTTCATCAGAATTACGTAAATGAATAGTGATTAAAATCACAAAATAATCTGGTGATTACAATTGTTAAGGGGTCGTCACAAGACTTGATGACTGATCCTCATCGGGCTAATGGATGCACACTATTTATTTTCAAGATTAACTCAAATAAAATCAATCATTGACGATTGCCAACTGATAAATTAAATGCTCTCAACAGATCCGCCTCATTTTAACAACATTATGCTCAATATGTCACAAGATGGCTATGTTTTATTATGAACTTTAGTATACGTTTTCTAGCACTCACAAAATGTAACCGATTTCAAATAAAGAATTTTATGCTCTTTTAGTCTTATTTTTGTAGTCTCGGAAGAGGTTTTTACGCTTAAAAGTGATTAGGATAACCAGTATTTATTTAAATATTGAAAGAGGGTTCTCCCAAACATTTTCCAATTAGATATATCTCTTATTTTGATATCCTTGAATTTTTACATTTGGTTTGTAAAATTTCTGAACTAAATTATTTTCTATGGAATATTTTAGACGTTTACATATTGAATAATGGAACAATTTATCAAGGTGCACTTAAGTGGTCATTTCACTTACTATGATATATAAATAAGATTAAAATGTTAACAGATAAGTGAAGAGATAAAATGCATTTCGAATATGAGGAAAAGCCCATTTTTGTCATAGAGCTTCATTCTCTTATAGTTCTGTTTACATTGTTTTCTATAACTTAAAGCTTCTGAAAAATAATTTAGTATACGAAGGTAAACCATACGAATGCTGTTAGACAAGAAAAACAAACCATGTTTTTGTTCTTAATGCTTTTTTCATTCGTGGTTTTACTGCCGTTATCAAAAATATTCATTTTCATAGATCAATTGGTTTGTGCAGCATGGCCGTGTGTGTTTTTCAGAGGTAATGATTGTTTTAGATGACGAAATTTTTTTCGTGGCATATCTTTCTTCAATTTTATCTTCAAGTAGAACCGTACAATGAGTTTGGAATCTTCATAAGAAAAAATCACGAATTTTACCGTTACTTTGATGTCACACAAAAAACATAATGAACTCTATAATTTTCTTTAAAAATTAGGTGCTAAGTAAAAACTTTTTCTTAAAAATCTAGTGAAGTATTAGATACGTCGTAATACGATAATGTTCAGTCACCCATGTAACCTTATGTAGAAAGAGACTAACCAAGAGTATAGATACGTAATAATAGAAGGCTAACACGTGGTGTGATTAGGAATTATATTTCAGTACTTGTACACGATTCATGAATTTTAACACCGCGCACATGAAGACTAACAATTGAATGAATGAAACAAACGGTTGTCAATAGTTCGCAGTGCATAAGCAGTAATTAAAATTTCTATACAAAAGCCTTTAAGTATCTAAAATATCTTAGGTATCAATGATTACGTCTGCGTTTGAAAATTAGCTGGATAGTAACATGAAAGAAAAAAACAGGAGAATTAAGGTTAAATGTCAAATACATTTGACATAATAACATGACATGGTTAACCAAGGAGCTGTTCGCGAGAATAATAATATTGATATACTTATAATATTTTCTGTTGTCATTGTATATGTCAGTAATTTACGTGGCGAGACAATAAAGAACAAAGGTTTATCGTATATCAATTTGATGTTATTTAATATTATATGATGTCTTGAAATATGCATGTCACAACGTTATTTATGATAATAGGATATACTGTAAAAATAATGTATTCACTCAATGATAATAAGATAAATAGGATGATACATTTAATGTTATTAATAGTGATCCAATATGTATGGTGTGACTATAGTAACGTATGTATGTAACAGGTTAATAAAACATAAAACTTTAGAAAGGACAAGAATGCAATTTACTGACTAAAAATAGAGAAAAAAATGTTTGCGGCTCTTTGGATCAAGAGGGGAAAAAAGTAGAACATATCATGTGTGAAATGTGAGGAATAGAAGATTTTTGTTGATCTTTATGTATTTATGAACAGACAAACTTGAGTAATACACTCTATTCATAGAATGCAAGGTTTCAATTTTATTACTACTTATTTTAGATAAGATTTTCACTTTAGGGTTTAAAGAGAATTACCATATTACGTTGATGAGACGAAGTTTATGTAAACTAAGCAATTATATCAGCGCAGTCATATTTGTTTGAATATTTATTTGTAAGAGTTAAATGTTAAACTAACCAAATGGAAATATGAGAAGAAACAAAGGTATTGAGTAAAAACAATATAAATTACAATTCAATGAATATCAGAGTAGGTTTAATGCAAGTATGTATTGCTTTGAATCATATCAGGAGTGTTTACATTTTTGTATGTTTCAAACTTGAACAAACTTAATGATCCACTTTAGTTCACTTTTATATGATCTTGAATGGCTAAGTTAATCTCACTTCTATTAATTTGGTAACAGAGAATGAGGGGGGTATACATCAGATATTAATTGGATTAATGTTATATCGATTGTGTGCGTGCCCTGTTATTATATATGAGGTGATGATTCCCACCAATAAGAGAGAAGTGAATTATCGATCAGAGTAATGACATACAAAGGCCGTATGAGCAGTCTTGAGTACTTGTCAGTCCTGCTATCAGCTTAGCCCAGCCAGTTACGTCCAGAACACCAATA